CCAGCAGAGCCGTGAGACACCCGGCAGACTGGTGTCTGCACGAGTCCCCTCAGACGGCCCGAGGCCCCTCCCGGGACAGACCGTTCTGGCCCGAGAAAGCCCAGGAAGGGCCCTCCGTCCCTGCAAGCGTTCCAGTGTGGGGTGGGACCTCAGCGAGGGACCTCAGCCCGAGGGGGGAGGGGCGACTGCCCCCGGTGTGAGGAGACTGACCTGCCTGAGGTCGCCGACCCGGGAGACGGCAAAGCCACACACAGCGAGACCCCTGGGGCACGGACCCGCGAGTGCGCCGGCCACCCAGCAGGGGGCGCTCACTCCCGGAGCCAGCAGGGCAGTGGGGGTGGGGGGGTCGTTTCCGCCCCTGGGGACTCAGGCAGGCGGGCAGCCGCTGGCCCGCCCAGATTCTAACCCCCCGGGGCTGGGGCTGGGGGGGGGGTGGGGGGGGGGCTCTCATCTGTCTCCCGTCTGCCCCTCCCGGCTGCCTCGCAGCCAAGCGTCTGCGTCTCCAGCTGGGCGCAGCTGTGTGGCCAGGAATAGACGGGCGCTGGGGCTTAAATAGAAAGGGGACGTGGTGACACCCGTCCTGGCGGGGGGTGGGGCCCCTCTGAGGGCGGCGCCGGGAGAGGGCAGGCTGGAAACACCCTCTCTCCGAGGAAGAGCTCTGCGTGGAGCCCGGGGGGGTGGCCGCACGGCCAGCGCTCCGGCGGGGGGGGGGGGGGGCGGGGCCGGGGGGCGGCTCCGGGGCCCCGTTCACTTCCTGGTTGACTCGGAGGTGTCACCGCGTGAGCGAGCTCAGGCTCGTCGGGGCAGCGTGGAACCACACATGTGGCTCCTGCAGGGGACCCAGAGGTGGCCGCGGGCCACAGGGTGGCTGGAGCCCCCGTAGAGCCAGCGAGCCCTGTGGGTGGGGGAGGAGGCGGCGTCCTGAGGGCCCCCCGGGTGCGGGCGGGCAGGGGCGCTCCAGCCCTCCCCTGCACGGGGCTCTCCTAGGGGCCCCCACAGCCTGTCTCTCCCTTCGCCTACCAGCGGCTGTTGCGGGGGAGGACAGGCGCCACCTACAGGCCGGCCGGGTGGCCACACCGGCGTTGGAGTCAGCGAAGCAAACCCGTCCAGAGCGAAGGGGGACGGTTTGTGGTCCGAGACACAAACACACCCAGGCGCGTGGCTTTTCCTGGGCGAAGGGGCGCCCTGTCTCACCCCCTTCAGAGGGCACGATGCTCGGGCCCACCGAGCCCCTGCTCTTCCCCCTTCGAGGCCCGGCTCTGGCGACACCTCCCGGGAAGCCCCCAGCCCCAGGCCAGCCCGAGGGAGAGGTGGGTGGGCGTCCGCGGGGCACAGTCCGAGACACTTTGGTGTGACGATGGGGCTGACCGTTCCCGCCCCGTCCCCTCCCCCCCGCCCCAGCTCCGTGGCCCGGCCCAGAGGTGAGGGTGAGGGCACAGAACCGCGAGGACCCGCCTGCCTTCGCGACAGCAGAGACGCCGCCGTGCACAGGCCGTCTGCGGTGCCCAGGGGCTGCGCTCGGTCTGTTTTGCCCGCTGTGTCAGCGAGCCCTCCCAATGGCTCTGCAGGGGGGAGGTCCCGTCCTCACCTGCAGGTGTGAGCAGGCCGGGGCTTGGAGACGTGAGCACATTGGCCCAGGGCTGCACGGCCAGCCCCCCGGGGTCCAGCGAGGACCAGGCCGCCGGCGTCTCCAGAGCCCGCACTGCTCGTACGTGCTGATGCTGCACCTTGCGTGGGCAGCGTGGCCACCTGGGGGGCCCGGGGCTGTCGTCAGGGTCGTCTCCACCCTGCTGCAGACCGTCGTCCACATGGCTGAGGGTGGGCGCTAGGCGCTGGAGCCCCGGGTGCCAACCAGGTTCTCCTACTGGACACAGGACACAGCCCCCCCGGGCCTCCTGTCTCCATTGGGCAAGCAGGACAGGTGGGGACACTGTCCTCCTGGGGCAGCTGGCAGGAGTGAACTCCGGGGGCCTGGTGTGGGCTGGGCTCCCTGGTGACCGCATCTAGTCACTGCATCGGGGGTGGGGGTGAGGGCAGGCCGAGCCCAGGGCCGCAGAGCTGGTGGGCGCGGAGCTGCGAACCGGCAGGAGCTCTGGCCCGGGGTGGCCCTCCACCTGGAGGGAGCGCGGATGCCCCGGGGCCGCTGGGAAGGTACCAGTGCCGATGCCCGGGGTGCAGTCCAGTGGTGCCAGTCCCGAGGTGATCGGGGAGGAGCCGGGGGACGATGGGGGCCTCGGGGTGAGCGTCCTGGCCGCAGCAGGGGGGTTCTGGGCTCGGTGCGACGCCCCTGAAACGCGTGGTTCTCGTGGCCACGCAGCGAGCCCCGCGTTTGCCTCCCGTTGGGGCCCCGCGGAGGGTGTGGCCGGCCCACGAGAAACCAGCCTCAGACAGGCGCCCCAGCCGTGTCCCCCGCTTCCCGCAGCCCGCCCCTCGGCCCAGGAGCTGGCGTGGGCCCCGAGTCTCCCCAGAATAGCAAGGAGTGAAAATAACACCCTTTAAAATAGTCTGGTTCCCGATTTGGAGCGGCAATCTGCCGGCCTCCGCGGCTGGCGTGACGCGAATTAATTTGTGTTTTGCTCCGCCGTGCCTTTCCTTGTCGGCACGCTTGTCTCCCCCGTCTTTCCTGGCGTGCTCGTCCCCCTCGGGCCAAAAATAGCCCCCGATCCCCATCCCAGGGCGCCCGGCCAGGGCGGCTTCCTCGGGGTCTGTCCCCTCCCCCTGCGGCGCCACTGTCATCGGGGCTGAGGTCCTGACTGAGGCTGCGATGCAGAGGCACCGCTGGGCCCAGGGCCCTTCCTCTGTGTGGGAACAGCACCACTCACTGCCGGTTATTGGGGGGCGGTGCCTGCCGGCTGGAGGTGCAGCAAGGAGGACACACGGGCCTCACCAGGCCACACGGCCCCCCGGCCTGGAGGGAAAGGCAGACTCACAAGGAGCGCACTGGGGAGCATCGGGCTGGACCAAAGGATGCACAAGACACTGGGAAAGAGCAGGGAGGGCTTCCTGGAGGAGGTGACCTTTGAAATGAGCTTTGGTAGATCGGGAGGGGTTTAGCAACCAGATAACAGGGGGAAGGGTGTCTCTATCATAAAACCAGATTAAACTCAAGTGGGAATGTGGGACCAGGGCACTTCTGTAAAGCAAGAACAGCTAAAATAAATGAGAAACATCCAGCTTTGCTGAGGTTGACAGAATTTAGGCTCAGAAAAATTGTAAGACCAACCACTATTAATATCCCCTGTGTTTCCTTCCTTTTCTTTTTTTTTCTTTGTTTATTTATTTTAGACAGGAAGGAAAGGAGAAAGAGAGGGAAAGAAACATCGATGTGTGGTTGCCTCTTGTGCACCCCCAACTGGGGACCTGGCCCATAATCCAGGCAGGTGCCCTGACTGGGAATTGAACCAGTGACCCTTTGGTTCGTAGGCCGGCGCTCAGTCCACTGAGCCACACCAGCCAGGGGTTCTTTTGCTTTTTAGATTGAGGTGTCATCGGGACACAGCGTTCTGCTGGTCTCAGGTGCACAGCGCAATGATTTGGTATTTGTAGACGGTGGGGGCTCTAGTTAACAGCGTAACCTCACATAGCTGCAAAGTGTTCTCTCGGGATGAGAACTTTTAAAGTGCACGTCCTTAGCAACTTTCAGACACACGACACAGTTTCACTGACTGCAGTCGCCACGCCCGTCGTACATAACATCCCAGGACGTTGCTGTTTGGTAACGGGGGTCTCTGCCCCGGCCCCGGTGCCGCCCGCCTGTGCTCTGTGTCTGGGAGCGTGGCAGCAGTTCCGTCTGTAGGCGAGGTCCCGTAATATCTGTGCTTCCCCGTCTGCCTGGCTGTCTTACTTCCCTCAGCACAGTGCCCTCGGGGTCTGTCCCTGTTGTCACCAGTGGCGGGCTTTCCTCCCTCCTTAGGGCTGCGTCCCAGTCCCCTCATCCCACTGGACGCATTTCCCCTGAGAAAGTCACACTGACTTCACCCACGCGCCGTTGACAGGCCGGCGCGGCGCTGCCTGGGGACCACCCGGTTGGCGTGGCCGGCCCGGGCATCGCGCCGGCTGACACTTGAAGCCCGCCTCTGTCACCAGCCCCCTGCAGCCTTGTCGTTGACCTGCTCCGCAAACAGGACTTTGGGGTCTCTTGCTCCCCTGACCCTTCTCCGCGCCACCCCCCGCCCCCGTCTGTCCTGCGTACGAGCCACAGCTCCGGGGGGTCTCCACGCTCACCGCTGTCCAGCTCTCAGGGGCAGAGTCACCGAGGGACCAGGCGAGGGCCCCGCAGGTCCCCGTCGGACCCGCGGCTGGCTTGGGAGAGGAGGGGTCGGGGCCTGAGGGCAACACTGGCTGGTGTGCGTGGGGGCGCGTGAAGACGCCCCTGGGACGGAAAGGACATGTCGGGTCACCGCTTGTTCACGTGGAGGCAGGAGCTGGGGCGTCTCCCTGAGTTGCGCTCGCTGCGGTCAGTGGTCTTCAGGAGGACTCGTCTCCTGGAGGAGCGGTGGGTTTGGGAAGGCCCTGCCCGTGGGGCATCCGCGCAAAGGGGGTGTCACGGCCCCACGCCCGTCCTCGGGAAAGCCAGGCTCATGGTGGCCAGGCCGCCCCCCCCCCCCCCGCCAGTAGCTCCAGGCCCGCTGAAACGCCGGCGCTCAGGAGTCAGGCCTGCATCCTGGCTCCGGCCCTGCCCAGCGTATGACCTCGGCAGTGGTCACTGCCTCCTCTGTGCCTCAGTTTCCCCGTCTGCCACACAGGGGGAGCCCGAGCGTAGTGAGAGTCGGTCACCTGGCAGGGTCCTGAGGAGGACAGCCCAGCGACACTCCTCTCAGACTTTCCCCTCGGGCTCTCGCGGCCCGGGAGCGGGGCCGAGCCCCCGCCCACCTCACGGGCAAGGAGACCGAGGCACGGGACGAGGCACGGGACGGCGGCGAGCTCGCGTGGGCCGCGAGGACCGGGGCTCCGAGCCGGCGAGTCCGTGTGGCCCCTCACGCCCGGGCCTCGTGTTTCAGATCATCCTGGTGAGCCCGTCGCTGAGCGACGGGAGGCAGAGCCTGTTCCTCAGCACGGACGAGGGCAGCTCCTTCCGGAAGCAGGTCATCCCCTTCTCCGCGGAGAAGCTGATTTTCCACCCCAAGGAGGAGGACAAGGTCCTGGTCACCACCAAGGACAGCAAGGTGAGCCGGCGGCGGGCCGGGCGGCGGGGCAGCCCCTGCTCCCTGGGGGGAACGGAGGCCCTGGGCTGGCCGGGAGGGGCCCGGGGTGGGGGCCACGGGACCCTCTGACACCTGCTCTCCCAGGCCTGCGCGCGCAGTCTGGGTGCCAGCTGGTGGGAGCAGCCCCGGGCTGCGGGTGCAAGAACTGGGTGGGGCGCAGGCGAGGGGGGGTGCTCGACACTCACAGGGGGCCTGGACATAGGTCATTCGTAGGACAGCCCCACTGCACCTCCCCTCTGCACACCACTTCTGCTTCTGGAACATTCCCAGCATCCTCCCAGCCTGCTTGCTGTCAGCCTGGAATGTTCTTCCACCTTCGCTGACGAGCAGGCATCCCCCTGAGGCCCCAGGTCGGCGTACCCCCCTCTGGGGCTGTGTCCACCCTTTGTGGGCGATGGAGCAGACCCCGGTGGCGGAGGGCTCCATCAGAGCCAGCGCACAGTAGGAGAGCTGCTGCCCACCCCCGTCCCCAGGGCTGAGGGGTGCAGTCCTCGGCCTAGGGAGGGCGCCTATGGAGTGGCCCCCACAGTGGGCAGGCGCCCCTGCAGCCACGGCGGACATGGCCGCAGACTGGACAGCCACAACACAGTCGTTCTCTCTCCAATCCGGAGAACGGGAATTTGAAGTAGTTTCACTGGGTCCAAACCAAGGTGTCAGCAGGGCCCGCGCCCTCGGGGGCTCCAGGGAGGGTGTTCCCGCGCCTCTTCTGGCTTCTGGCTTCTGGTGGCCGGCACACCGATCCCGCCGGTCTTCCGAGGCTGCACCTTCCCCTCTGTGTCCACTCCATCTCCGCGGTGTCGTGTGTGTGTGTGTGTGTGTGTGTGTGTGTGTGTGTGTGAGATAGTGGGGGGGGGGAGGGAGGGAGGCGGGGGGGGGAGATAACCCCCTCTGCCCCACGCAGGTAACCCAGGACGATCTTCCCTCTAAAGATCTTCCCTGAGTGGCCTGGAAGGTCCCGTCCACAGGTTCCAGGGGTTAGGACAAGACTGCCTTTGGGGGTCGTTTTCAGACCCCCCCCCCGTCTCAGGAGAGGACCCGGGGAGCCCTGGCTCCGGCCGTCCCGGGGGCAGCGGTGACCCCACCCACCCACTCCCCCCCAGCGCTCCGGCCTTCTCCTGCTGCCTCCGTGGGCCCAGTCCAACCGGAAGTCCGAGGGCCCGGCCTGGGTGACGGGGGAGGCTGGGCCGCTGGGCCCTGCAGGACGCCGACTGCATCAGGCCACCCCCCAAGCCTGGGAGCCGCCGCAGCAGCTCTGCTAACACACGGAAACAAACGCAGGGAGGCTGCCAGCCCTACAGGGGCGTTCCCATCAGACTGTCTGCTGATTCCTCCGAAGAAACCATGCGGGCAAGAAGGGGCTGGCGAGAAGTATTCAAAGTCGTGAAAAGCAGGGCCTACAGCCAAGACCGCTGTATCCGGCAAAGTCGTCATTTAGAGTCGAAGGGCAGATAAGGAGCTTCCCAGACAAGGCAGAGATGCAGGCGTTCATCGCCACCAAGCCCGGATTACACGGAATGTTAGAGGGTCTCCTTTAAGAAGACTAGAACTGTGAACAACAAAGTGGCAATAACTACATGCCTGTCAACAACTGATTCTAAAAAAAAGTAAAGTAAACAAGCAGAACAGAAACAGAATCATGGGCACAGGGAACGTTTTGGTGGCCCCAGACGGGCGGGGGTCTGGGTGAAGAGGGCGAAGGCAGCGAGAAGTGCCGACGGGCGGCCACAGAACAGCCGTGGGGAGGGAGGGTGCGGCACGGGAAACAGAGCAGCCACAGGACACGCATGCAGACCCCACGGGCGGGGACCACGGCGTGGGCACTGCCTGAGCGAGTGGGGCCGGGGCGGGTGGAGGGGAGCGAAGGGGGGAAACTGGGACGACTGTGGTAGCATCAACAGTAAAATGTAATTTAAGAAGAGCACGCCGCTCGTGTGCAGACCCGGCCTCCAGAGCCGCCCCCCTATGGCCTGCACTGCCTGGCAGTGCCCACACACCAGGGGTCGGACGCTGGGGCGCAGAGTCCAGCTGCTGCCTGCACCTCTGTCCCTTCGCCCTTTCTCGCTGGAGGAGGGACACCAGATCATGACCCAGTGACCTTGTAGGTCAGCCAAAACCACCGGAGGTGGCAGGAAAGTGCCTCCTTCCGAACCTCGCACAAGTCCATCTGTCCGACTCAGAACTGTAGCTGCAAGGGAGTCCGAGCAACGTGGGACCTGAGCTTCGCAGCCTCTGCGGGGGCGGGGGGGGGGTGCCGAGCACCAGCCAGCACACCCAGCGCGCACGGAAGGCCCGGGCAGCGGTGCGATGCCCCTGACAATCGTGCCAGACCTCCTGGCTCGCACCTCCGGGGACACACCGTCCCCTGACCGGCCCCCCGCCACCGTGACTGCTCCCTGCGTGACTCCTGATCGTGGTGTCTCTATGTCAGAGCACCATTCCTGTGCACAGCCCTCCCTCCCCTCTTAGAGGGTGACTGGACTCAAGCCACCTTTTCACGGGGCGTCGCCGTGAGGGTTTCAGCCGCAGTGACTGCTTCCCCCAGGGCGTTTGTTCTTGCTTACTTCCCGACGCCGAGTCTGTTGTTGAGCAGAAACGTCGTGTTTCTGCAGCGTTTGATGGCACGTTATGAAACCACCTCCCAGGGGAGCAGCACTGGAAAGGGTTCGTAAGGCCCCAGGGCAGGCATCACAGACGCAAGGGCCTCGGCGACAGTGGCAGTGCCGCCGCCGCCGCCGCCCAGGGGGTGGGGGAGGTTCCGTTACCTGCCTCCCCGGCACCGAAGGGTGCCGACCGTGGTGTGCGCCCCCACTGCCCGAGGACGTGGGCGGTGCTCTCCCGATTTGCAGACGGGTAAACTGAGAGAGGAGGTGGGACTGGCCCCGGCCTGGTCCCTCGGGGGACCCAAAGGACTGGGGTGTAGCCGGTCATCCTTCCGAGGGGCGCCTCCGCCAGCGGCACATCCTGCTCCGGCGTACAGGCGGGCGTCACTGCAGGGAGCGCACCCTGCAGCCTGGAGCAACTTAACCTCTCATCGGCGTGCACAAGGGGGTGTGTGTGTGCGTGTGTGTGTGTGTGTGTGTGTGTGTGTGTGTGAAATAAACGAAGCAGCGTTTGCTGAGCTCGTGTCTCAGTGCCCGGCTCCGTGACAGGCCACAGCCGCCGCCCCGCTCTCCCACGACGCCCTCGTGCAGACTCGGCCCAGCCGGTCGAGGCTGCCCCCGCACCCGCCGCCGTGTGCCTGGTGAGCCGAGGTCCTGGCCTCCCGAAGCCGGGGCTGGGGGTGGGGTGGTGGAGGCTTTCCAAGGGCCCTTTTTAAATGTGACAGGTGACCCCTCCTGACCCCGGGCCCTGAGGAGGCAGGTGTCAGCCGACAGTGGCCTGCGTGCGCCTGTTTGAGAATAAAGCTCTGGTGGCACAGAGCCACGCCCGCCTGCCACGCACTGTCCCAGCAGCTCTGTCCCTCCAAAGAGGTGGGGGGGGGTGAGCAGTGGCCCCGGAGCCCACGGGGCCCAAAGAGCTGAGAACATGGGCTCTCGGGCGCTTTGCAGGACGTTTGACCGCCCCGCCCTGGGGTGCCACCTGCTCGTTCGTCCGGTGCCCCCAGCAGTGTGGGGCCCGGCTGGGTGTGGTGACCGAGTGCGGCCAGCAGGCTAGGTGCCCACGAGGGGGGTTCCGTGGGGCGGCGGCCCCGGGCTTCCTACACCCCAACCTCTGGGCTCCTCCCAGCCGGCCTGGGTCAGCACAGGCTCTCTGTGGCGCCCCCGCCCCTGCCCCTGAGCCTCTGAGGGGCTGGCCCGCACCCCCCACCTGAGCGCAGGGCCAGCCACCCAGACGGGCACTGCCCTGGAGGGCAGGCCTGGCTCCCAGAAGGGGCTGACTCCTGACCGGGCTTCTGTTTCTTGTCTCCCGCCCTGAAGCTCTACGTGACCTGCGACATGGGGAGGAACTGGCTGCTGCTGCAGGAGCGGGTGCTGAACGAGCAGGTGTTCTGGTGAGAGCGCGCCCCGAGGAGGGAGCGGCAGCCCCCCGGCCCCCCCCCCCGCTCAAGGCTCCCCACCTGCTCCCACTCTGCCCCCAGCCCGGCATTCCCTGTCCCCAGGGGACCCCCGTGGGTGCCTTGCGCTCCGCTGGACGGTAAGAGACGGTGGGGCCCTGGGGCCTGGTGTCCCGCAGGCTGCCCCTGCCACTCCGTGCGGGCCACTCCGGCAGCCCACTCATGTTCTTGGGGAGCTGCTGGGTGAGCTCTGGCGCCACATCCTGGTCCCACGGCTCAAGCGGGCAAGTCAGGGCTCAGGAGCCGCGCGCTGTGTGAGGGAGTGAGGCCCTCGGGGGACAAGTACCTGCCGAGGCCGGGCCAGCGGGCACTGGACGTGAGCTGCTCGGAGCCCACGGCCCCCACCAGCCGCACATCCGCCTCCTGTGCGGCTGCCTGGTGGGGGGGGGGGGCGCTGATGTTCTCTCTGCCACACCCCTCCGCGGGTGCTCGCGTGTGCACACGCACACACGCACGCCGTGGACCTGCAGCCCGTCCCTGTCTGCTCTGCACGCTCGTTCGCACACGCGCGAGGGGCCGGTTTCCTGACGAAGGGCCCCGGGCTGGAGGGACCGCTGTGTCTCCTCCGGGACACGGGCTGCCCAAGGCTCCGGCCTTTCTCCAGGGGCAGGACTGATGGCCGCCTCCCTGCGCGGCCGCCCCTGGGAGGGCCGCTTCCTTCCTCGGGAACCGGAGCCCTGCCATCGACCCCAGCCTTGTCACCATCGCGGCCATCACCCGACTTCCTCCCCGGGTTTCTCACACAGCTCCGGGGTGTTGTGCGCGGGAGCGGTAACCGCTCCAGACACTGGGCCGCTGGGCCCGGCCTCGCCTGGGGGCATGGTGGCCGTGAGGGTGGCCCCCCATCGTCAGCAGCGAACACCGCATCTCCAAGGCCCCCCTTGTCCCTGAACGGGCAGCGGGAAGGACCCGCGTCCCGTGTGACTCTAGGGCTCGTGACTGACCAGAGATGCTGAACAAGGGGGCTCCGGGGAGTGGCCCCGGGGCCCGCAGGAGGGCAGCCCTGGGGCGGGGGGCCCTGGGCGTCGCCCGCCCTGCTGGTGTCTCGGTGGCCCTGGGACAAAACCATAGTAACAGCCACCTGGTGGCGGCCACGTTGTGAGCCCCGCCCGCCCACCAGGCAGGCACCAGCCTCGGGGTCTGACCCCCGCCCCCGTCATCGGAGCCCACTCAGCAACAGCCCGATTGCCTATCCTCATGTGGCGGAGGGGGAGGCCGAGGCTCAGAGGGGCTGGACGGTGGTCCCGAGCCGTGGCTGCCCCACCTGTGGCCAGAGGCCGTGCTAGTGGTCCCTGAGGGGCAGCCTGGCCGCCGGCGCTCCCCCAGGTCAGTCAGCGTCTCCACGGGGCCTGCGCTCGCCCCGGGAAGCCTCAGCCTCCCTCAGCCTCCCTCTGCTGAGCTGCAGAGCGGCCCCCGTGGGCCCCGTGGTGGGACCCCTGCCGTGCGGGAGGGAGGCCGCCCCACACCAGGCTGCATCGTGACGCCCCGGGGGGATCGTCAGCACCCCTGCCTCGCAGCCGCCCTCAGCATCGGGGCCGGGGGGGCGGTACAGCCGATTCTCTGAGCTTCCACGGCACGTGACTCCGGGGAGCCTCTGGTTCGTGGGTCGTCCTCAGCCCGCGGTGTCCACCCCCCCAGTCCAAGCCCTGCCGTGCGCGTGTCGGGAAAGCCGTGGGAGACACCGCTGGGGGAGTGGGAGACTGAGGGAGTGTGTGTGGCGGGGGAGAGAACGAACGAGAGAAAAAGAGTGGGTGAGTGAGTAAATGAATGACTGAGTGAGTGGGTGAGTGAGTGGGTGAGTGGGTGGGTGAGTGGGTGAGTGGGTGAGTGAGTGGGTAGGTGAGTGGGTGAGTGGGTGAGTGGGTGAGTGAGTGGGTGAGTGGGTGGGTGAGTGGGTGAGTGAGTGGGTGAGTGAGTGGGTAGGTGAGTGGGTGAGTGGGTGAGTGAGTGGGTGAGTGGGTGGGTGAGTGGGTGAGTGAGTGGGTGAGTGAGTGGGTAGGTGAGTGGGTGAGTGAGTGGGTGAGTGGGTGGGTGAGTGGGTGAGTGAGTGGGTGAGTGAGTGGGTGGGTGAGTGGGTGGGTGAGTGGGTGAGTGGGTGAGTGGGTGGGTGAGTGGGTGAGTGAGTGGGTGAGTGGGTGGGTGAGTGGGTGAGTGAGTGGGTGAGTGAGTGGGTGGGTGGGTGTGTGAGTGGGTGAGTGAGTGGGTGAGTGGGTGAGTGAGTGGGTGAGTGAGTGGGTGAGTGGGTAGGTGAGTGGGTGAGTGAGTGGGTGAGTGAGTGGGTGGGTGAGTGGGTGAGTGGGTGGGTGAGTGGGTGAGTGAGTGGGTGAGTGAGTGGGTGGGTGAGTGGGTGAGTGAGTGGGTGAGTGAGTGGGTGGGTGAGTGGGTGGGTGAGTGGGTGGGTGAGTGGGTGAGTGAGTGGGTGGGTGAGTGGGTGGGTGGGTGGGTGAGTGGGTGAGTGGGTGAGTGAGTGGGTGAGTGAGTGGGTGAGTGGGTGGGTGAGTGGGTGAGTGAGTGGGTGAGTGAGTGGGTGAGTGGGTGGGTGAGTGGGTGAGTGAGTGGGTGAGTGAATGGATGGGTGAGTGGGTGAGTGGGTGGGTGAGTGGGTGAGTGGGTGAAGGAGTGCGTGTGTCAGCGAACAGGCTGGTGTCATCACCAGACTCTACAGACGACGGTTGTCAGACCCCAGTCCCGTGGGCCCGGCCGCGGGCGCTCCTGGGGAAGGGGCAGTGAGCGACCTCCTGCGTTCAGGGGAGAGCGGGCATCCAGGCCGGAGGGCTCCCTCCGGGGAGCTCACGAACGCTCTGTTCACGGGACTGCTGGCCCGGGGCCCTCAGACCCACACGCGGCTGCCCGTCCGACCGCTGGGGCCGCTGGTCCCCGGACGAGGTGCAGCCCCTTGGGAGGCGGGGCTGAGAACTGCAGGGCCTGACTCAGGTGGGGGGTCCGTGGCCGCTGGCGACTGAGCGCCCCGCCCGGGGGTCTCAGGACCGGCGAGGACGTCCAGTGGCTGTGGGACAGGGCCCGCGCACTGCAGGGGTCCGTGTCCCCGCGGGCAGGCTTGGTTGCTGGGTGGACGTGAGGCGGTCACTTCGGTCCAAGAGTCGCTGCCTCGAAAGTGCCCGCTCAGCAGATCCCGCGCTCCGCACTGGGGCGGAGGCGGAGTGGTCAGAGGTTTCCGAGCGTTAGTGTCGAGGCAGTGAAGAAAACGGCAGCAGACGCAGCCCAGGGGACGCGTCGCAGAGTGAGAACCGGGACCCCTCGGACCAGGTCCTCACCGAGCCTCCATCCAGTCCGAACGTCTGCACTCCACTTCCCGGGTGCCCTGCGCAGGGCGGGGCAGGCGCTGGGGCCCCCCCCACACCGATGCCGCTGGCCGTCCCTGCGCCCCGGGAGGCCGCAGCCCGCGGAGCTGCGACCCTGTGACCTGCCTGCCGTCCTCCCGTTCTCGGGCCTCCTCAAAGGCCCACCGCAGCCCAGGAGTGCCGGAGCCCCCGGCCCGCGTGGTCACGGGGCCAGCAGCCGCGAGCAGGGCCTCCCAGGGTGCCCCGGGCGGTGGGTCCCTGGGAGCTGCGGGTGAAGGGAGAGGGCCCCGTGGGGAGCCGGGCCCTGCCACCAGGGCTGTGCACCTTGGGGCGGTCGCTTTGCTCCTCTGGGCCTCAGTTTCCTAATTTGCAAAATCAGGGAGGTATTCCCAGGGCTGCCCCTGCCTCCGGAGACCATTTTGATCTTTAAAAAAAATAGACAGAAGACACACAACTCATGGGAGAGTCCTCTGCAAAGGAGAACACCATCTGTGAAGGGGACCGTTGCCCCGGCTGGTGCGGCTCAGTGGATCGAGTGCCGGCCCGTGAACCGAAAGGTCGCCGGTTCGATTCCTGGTTGGGGCACGTGCCTGGGTCGCAGGTGTGGACCCAGGTGGGGTGCATGCGACAGGCAACCAACCGGTCGATGTTTCTCTCCCTCCTTTCCCTGCTCTCTCTCTCTCTCTCTCAAGATTTTATTTATTTATTTTTAGAGAGAGGGGAAGGGAGAGAGAAAGAGAGGGAGAGAAACATCAGTGTGTGGTTGTCTCTCTCACGTGCCCCCAGCTGGGGACCTGGCCCACAACCCAGGCATGTGCCCTGGCTGGGAATCGAACCAGCGACCCTTTAGTTCGCAGGCTGACGTTTAATCCACTGAGCCACACCCTCCAGGGCCCACTCTCTAAAAATAAATAATAAATCTCTAAAAAACAAGAACAGGACTGTCGCTGAAGGGCGCCGAGCAGACCCAAGGCCCTGCGTGGCAGGGACCCCGGCCGCCTCCCCGGAGCCGTGGGGTCTGAGAACTGTGGCCTCCAGCCACGGCGTGAGAGCGGCCCGAGACCCGGGAGCCCATGGGGCGACACGGGGTCGGGGGCGTGGGTGCAGGCGCTGTCCGGGCCTGGGGCCCCCACGCCCGACGCCAGCCCGAGCCCCCTGTGTTGCAGGGCTGCGTCTGGAGCGGACGGCGAGGCTGACGTGGTCCACCTGCAGGCCCACGCGCTCGGAGGAGGTGAGTGGGGCTGGGGGCGGCAGAGTGGGTGGTCCCCCAGGGTCCCGGCAGCTTCCTGACAGGGCCAGGGAGCTCGGGGCCCAGAGCCCCCACCCTCCCCCCGCGCAGCCGCAGGTGTGACCACAGGGCAAACCCCTGAACATCCCAGCCCGCCCGCAAACCCGCTGTGCAGCTCCCGGCCGGCCGGCGGGGGCCAGGAGAGGCCGGCTCCCAGGGTGCCCGAGGCGCACGCTGAGCGCCCCGCCGGCCCCTCGCCCGCCGCAGGCTTCCGGTACCTCACCTACCGCGTGCACAACTGCTCCCAGAAGACGCCCACGTCGCCCTTCTCAGGCCCCGTCGACCGCAACTCCCTGTTCGTGGAGAACGACTACATCTTCTTCACGGTGCGTGGCCGCGGCGGGCTCGTGGGTGTGGCGGGAGGGGCCGTGGCGCGTGGGCCGTTCCACGGGCAGCGACGCCTACGGGAGGCACAACAAGGAGTGGCTGTCGGACTTCCGAGCATTACTTGGTTCACAGTCTCCCCCCCGCCCCCTGAGGCCGTGGCGGCAGGCTCCCCCGGACGGCCCCGTCGAGCCGGACCCCGGTTCTGGGGGCTGCCTGCCCCTCCCCCGCACCAGCAGCCTCCCACGGCCCACATCCGTGTTGCACCGTCTGGTGCCGGTGACTTTGGCTTTGGTAGGGCTGTCTCTGGTCATTGCCCTTGGCTGCCAGACACCATCTGCCCACAGCCAGCGACCAGGACCTGCTGCCCGTACACACCGGGACTCAGGCCAGAGTCGGGCGCACCCTCCGAGACCGTGTGGACTGACCATTCGGAAACTCCAGTCAACGACTGGTCATACCACCTCTTGGTTACTGCTACTGACGAGGAGCTCAGTGCTTCCAAAACAACCTGTCCCCTCTCCTGGTTGGCTCAGACCTTAGAAAGTTCATTGCACCTTGCTCCCCGACTCAGATGCAGGGGAATGACATGGCGACGGAGCAGGAGGACAGGGGTTAGTGCTAACTGAAGAAGGCGGAGGACGCTTCTCGGAGAAGGGGCATTGGGTGTGGGGATTTGAAGGATGAGGAGGAGTTCGTGTGTTCCAGGCAGAGCTCGACCATGCAAAGCCAAAGGGCATTTTTTTCACGAGCCGAATACGCAGTGTAGTGTTCGTTCACGGGGCTCTGGCTCGAAAGGAAACCAGCCCCTCAAACACGCGCCCCTCCCCCCGGCCAGGCCACCTCCAGCAACCGGACCACATTCTACGTCTCCTACCGTCGCAGCGAGTTCGTGCCCATGAAGCTGCCCAAGTACGCGCTGCCAAAGGTAGGCGTGGCGGCCTCGCCCGCCCACCCGGCGTGGCCGCGCCCTGGGCCTGTGCTCACGCGTGGGGCGGGGCGGGGGCCCCCGGGGTCAGGACAGACCAGAGCGAGTGTGGCCGGCGTCCTCCAGCTGCCCCCCACCTCCGTGCCCGCGTCACATGTACCCGGGTGCGTCCTGTCTCAGGCCTGTGCTGCGCCCTCCGTCGGCCGGGCTGTCTCTCCCCAGAGCTCCTGCACGTGAGGTGTCTCCTGAGACAGACAGGTCGTTGGTCACTTGCCAACGACCCCCCAGGCTCGTCTCGGCCTCCATCTCCTGCTGGTCCCCCACCCCAAATCCCAGGGTGCTGGGGTGGCCGTGTGGCTCTCCCGCTTGTAGCTAGAGTTTTGAGAGTTGGGGGCAGTTTCTGTTTCATTAACCTTTGCTTTCTGACTGCCTGGGATGGGGCTCGGCACACAGTAGGTACTCAGCTTTTGCAGCGTCCTTCCCCTTGCCTGGGCATGCAAAAATGGGGGACCAAGGGCTGCCCAGACCCTGTGCCCAGCCCAGCCTCAGGACCCAACTCCACAGCCCCTGCCTGCGGATACCTTACTCCCATTGGACAGGGTGTGGGGGGGAGGGGCCGGGACTGGCGTTCAGAGAGGCTGGGTAACCTGCCTGAGGCTGCACAGCGACTTAGAAGCCGAAGATGGGGTCGAACCCACGTCCCGGTAAGTGAGACCCGCCTCGTGCCGCCTCTCTGCCCGGAGGCCATCGCCCGGCCCCTGCGCAGCTCTATGCCCCGCCTGCATTCTTCAGAAGCGCGGGTGCCGCCGCTGCCAGCCAGACACCCGGGCGGCGTGCATGTGCGTGCGTGTGTGTCGTTCGGCTCCCACAGCGTCCACTCTGAAGGCAGAGCTCGTGCGTCCGTGTCGGCCCTTCTGACCGGCCTCCTGTGCTGGCATTAGTTACTCGTAACGGTTTTTAAAAATACTCATGTTTCCTGACCAAACAAAAAAAAAAGATAGGTAAAGGCTTTAAACAGAAAAAAAGAGGAGGAAAATCCAAATAACTATCAATTACAGAAAGAACATAAGCGTAAAGGAAATGCAGCGCCGCTGTAAATGTTCCTTTCCTTGTGTTAAGTTTCTGTGACGTGAAATAACGTTCGGAGAGCGTGAGGACAGAGGCAGACGTGACCTCAGGGGCGACGGTGCAGAGGCCGAGGCAGTGGGACCCGCCGTCCCGGCGGGGACGCAGCCGCAGCACGGAGCCTGCCCGGCGGCCCTGGGGCGCCGTCCTGGCGTCGGTGCCAAGGCTGGCAGCTCCCGGGGCGCGCTGGGGCGGCCGGTCAGGTTACCTTCCACGGTGCCAGCTCTTACCCCGGTGGCAACGTGCCCGTCGCCCGCCCCCAGCCCCTCGGCAGGCAGGCGGACGCGCCCGCGTCCCCAGGGAGGCGTGTGCACGCAGCGTGCAGGAGCAGAGCGGGCACGAGGCCCAAACGCTGAGCGTCTGATGCCCGGTGGCTGCTTTCAATCCGGGGGGGCTGCCGACACCCCGCCTGGCCATCCTCAGTGCACCCGCCGCTGCTGCCGGCTGAGGCAGCCCTGGGGGCGTAAAGGGCCAGAGCCTGTTTCACCCGCTGCCTTCTCCTTCTTTCCCTGCTGGGAGTCAGATATTTAAGGACTGGGACACTCAAAAGCTACCACGCGTGTGAAAGAATCAGAAAGCCACCATGCAGGCCCAAGGAAGGACAAGTGCGGGCTCAGGAAAGACCTAAGAGGGACCTAAGTTTACGCCTCAGGCTGGTCCTTGCTGCAGAGCCAGCCTGTGATGAGCAAAACCAGAAAGAGAAACAAAACAGCGAACCCTGGGGGAGGGGACGAACCCGGTTTACACAGTTACCGCACCGTTTCAGCCGACGTGTGATTTCAACAGCGAAAAGCCCAAAGTCACACAGAGTGTGGTCCCTTCGAAGGGAAAACACACAAACCGACAGAGACTGTTCTTGAGGGCGAGCTGACAGCAGACCTACTAGACAGAGACGCTAACACCACTGCCTCGGGATACAATAAAAAGAAACAGGAAACACAGAGCGGAAGCAAAAAAAATCCTGGAGCTGAAAAGAACAATAACTGAAATGAGAAAAATCCCCTAGAGGGATTCAAAAGCACATCTGAGCAGAGAACTTAATCATGTGATGATGGAAATTACGGAGCGTGAGGAACAGAGGGAAAAGATGGGAGGCAAGGGGACACCATCCCAGGGGCCTGGGGGCGACGTCGGACCGACCCGCACACCCATCGAGGGAGTCCCCTAAGACTAGAGCGGGGGAGCCCAAAACTTCCCAAACCGATGAGAGACGTGAACATAAACATCTAGGAAAGATGATGAACCCCAGGTGGTACGAACACGGAGCCCACACCAAGACACATTATAGTCCAACCACTGAAAGACGAGGAAAGAAAGTTGAAAGCAGCAGGAGAGAAGCAACTCGTCACATACACGAGCTCGTCCATCAGATTTTTAAGCAGATTTCTCACCGGGAACCTTGGAGACCAGCAGGCAAAGAGTTAATATGCTCAAAATGTTGAAGCAGTCTGATGAGGTACTGGTTCATCTGGCTGTTCTGTGAGTTTTATGTGAAGGTCTGCGGGGAAAATTCCCCTTATCGTGCTTATAAAAAGGCTTTTAAACTTTTCAAAGTTACTTCTTTAAAATATATTCACTACAACTGTCCTGGCTGGTAGCTCAGTGGATTGAGTGTCAGCCTTTGAACCAAAGGGTCGCCGGTTCGATTCCCAGTTCAGGGCACAGGCCTGGGTTGTAGGCTAGGTCCCCACTGGGAGGGGCGTGAGAGGCAACCACACATGGATGTTTCTCTCCCTCTCTTTCTCCTTCCTTTCCCCTCTAAAAATAAACAAAAAGAAAATCTTTTTGAAAAACTTTAAAAATATATATTTGCTACAATTAATAGAATGATACAAATATTTATACCCTTTGTACCTGGTTCCTCTCCACCCCTTATCCCCAGGGCCGCCTCATTCCTCATTCCCCATGGTAGGAGAGTTACTACCGGGCAACTCTGGGAGACGTCTCAACAACCTTTCTGCCTCCGTATCTTAGCTTCAGAAACCCCAGTTTTAGCTGGTGCATTGCTTCCCACCTAAAAGACTACATTTCCCAGCTGCCCTGGTAGCTGCCGTGGTCCTGGTTCTAACACTATGGCCGATGACAGGCAAGTGGGGTTGTCACGGGGAGACTTCTCGGAGTCCTCCTTCCAGGGCAGGCTTTTCTGTCCCCCTTCCCCTCCTCCCTCCTGCTGCCTTGCTTGTGGACAGGACGGCTGGCACCCCAGCAGCCACCTTGGACCACGAGGACAAGACACATCCCGAGACAGTGGAACATGGCTCAGAAGGAGCCCCCGTTCCCGGTGGCTTTGGAGAGCTTCCACGCTGGACCGTCTGCGTCCGGACTTCCTGCACCCACGGGAGACGTGCGCTGCTGCTGCCTTATCTGCCCCACCCCCTGTGCCTGTGACTGGCAATCAGACCTAGTTCACCTGATAGCACATATTGGCAACCTTGGTGTTGCCACCCACACGTTTCTGCAGGCTGCAGAGACACGGATGAGGTCTGTCCAGAAGGGACCCAACCAGGTACTATGAAAACAGAGACATTTATTGAAGAAGACACAAGAGACAAGAAACATCGCACACAGGACAGCGACGCCTCAGCCCCCTGCAGTTGTGACCTTGAGGAAGTCTGGGTCATTGGAAGCGGTTTGAGCCGAGTCACCAGCAGCTGCAGCACGAGGTCCCTTCCGCTCTGGGTGCAGAGGCCACGGAATGGATTTTGCCACGACAGGTTTCATGCCAAGGTCCTGCGTCAGAATCTCAGACACACTGGCTCCTGGAGCCCCGGCTCCGCTTCCAGTCCTCATGGGGGGCTCCTCCCCACTGTGTTGTTCCCCCGTCACAGGTGGGAACCACCAGGCCCCGCGCCCCCTGGGGCAGTCGGATCCTTCCCGAGCCCCGGCTCCCCGGTCCCGGGCATTTCTGTGGGATAGACTCCCAGGGTCTAACCCGGTCCTCCCGGACGGAGGTGCACAGTGGCTGCGTCACCACCGTGTCCCTTCCCCGCACAGCCCCTTGCCGTGACCTCGCGGGCGGGCGGGGCCGCGGGCGGGCCCCGCCGCGTTCATCCGGCGCTGGCTGGGAGAGGGGAGGAGCACGAGACCGAGGGTCGCCCCGAGGTCCCTCTCCCTCCCTGTTGTTTGCCCTGGCTGCTTTGCTCCCGGGCGGTGCATCTGGCCCTGGAACCCCAGACGGCCGCCGAGGTCACTGTGCAGCTGCCCGGGGCTTCTGCTCCCAGGGGGCACCTGGGGCTGGGGGCCTGGGCCTTTGCTGCCCCCTCCTCAGAGCAGCCCTCCACCCCCACCACGCCCGGGCTGCCTGCCGCCTGCCCCTGACCCGCGAGAGGGCCTTGCGGGGTGGGGGGGCCCAGGGCAGTGGCGCAGCCCCCAGCATGGGCAGGCAGGTGGCAGGCTGCGACGAGGTCCCTGCGCGTGAGGCTGGGGCGCACCGACCCATCCCCCCCACCCCGTGGGTGGTCCCGGAGGGCAGAGACCCCACGGGACCCTGCACCGGACCCCCACCTCGGACGGCGCCTGGCTGGTGGTGGGCACCTACTGGACACGAGCCCAATGGTGACTTCTCCGACCTGCTGGAGGAGACACGGGAAGGGGGCTTGGGGGGGACACCCATCACTGCCTCACATCTAGGGGTGCCCCTGACAATCTGGGGGTGCACAGAGGAGTCCCGTACCCCTGCAAGCCCGACTCCAAGAGCCCGTGGCCGATGCCCCCAGAGCAGCGCCCCCGCTGCCCCTCCACCGCCGGCCCCTGCTGACCCCGCACTCCCCCCCCGCACCCCAGGACCTGCTGGTGGTCAGCACGGACGAGAACCAGGTGTTCGTGGCGGTGCAGGAGTGGCACCAGACGGACACCTACAACCTGTATCAGTCGGACCCGCGCGGCGTGGCCTACGCGCTGGTGCTGGAGGACATCCGCAGCTCCCGGCGGCCGGACACCGAGGCCATCATCGACATCCTGGAGGTGGGACCCGGGCTCCACCCCCGCCTTCGCTCGCGTGCGCTGTGCGCTGTCGCGGTGTTCCATGGGGGGCTGCGCGCTCTGGCTGGGCAGGCCCAGAGGAGGCCGTGCGTGTGTGTGGGCGCTTTCAGAGCAGGAGAGGGGGCTCGCCCTTTCTGACCGAGTCCAGACTACGTAGGAGGACACAGTTTGTGTAGTAACCCAGGTCTGCTAAGGGGGGAACGGGGCTTGGGGCGGGGGAGGGGACATGTTGCCGATGCCGGGCGCGGGGTCGGTGGTCCCTGTTGTCCACTGGCCTACAGAGGCCACCCACGAGGCCATCCCGGCCCCCGTCCTGCTGCGAGCCTGCCAGGGCCGGGTGAGGCCTGCGGGACGGGGGCTGTGGCCCCTACTCCGTGGCGGCCCCCTGGGCCCCCGCCCCCCTTCTCTCTCCCTCCCAGCCTCTCCCCCCCGCTCCGTCCAAGTGTCTGATGTCTGTCTGGCTTCCCTTCACTCCATCTCCCCCACCCCTGGCCCCCACAGCTCCTGCCTCCCCTCTTCTCACACGTGGAGCCGGGGCCCCGGCTGGTGGTCCCCAGAGCTCCCGGCCACAGCGGGACACAGCCCCCGGGCTGGGCTGAGCACAGGCCCAGGGAGCCGTGTGTTCGGGTCGCTGCCGGGGGCCCCTCGGGGGCCGGGCTGCCCTTGAGTGACGGAGGCAAAACGAGCCCCCGTCCCGGGCGGCCAGGCTGGGCACGGAACCCGTCCTCGGGTGGGGCTTGGTCTGGGGCGCGCCTCGGGGGCTCGGGGGAAAGCCCAGGGCCATCCCGTCGGCCGAGGCCAGGTGTGTTTGCTGCGGGGGAAGGTGGGGGGGATGGTGCCATGAAGCAGCCGCTCTGCCCAAAGACGCGGTGACCCCGGTGCACGGGCTGGTGGGGGACCGGGCCCTGCTCGCCGTGTCCGGCAGCCAGTGTCCGGCTCTGGGAGGACAGCTCGGTGTCAGGAGAAGCACCCGGGCGCCGGGGTCAGACAGTCCGGGATCCCGTCCCCCGCGCCTGCCCGGCTCCCGGCCTCAGGGTGGGCGGGGCGCACGGGCCGTGGGCGCAGATCTCCGGCCCGGACGGCCCACGTGACCCGCCGTGGCTCGTCCCAGGTCCACGGCGTGAAGGGCGTCTTCCTGGCGAACCAGAAGAAGGACGGGAAGGTGGTGACGCTGATCACCTACAACAAGGGCCGCGACTGGGAGCACCTGCGGCCGCCCAGCGTGGACATGAACGGGAAGCCGACCAACTGCCAGGCCGTGAGCGCCCCCCACCCCTCACACGCCCCTGTGGGCGGGGCGCACGACGCGGCCGAGGGGACCCCGGGGGTCAGAGGTGGGCACGTCCGAGCCGGCCCCTCGGAGAGGCAGGGACCCCCGGTGACTCTGGGCCTGGCGCACAGGTTTCCCGGACAGGGCTGCCCTCGGGCGACTGGGTGACCGGGCTCCGGCCAGGGGGCCTGCTGCCTTCACCCCGGGGGGGGTCACGGGGGGGGTCGCCGCCCGCCGTGTGCCTTTGCAGAAGGGCAGGCAGGGCTCCTTCCGGCTGCGTTTGCTGCCTTTGGTCCTCCTCCGGCTCTGCCGCCTTACTGAGACGTGACTCACTCCCCCTGCGCCTCTCCCAGCCGAAGGGCGCAGCTCAGGGTCTCAGCGGCTTCTCGGGGCTGGGACCCCCTCAGCACGGCCCACTGAGAGCATGTGCATCGCCCCCAAAGGACAGTGTGCCCCTTACCCAGCCCCCCACCCGTCCCCACCCGCCTGCCGGTCCCGCCGTGCGGCCGCCGCCCCTGCTGACGGCTCAGCCCCGTCCGTGAGCCTCGCGTGGGCGTGTCTGAGCCCGCGGTGCAGCCGGCACAGGCCGACCCGGCACGGGCCGCCCAGCTCAGGGAGTGGGTTTGGCCGGCAGGGTGACCCAGTGAAGACGATGGGGTCCCACAGCGGCCCCACGCCCCTTCCCGCGCCCTGGGGTGGGGGATGAGGGCGGCAGCGCCCTGGGCTCCGCCTCATAAACCAGGAACCCCAGGACCCCCGAAGCGTCCCGTAAAAATTAGCGGTCCCTCCGAGGTTGAAATTTGGATCTTTGGGTGCTCGGTCCTGGGGTATTTCCAAACTGGTATATTTTTTAGAAAAAAGAGAGAGCCATCGGTCAGTGCGAATGGCCGTTGAAATGGTTATGAATGGGGCTCCTGCCCCTCCTGCCCCTCCTGCCCCTCCTGCCCGGGCGGCCGCAGACACCGGGCAGGACCCCAGCGCAGGCACGCCCCCCTTCCCCTCTCTCACAGGGGGCGGGACCCCAGCGCAGGCACGCCCCCCTTCCCCTCTCTCACAGGGGCGGGGCCTCAGCGCGGGCTCCGGCTGTTCCCTGGCGCCCAGGCTGTCGGGGCTCCCTGCCGGCCCCCAGGGAAGGCTCTGGAGGGGTGAAGGAGAGAACGGATGTGTGGGCCATGCGGGCTCTGGGTGCCGTCCGCGGTCCGGGGCCTGGCACCCCGGGCTGGGAGGCCCACTGCCGGCGCCCACGCTGGGAAGGCCGCCCTTAGAGAGGCCCCTGGCTTCACCTGAGAGCGCAGTCACCTAGGAGTCGGTCTCAGCGCCTCTTGCCACCTCCTCCCCCTCCTTAGAGGTGCTCCCGGCACTGCCTGCCCGCCCGGAAGGCCACGGGGGTGAACTTGGTCTCGGGGCTGCCTTCCCGAGGGCTGCCCGTCCGCCACCCCCGGTGCTGACCATGGCCTTCTTCCCCCTCCCCCGCCCCCTGCAGCCGGACTGCCACCTGCACCTGCACCTGCTCTGGCCGGATAACCCCTACGTGTCCGGCACCGTGCACACCAAGGACACCGCCCCGGGCCTCATCATGGGGGCAGGTAGGGGGCGCCCTCATCGCCGGGTGGCAGGAGCCGCCGGCACAGGAGGGGAGCTCGGTTCCCTTGGGGAGCAAGGGTGCACCTTGTTGCCGTGGGCCTGGGTGAGGGCATGCCCACCCCAGCGGTGACATCCCTGGGAGCTCAGCTGTTGTGGACTGGAGGGGGGATGTGTGGCCCAGAACGGGCACAGGACACGTGTCGGCTGAACGGGAAGGTGGGTGGATGGATGGATGGATGATGGATGGATGGGTGGTGGGTGGTGGGTGGATGCAGGGTGGAGAGAGGGACAGGTGGGTGCATGCGTGTACTGGCCCCTCGCTGGCCCTGGAAAAGGAGGACGGGCACACAGACCCGTCCCTGTGCTGGGAGGTATCTCTGAGGGTGTGCGGACGGCCCACCTCCTGTGGGATTCCCGACGACATCTGCGCTCAGCTCTGGGTAGGCGCCCCTGAGGGTGCTGCGTAGATGAGGCCCCGAACACCAGGCGCTGGGCTGGTCGCCCAGGGCAGGGGCCCGGGGGCTCCAGGGGAGCTCCCAGAATGGCTTCGGGGTCCTCGCTGTCCCCCATCTTCCTGGGACCCCGACCTCTGGTCCCTGCCAAGACCGCAGGGCACAGCGAGGGCCTGGCAAGCGCAGCTCCCGAGACTGTGCCGTGGCCCCAGGCCCTCCCAGGAGGCTGCTGAGGGCGGGCGGGCCCCGGAAGCTGCTGCAACCGTCCTGGGGGGTGCGCTCTCTGGTGGCCGCTGTCGTCGTGTGGGGCCCCCTGGAGGCTGGGGCTCCTCGTCTGCAAGCTGGCGCTGGCGGGGGACACCGCCGGGTTAGGGCTCTCCCCGCTCCAGCGTCACCCCCAGGGGAAGCCCCAGCCCCGTAGCTGCCCCCGTGCAGGGACTCTTGGGAACCACAGGGAGGAGCCTCCTCGGTGTCCCCGAATCCCTCTGCAGAGATTTTACGAGCACCTACTACGTGCTTTCTCTGCTGCCCCGGACCCACCTTGGGCCCCCCTGCCCCCCAGCCGCCGGGGAGCCATCCCCAAAGGCAGCCCCGGGTGTCCTGCCCCAGACGACAGCCCGAGTCCCAGGCCCGTAGCCTGGCAAACCCACGGACGACCACCACTCCGCACCTGTCATTGTGGAGCCACACTTGTCACCCAGGGGTCCCCTGAAGTGCCACCCAGCGGTGCCGGCCCCTGGGTCTGGCTGGAGCCCAGGGGCTGCTGGCTTTCTGTGGGCAGGGCTGACCGGTCCTGTACCCGCTGGGCAGGGCCCAGGCCCAGCGGTTCCAGCAGGCCTGTCATTGGCCGTGAATGCGGGCGGGGAGCGCCCATGGGGGGCTTTGCTGGTGGGAGCTGTGGGCCGGACCCACGTGCCCCTGCCTGGGGCCTTGTCTGGCTCGGACCCTGGTGGCGGGGAGCAGGCTGACCCCAGCGTGACCCCGTCCCTTTCCCTCCGGGCCAGGTAACCTGGGCTCTCAGCTGGTGGAGAACCGGGAGGAGATGTACATCACCTCAGACTGCGGGAAGACCTGGCGGCAGGTAGGGTGCCCCCCGCCCCCCCGCAGCCTGACCGGCTGGGCACACAGCACCCTTCAGCCACCGTCCGCCCCGGTGGCCGGCGCAGGGGTGACGGACCCGACACCGCTCCACGCACCACCCACCTTGGCTCGGAGGCTTGGGCGCCCCCTGGGGGCCAAGGCGGGGGGGGGGACGGGGTACGGACAACCCCAGGGGTCCCGGCAGGGAGGGTGCTGGGCGGGCTGTGGAGTGGTGGACGAGAGAGAGTGGGGAAGAGGGGGCTTGGGGGCCGCCGTGAGCCTGGGGGGCCGGGGCAGGCTCGGCGACACCCGGGTGCCGACCTGCTGTAGCAGTGCGGGGAGAGAAACGTGGGGGAGGGAGAGAGCGCGCCCCAGGAAGCGGTCCCCACCGCGGGCGACTCCGCGGGGCGCCCCCGTGCTCTCCGCGGCGTCCACGGGGACTAACTTGCTCAGTAACCGGAGGGGTCGGGGCCGCGGGCGGGCGACACGGAAACGGCGGCCGGCCGGGGGAGGGGAGGCTGGCGGACTCGCGCTGTGCAGCCCGCGCCGCCGCCGCTCAGCAGCCAGCCCGGTGCCCGGCCGGGAGAGGGCCCCGCGCCCTCTGCCCTCCCGCTTCTCTCCAGAAAAGAAGAAAAGGGCCTTGTCTGGCCCGCGGTCCTCACGGCGTGACCGCCCCCGCTCTGCACGCTCCGGGCATGCGCCAGAGCCCGGGTCCGGGCGGCGCGGTCCGGCCGAGCCCAGCCGTGGGCCCCGCCCCCCGGGGCCGTGCGCCGCCCGCGCTGCTGCAGTTTGATTGACGGCCGGCACTCGTGGGCAGCACGCGAGAAGCGGGTTGTGAAAAGGGGGTTGAAAAGGGCAGAAGAGACTTGATGCATTGCAATATTTCTATTTCACGCGACTAGCGAAGCATGTCCACGCTTTCCGAAAGGGCACGCCGGCCTGTCTGGCCCAGGAGCCCCGACCGGGCTGGACAGACAGACGGGCGGACGCAGCCGCAGCCTTCCGGCGCCATGGAAACCGCCGGCAGGCATCCCCGGTCCACCCGTGTCAGGCCGCGTGCTCGGGCCACCCGCCAGGGATGTCCGCGTTCCAGGGACACCGTCTGTCCCAGGCCGGGCGTGGGGCCTGCCCTCGGGGGCTTGCTCCCTTCCCTGGTGCCTGGGGGCTGTGGGGGCCCCCTGTGTGTGGGGGTGGGAGGGCACCGAGGTGAGCGCATGTGCGTTCAGGGCACGGGGAGCTGCTGGAGCCGGATTGGGGGTTGGCTGGGGTGGGGGACGCCCGGGGAGGAGAGGGGACAAGGGGGACAAGCGCAGGCAAGGCCGAGCACCAGGCGGGCCCGCCAGACTGTGGGGCCTGCAGTGAGATGACCCGCCCGCGGGCGCCCAGCCTGTGAGCGGTGAGCGCCGGTGGTGTGCCGCTGATGGGCACAGTGTTTTTAAAACGCGAGCTCCCGTGGGTGGTCAGTCACAGGGGTCAGGAAGCACACAGGGGGCCCCCTGAGCCTGGGCCGGGGGTGGGCGGGAAAGGAGAGATGGGGCGGGCTGCCCGCCCCTCCTTCCTGGTGCCCCGTGCGGCGGGGGCACAGTCGGCCGGGGGGTGTTCAGTGCCCGCGTGGCCCTGCCGCCTGCAGAGTCCCAGGCCAGTGAGGGTGGGGCTGTCTGTGTGTGTCCCCCGGGGTGTCTGGCAGGCGCCCGTCTTCCTGGTGGGCACAGGGGCGCCCCCTGCCTGTCCTCGAGGGAGGAAGGCGGCAGGAGCGTGGGTGTGAGCTCAGCACCCCCAGCGCCCAGCCAGCGGCTCGGTCCCTCGGGCTCTGAGAACGCGCTTCAGCTTCCCGCCCACGGCGGTCTCCCGTGGGACACCCCGTGTGGAGCGGGGAACGGGGTCCCCACCGTGCGGGCAGCGGCCCCTGCAAGTTCGAAGGCATCGGGAGCAGCGCCTGCGGTCGGCAGACGCGTTTGTGGCCGTGTGCCTCTTGCTCAGCATCGCGGGACCGAGCGTGGCTCCTGCCACCCACCTGGCGGCCCAGCTTCTCTTTGAATGCCCCCCGAGACGGGGAGCTCAGCCTCTCCTGGAGGAAAAGCCATCTGCTCCAGAACCCACTCCCCCCAGCACCCGAGAGAGCCCTGAAGGGGAAACCTGTTTACAACCCCCCGCCCCCATTCACCTTGGCACGTCTCGCTGACTCTGCGGGGGAAGTCCCGGCCCAGCACTGACGCCGGAGCCCAAGCCGCCCTGTCCAGCCTTTCTGGTCCCTGGACACGCCGTTCTCTGTGGCCTCCAGGCCCCACACACACTCTTCCCCCTGCCCGGCCCCCCCCGAGACCAGCCTACGTGCCCCTTGTCCCTCAGCCCCCTCCCTGGGGTGCCCGGTGCCTCGGACCCAGAGTGTCATCGGAATCCCCCGTCATGCGTCCCCCAGACTGGGCAGGACCCTGTGCTGGGCAGCGCCAGGACTGAGCTGGCAGAGCGGGTCCCGGCGATGGGACCCCTCGTCGCGGCCTCCGAGTGGGCCAGTCACTGCGTGGTGGTGTTCTGCCCCCGGGGGGGGTCTCTCCCCGGGCTGTGCATTCCCGGGGGCTCTGGCTTTCCTTTCCGCCTCTGGTCCCAGCTCCCCGAGAGGGCCTGGAGCTCTGGGCCTGTTAGGTGGGCAGCTGGGGTGGGGAGAATTGTGACAGTGCCTCCTTCCCAGCACCCTAGAAAGCGCCAGCCGCCCCCTCCCTCCCAGGACCCTCAGGCTGTGCTGATGTAGCCGAGGGCAGCGTGCTTATCCGAGCTCGCGGCCGGGACAGAGGACGCCAGGCACACTGAGTCCTCTGACCCCCTGCAGCTGCGGCCGTGGGGTCAGCGGGAGTGAGCACCCTGGGGCAGGTCTGGGGACGACCTGCATGAGTGCCCTGGCACCAGGGAGGGCTTCCTGGAGGAGGCAGCGCTTGAGCTGAGCCTTCCTGTCGAGTCAGGGTGGACGTGCGTCCCAACTGCTTCTCTAAATTCCGTTCTGTCCCAAAATCGCGTTGTCGTCGGCCTCTCTGGTGCGTGGTGTCTCCCAAAGAGGGGACCGCTGCCGCGGCACGCCCTTGCCACGCCCTTTCTCACGTCCCCCACCTGCCTAGAGGCACTCGTCCTCCGCCCACCGCACGTGGCGCCGAGCCCGGGTGCCGTGGCCCAGCGCGGGGACAGCCTTGGCGCGTGGGGGCCTCCTACCAGCCCTGGCCTCTGCCGGCACCCCCGGCACCCACACGCATGTGGACGGCCCTGCTCCCCAAGAGTGGCCCCGACCCCGAACAACCTGCAAGCCTTCTCAGGGGCCGCCCCCTCCCTCCCTCCCGCAGGTGTTTGAGGAGGAGCACCACATCCTCTACCTGGACCACGGCGGCGTGATCGTGGCCGTCAAGGACAGCTCCATCCCCTTGAAGATCCTCAAGTACCGCCGGGGGGCGGGGCAGCCCTGGGGGCGGGGCTTCTTCCTTTCACCTGGGGGCCCCTCGCAGCATTCCTCAGAGCAGCCTCCTCACGGGCCGCAGGACCATGGCTCTCAACCCCACCAGCTGCGGGTGGTGGGGAGCTCAGCTCACCCGCCCCTGCAGCTGCTCCTGGCTGGGCGTGGGGAGACAATGAAATGGGAGATGACAGAGGCCGGAGGGAGCCCGAGGGAGGCCTGGGGCTGTGGGGCCCAGAGGAGGCCCACAACAGACTGGGGGAGCAAGGAGGGCTTCCTGGAGGAGGTGACGTTAAGCATCAATAGGAATTAATTTAAGTAGAGGAGGCAGGGCCACACAAGGAAGCCAGCAGCCTGTGCCCAGGAGAGGGCCGGTCTGCTGGCAGCTGCAGACACCTGAAAAGGTTGTTGTGGAAAAGCAAGGGCAAGTATGAGGTCTGGGGGTCCAGAAGGCAGAGTTGGGGAGTTGCCAGGAAGCCCATATCACTTTAGTCTGAAAAAGAGCTCTCCCCACTCAGAGCTAGCAGCACCGTGATAACGCTGCGTTGGTGCACAGCTGTTGTCCCTGGCCTGGCAGCCCCTAGGCCTGGCTCCGGCACTGGGGGCTCTGCCATCCAGGGGGCACCCAAACGGCACACCTGGGGCTCCCTGGCTCGGGGCTGGCAGGTGGCCAATGCAGCCTCCCAAGAGAGAGCAAAGTCAGGGCTCCAGCCTCAGCCTGGGTGCTGGGCGGGCCCTGGGGGCAGGCACCGCTCCCCACACACTGTTCTCCCAGCCGTCCCAGCTGCATCCCGTGGGGCGGCCAGTCCTGGACACGGGGAGGGCTCCTGCCGCCTGGTGGACAGTGGCCCTCCCCCGGCAGGTTCAGCATGGACGACGGCCACACCTGGAGCACCTACAACTTCAGCAGCACCCCCATGTTTGTGGATGGGCTGCTGAGCGAGCCGGGCGAGGAGACACTGGTCATCACGTGAGTGCTGCCCCCCACCCCGGGGCAGGGGCTCTGAGGCGGACTCAACACTGCCCGCCAGCAGCCCGCCCGCTCTGGCACTCGCCTCTCCCTCAGCCCCCCACCCCAGTCTCTGACAGCCGAGGTGCCCTCCCGCCGCAGCCCTGGAGGGCGGCCTGCAGTCCCCCCCTGTGCAGACACACCCCTCACCTGCCCAGGCCACTGGGCTGTGGAGAGGCGGGACCAGGAGTCAAGGCTGCGGCGGTGGGCCCCGCCCCTTCCACCTCCGGGGCTGACAGTTCCCGTGCTGTCACCGTTGTCCTTGGTCTCACCGTGGGCCGCGGGCCCCTGTGAAGGACGCGTGGGCACGCGGCCCGAGGAGGACCTGAGACCCGGCCGCCCAGTGCCGGGCGGGGCCAGGCTGCAGGTCCAGGCTGGCATCCGCGGCTGCAGTTCAGTCCCGGAGGGCCCCAGGTGGGGGGGGGGGGAGTGGTGTCTCGGGGCCCACAGTGCCACAGTGGGGACTGCGGCCCTGAGGGGGGAGGGGACCCTGAGGGGGGAGGGACGGGCCCCAGTAAGGCGCTCCCCCCCCCGCCCCCGCAGCATCTTCGGCCACATGAGCTACCGCTCGGAGTGGGAGCTCGTCAAGGTGGACTTCCGCCCCTCCTTCTCCAGGACGTGCGGCGAGGGGGACTACGGCTCCTGGGAGCTCACCGACCTGCAGGTGGGCCGGGCGCCAGCTCTGCCGGCGAGCTCCCCGCAGGCCCACCCCACGGGGCCCCACGAGCCTCCCCCTCCCAGGAGGCCTTCCCAGATCCCTGGCTGCCCCGAGATGCTCCGTTCTTCTGGGGTTTTCCCCAGCCCCTCTGGGTGCCTGGGCTGCTCTGGGCGCAGTCACACTTGGGGGGCACAGGTCCTCGGGCCCCGAGCCACCCGAGGAAGGAGTTGTGCTCGGGGTTCAGGGCTGTCCCAACCGTAGGGAGGGCGACAGGGTGCACGTGCCGCCTGTGCCCTGGCGCCCCTGAGCCGACCGGGGCGGCCCCCCTCCCCGCGCCCTCAGCACAAGCTGTCCCCACGGCATCAGCACCAGTGTCCACTCTCTCGGGAGGGAACGGGGACCAGAGACGGCCCCTCTGTGGTTCAGGTCCGGCTGTGCCCTTGGGGGGTGGCGGGGAGGCCGTGGTCTCGGAATGGGCGCCCCACGCCTGGTGCTGCCGCGGCGCCGGTTTCGGGGTCACTGGCTGAAGACTCGCTGTGTGACCCCAGGAGGTCTCCGGGCCGGGGCTTGTCCCAGCTTCTGCAGCGGCTCCGGCAGCCCCGGGGCCCGAGGGCCTTAAAGGGGCCCTGCTTCCAGCAGCCGTGCGCCCTGAAGCCCGGATGGGGCTTGAGTGGCACTTCCTCCGGGAAGCCTGCCCTGACCAGCTGCCCTGGGCCCCGAGCTTACCTCCGCGCGTGCTCGTGGGTGGCGTGGGGGGGGGCCCGCCCCGGCGCGCCCTTGGGTGTGCCCTTTTCCTCCTGGGCCTCGGCTTCCCCGTCCCTGAAAGGCGACAATCGCCGCCTCCTGCCGCCACCGCAGGGCGACCGCTGCCTGATGGGCCAGCGCAGGAGCTTCCGCAAGAGGAAGGCCGCGTCGCTGTGCATCAACGGGAGGAACTTCACGTCGGCGCTCGCCTCCCGCGTGTGCCCCTGCCAGGACTCCGACTTCCACTGGTGACGGCCCGTCCCGCGGCGGGGGGGGGGGGGGCGGGGGGGCAGGGCACAGGCCGGGCAGGGAGGGCGGGGCCGCCGCCCCTTCTGGGACCTGGCCTCCCAGTCACTGTCACTTCTGCCTCGTTCTGGGGCTGGAACTGGCCGGGGGAGGAGGAGCCAGGACGGTGCAGGCATGGTGGGGCCGGCGGTGCCCTCCCAGCCCCGTCTCCTCCGGGCAGGGCCTCTGCTCCCCGCCCTGCTGCAGCCCCCCCGTGGCACCCACTGCCCACAGGGGAGTGTCCCAGTTCCAGAGACCAGCCCGTAAGGCCTCTGGCCCCTGCCCGCCCCCCTCCCCAGCTGTCCTCACCCCCCGCCGTCCTGTCCTGCACGTTCTGCCACCCCCACCTGTGCCCCCTGCCCCGGCGCAGAGGGGGCTGGTCCCCCTGCAGTGCCCCTCTCCTCTCCTTCCCCGGCTGTCTCCTGCTCTTCCTTTGAGACTCAGCTCACCGCCTCCAGGCAGCCTTCCGGGACACGCAGGCTGGGCTCAGTGCTCTCCTGCCAGCTCCCAGCACCCCCTCGGCACCCCTTCCCACCTGGGGTACACTGTGGGCCCCCCGCCTGTGTCCAGCTCCAGCACGGGGGCCGTGTGGCTGCTCTCTGCGCCCCTCCCGCCCCCCCCCCCGGCCTGCCTCCTGACGCACGAGTTTCCCTCCTCCCAGCGACTACGGGTTCGAGCGCGCCCCCTTCTCCGAGTGCTTGGCCAACTTCTGGTTCCACCCCCTGTCTCCCCCTGACGACTGCGTCCTGGGCCGGACCTACACCAGCAGCCTCGGGTGAGTGTGCGAGGAGCGCGGGCCTCTCCTCGTCCGGCGCGGGGGGCAGCGCCGCAGGGACCACCCGCCGGCGTCCTGCCCGGTGCCCGCTGCTCCTGCGTGGGGTCGGGGAGAGAAAGGTCAGGGCTGAGACGTCCTGCTTGCCCCGGCTGCTGAGGCTCAGCCAGGCACGGACCCTCCAGGGCTCTAGGGTGTGAGTCTGTGCCGGCCAGCAGCAGGACCCGCCAGGCACGGAGCTGGCTCTGTGTGGAGATGGCAGGCAGAGCAGGGCCAGGGGCTGGTGCGGGGCTGGTGTGGGGGCTGGTCCCCCCAGGGAAGTAACACCCCTCCTGGCCCTCCTGAGCCGCTGCAGTGCCAGGCTCTTCCCCACGTACCAGTGCAGGCGGGCGGCTCAGAGCTGACCCAGAGGTGCTCACACTCTGTGTAGGGCTCATCTCCAACGGCACTTCTTCTGGGAAGCCTTCCCTGACCACCTGCCCTGGGCCCGGGCTGCCCTCTGTCACAGCACACTCAGCCCTTGTCCTCACATGGCCGGCCGTTCTCCCCGCTCTGAGGGCGTCAGCGAGCGTCATCCACCATCCACCCACCCACCTGTCCCTCCCTCCCTCCCTCCCTCCCCCATCAGGCAGCCACAGCAGCCACTCCAGGGTGTCCCCCAGGACTGGGCAAGCAGGGACCCCTGTCCGGAGTGTCAGAGCTGGGCCCGTATCGCAGGCGTGGAGTTTGTTTCCTCCTGGGGGCACTGTGTCTGTGTCCTGGGCCCGTGGGGCTGTGTGTGCGTGGCGGGGCGGGGGGGGGGGTAGCCCTCAGAGACAGCGCGTTAGTCCAGAGTAACCGAAGTGTCGGTGCGCTATAGCTTCCGAACGCAGACCCGGCACTGAGCCATGGGTGCCGGAGGGGTCCCAGGCCTGGGGTCGGGGCTGGCGGCCGGACCAGGCACTGTGGCCACGATGCCGGCCTCCCAGGGGCGGAGCCCCCGCCCAGCCTGGGGGAGCTCCCTATGTGGCAACTCAGGCGGCGACCCCAGGCCGAAGCTTCCCCGTGGTCTCCCAGGGGCTTATCTACCTGAGCCCGGTGGGCCCTGCTCTCCAACCCCTTCCCGCCCCCCAACCCCCGTGTGCCCCTCCCCCAGCCTCACCCATCACAGGGCCTCCGCACTGCCAGGGCCCCCCTCCCCACCCCCCCCAGGTGCGGCTTCCTCTCCCGCTCACCCTCCTGATCTCAGCCGAGGGCCCCTTTCCTGGGGCCCGGGGCCCGCTACCGCCCCTCCTGGCGCTGCTCACGGTCCCGATGTACCCTGAAGTGGGACGGTTCGCAGAGACGGGTGTCCCCTCTCTGCAGGGGCCGTGTGGTGCCGCGCACCGTTGGTCGGGCGCTGGCCGTGCAGTGCTAGCTCTCTCCAGGTGACGGAGACACCGCGCCCGGGGCAGGGGCAAGGCCAGGGGTGGGGGGTGGGGGGCGGGGAACCCCAGCCCGCCGGGCTCTCTGTGCTCCTGGGGACCGTGCTTCCCCGCAAGGCCGTGAAACTCAGACGGGCTGCCTCAGGGGTCCCCGCAGCGACCAGAACAGCAGCTGGCAGTAGCAGTAGCAGTAGCAGCAGCAGCCGCATCCCCGGGTTCCCCAGGGGCCAGGGAAAGGTCACTGGTCCGAGGCAGGTCCCACCTGGTCTGGCCGTCCACCCGGAGCCCCGGCTTTCTGGCCTGTGAGGCGGGGCGGAGGGCGCCAGTGGGAGGGGCCGGTGAGTGGAGGTGGAGCCAGGAGCCACCCCTGGGCGACAGGCAGGCAGGCTCCCGCCCCCGCCTGCCTGCCGGGGCGGCCCTGACCCATGTCCACCCGCAGGTACCGGAAGGCGGTGTCCAACGCCTGCGAGGGCGGCGTGGACCTGCAGCGGGGCCCGGAGCAGCTGCCGTGCCCCCTGACCCCGCCCCGCGGCCTGAGGGTCAGCGTCCGCGGGGAGGTGGCGGCCGTGCGGCCCTGGGAGGACGTCCTGTTCGAGGTGCACCAGGAGCAGGTGAGCGCCTGGTGCGTCCCCGGGGGGTGCGTCCCCGCGCGTGCGGGGCGTGTGCCTGGCGGCGACGTGGGGCTCACCCCTGTGGGTGGCAGTGGGGGTTCCAAACCTCTAGTTACGTTGCTTCAGTTAATCTGGAATCTTAAGGATAGCAGAAAGGTAAGAAGCAAACTGTTACTGGTAATCCCGCGACCAAAGATAACTCCCGTGAACAGAAGGTACCTGGGCGGCACGTGGTCTGCCCGGAAGGCGTCCCGCCAGCTGATGTGAGACGGACGCATTTACTGAAGAAGACGCCAGACACGGGGAACACTGCACACGGGACAGTGACCCCTCGGTCCCCTGCAAAGCAGGCCCCTGGGGACCTCACACGGTTCTCCTGGGCAGCCATCAGCTGCCCGGCTGTATTTCCCTGAATCTCATCCAGGGTCTGAAATCTCCTCCCTTTCAGAGGTGATTTTAGTTTTGGGAAAAACCAGAAGTCCCAGGGCACCAAATCAGGGCTGTAGGGGGCCAAGTCACCTGGGAGATTTGATTTTTGGCCAAAAGACTCTACACGAGACATGATGCCTGAGCAGGCCCGTTGTGATGAAGCTGCCAATCACCAGCAGCCCATAGCTGCGGCCTCTGGATCATCCGAATTGTTTCCGCAGAGGAATGCTCAAGCTTCGTGCAGAACCTGATGCAGATGCGTTGCTCTGCTCACTCAGTCATTTTGAATGCGACAACCACACAGTACACACGCTCACTCAACAGCATCTACCGCCCCCACTGACTAGTGCAGTGAAGTCGTCATTGTTGACGCATGCACATTCCAGTCCCCTCTCCTTGGCTGCCAGGTTACATCGATGTCACACACACTGTTCTCGTTAAGAACGGCTGGACTCTTTCCAGACCTCAGCACACACACGTGCACACACACATACATACAAACTTCCTGTAAGTCTCTGAGTCTTTCCTTTCTTTAGTACAAGTGTTACATTTTCTTCTGACCTGAAAAATAATACACACTCATCATGGAGCATTTGGGAAAACATAAAACACCAAGAGGATAAACGTCACCCGAACTCCTGCCCCCCATGGAAACAGTGGCTAACTTGGGGGTTTCCCTCCAGTCTTTTTAAATTAATTTGCAGCCTGCCCGTTTTTCCCAGATTCCGCAAGTAACAATTGCGGGTCGTAGAACATTCCCAAGAACAGAAATTAGGAGAAGGTACGGGTGATTCAGAGTCACGGAGGAGCACCGAGTGGAAGTCGGAGCCTCTGCCTCTGCGGGGTGGGCGGGGGAGGGGCACCAGGCGCGGCCTCGTCTGGGTGTGGGCGGGCGGCTCTGCTGGGCGTTCGGGTCTCTGTTTAGAAGATGTCCCTCCACACGCGGTGCCGGGGGCCCTTCGTGTCGGAAAGCAGGGGCCCGGGCCAGGGCGGACAGGAACCCCAGGCCGAAGAGGACACAGCTGCCTGAGTGGGTGCCGGGGTGCCGGGCACTTCGCACACACTGCCCCCCACGCCCCCCTTGCTCCTGTGGACCCGTTTGATAGCCGGGGCACTGGGCCAGACCGTGACGTCGCCGCCGAGGCCCCCGGGGACAAGTGACAGAGACAGCTGTGGGTCCCAGGCCCAGGGATTCTGGGCAGGCAGTGCTGCACAGCCCTGGTTCACGGCCCAAGACCTGGGCCCTCCTGGGCCTGAGGTTCCTGCCCTGAGCCTCAGGGGACCCCGGGGGACCTCGTGGCAGGATCCTGGGGTGGCCAGAAGGTGAGGTCCCCTGCTAGGCCTGGGGCCCCCTGGACCCTCAGAGTGGACCCAGCCTCGGCCCCCCAGTTCCAAGACAGACTTCTCGGAAAAAGTGGTCTCTGCCGCCCCCTAGAGGCTGGAATCTTGGCCACTGAGGGCCATCTGCAATTCAAGGAGACGGGAACAGGACAAGGCTGTCAGCCCACTGCCCCCAGGGGGCCCTTCGCTGCCTGGGGCCAGGGCCAGTTGGCGGGGCGAGCACCAAGCGGTGCTCACAGAAGGGAGAGCCCTCCCAGGGCACGCCGCTGCCCGGACCCGGCCACCGGCTTCCTTGTGGAACCCCGGGAGGGGTGTGGGAGTGTGGGGCGGGGCCTGTACACACACTCACTCACTGACTCACTCACGTGCACACTCACACGCAGCCTGGGACAGAAGGAGACGTCAGGGGCCACAGGGTCACAGGGGAAAGGTTTTCTCCGTTGCCTTAGAGACTTCAAGAGTCTTCCCCCGTGTGCCCCTCCCTGGGGCTGCTACTGGAGCTGCAGCGGGCGCAGGGCCCCGGGCACCCTCCTGGCTCCTGGCTCAGGCCCCAGGACCTCCCTGCCCACCCCCGGCACTGCCTCTGGGGCCTCACCCTCGACCTCGCCACCAGCCCCCTCTCTGCAGCTGGGTGATCGCCCTCCTGTGTACCCCTGGCCCCTGCTCCCACCCTCCCGCGTCTCCGGAACTCAGGGCCCTCCTTGGCCGGCACTCGGGGCTGGACCCGCGGGCAGGCCTGGCCGGTCCTCCGCCGTGAGCGTGGGAGCGGGGGGGCGGGGAGTGACCGAGTGGACGAGCCTGGAGGCCCGCCCCAGTGCCCCCCTGGCGTTGCCTGCAGGGCGACGTACTGACCACCGTGTACCACGTGGACCTGGGCGACGGCTTCAGGGCCGTGTACTCCAACCTCACGCTGACCAAGGAGCCCATCCGGCACGCCTACGAGAACCCCGGCGTCTACCGCGTGTCCGTCAGGGCGGAGAACCTGGCCGGGCACGACGAGGCGGTGCTCTTCGTCCAGGTCACCGGTGCGTCCTCGCTCCCCGGAGGCCAGGGGTCACTCCCAGGGACAGAGCGGACCCGGGCCCGGGGGGCGGAGGGGGTCCCTCAGAGCCGCTGCTGGTCCGGCCACGCCCATCCTTCACGCCCTGAGGCCCAGGGCAGGGGGGCAGGCCGGCCAGGGTCCAGGCTACACCCCGGGGGTCTGCCCAGTAGTCGGGGTGGGGGGGTGATGGCGGCGGTGATGGAGTGGCCACAGTGAAGCTGATGGTGACAGTGACTGATAAGCAGCCCTGAGCAGCTGAGTGCCCGATGCCCTCTGACCCCTGACCTTTTCTGGACCCCACAGCCCGCCTGAAGGCCCTCTACCTCGAAGTGGTTCCTGCCATCGGCACCAACCAGGACGTGAACCTCACAGCCGTGCTGCTGCCCCTGAACCCCAACTTCACTGTCTTCTACTGGTGGATCGGCCAGAGCCTGCAGGTACGTGGGCCCCGGACCGCTGCTGGCCCGGCCCCCCGCCGGCCCTGCTCCCCTCTCCCCCCGGGGCAGAAGGGCCGAGCCCAGCACTGTGCAGGGGGCGGGGGGGGGGGCGCACGCACGCACCCCTGTCCTTCCACCCTGAGCGTCGTGGCCCATGTGTGGTCAGCACAGGACCTGAGCCAGCCCAGACCCTGCCTGGTCCCCAGGGAAAGAGACAGGAACACAGTGGGTGACCCAAGGTGGGGTGGGACCAGTGTCACGGGAAGGGGCGGCAAGGTGGCAGACAGCCCCAGGGGAGGCCAGGCCATTTCTAGTCCGAGGAGGGGTGGTCAGGGAGGGCTTCCCGGAGGAGGGGTCACGGAGCTGGACCACAGGTCAGAAGCCTGGCGCGGAGCCCACGGACAGAACGCCTCGGGGAGCTTCTGCAGTTTCTGCGGGGCCAGGCGGCCCACCCTCGGTCTGGGGCTCCCCGAGACCCAGGGAGAAGCCTCCTTCGCTCAGTCAGCCAAGGGCAGCCCTGCACCCCCAAGCTGAGCGCCCCCCCAAACAGCAGCGAGGGCCCAGACACAGGGCCAGGCAGCAAGGGGTGGGCTCCCGATGCTGTTCCTGGGGGTGGGGTGGGTCTGGGGAGGGGTTCCGGCTCTGGGTCTGAGTCATGGCTCCGCCACTGTCGGCCGAGCTCTCCGGGCAGGTCACCGCACCCCCAGAGCCTCTGCACCCCCATCCGCGAGGTCCATGGCAATGCTGCCCCCAGTCCTGATGGGTGCACAGGCTGGGCGCTGCGCTGGGTGTGGGGCCACAGCTGGGCGGGGCTGGGACGGTGGGCGGGGCCGGGGAGGTGGGCGGGGGTCGGTGTGGAGGCCCAGCCTGAGGCCGCCTCCTCCGAGGTCCTCACAGGAGACTCGGGACAGCCTGGAAGGGCGTGTGTCCGTGCAGGTGTCTCTGGGGCCCGCCGCACGCCCCCAGCCGCTGCCCCATTCCCTAGCGAGAGCAGGGCTCGGCGCTGTCAGTGCGGCCCTGGGCCGCCGGCTGACCGCAGGGCCAGCCCTGACTCTGCCGTGTCCCCACAGCCCTTGATGTCCCTGAATAACTCAGTGACGACGCGGTTTGCGGACCCAGGGGACGTGCGTGTGACCGTGCAGGCCGCCTGCGGGACCTCCGTGTTGCAGGACTCCAAGGTCATCCGCGTGCTGGGTGAGTCCCTGGCGGACGGACCGCCTGGGTGCGCGGTCGGCGGCCTCAGGGTGAAGGCTGTGGGGGGGCGCCCACTCTGCCTTGGTGTCCCGTTGGTCGGTGCTCGCTGGGGCTCCGAGGCCTCACAGCAGACGTGACGGTAGAAAACGACCCCTGAGAATGGGAAGGACCCCCCGCCGGCGTGCCGTGGGCTCGTCGTCACTCCCTTGCGAGCTCCCTTTGCTTTAAGAGCGAGCCTGTCCTGGGCTCAGCAGCCTCGGCCGGTGGCCAGTGGGGCCGCCCCGGCCACGCCCGTGGCTCCCGGACGAGCACCCGGCCCCGAGCCGAGCTGCAGGGCAGCGCGGGGCCGACTCTTCACCGACGCAGCCGCCACACGCCACGCCGGCTGCGCGTGCGCAGCAGCGATCCGGCGTTGGCGCGCATGAGCGGTACGGCGCGGTAGACTGCTGTCTCTGCGCTGCACGGGACCTCCCCGGGACGGCTCGGTTCACGGCCGGACGGGCCTGCTGCCTGTGCCCTCCCCCTCCCCCTCCCCCACCCCCGGCAGCCACCGCCCTGTCCTCTGGGCCCGTGAGCCCGCGCTGTTGGAGTCACGCTGTGTCCCCTCCCACGCACCGCTGAGACCCTGCCTTTGCCCGCCTGCCCGCGTCATTTCCGGAGCCCGACGCCCTGGAGGTCCGTCCGCGCCGGCGCGGGCGGCGGAGTTCCCTTCTGCTACGGCCGCACGACTGTCACCGCGGCCTCGTCTCTCACCTGTCTGCCGCCGGCACTTGGGCGGTTGCGCCCCAGCCGTCGTGAGCCACATGGCAGGGAGCAGGCGCTGCCTGTGCCTTCCCGCGTGGGACGCATGCCCAGGAGTGGGGTTGCTGGACCACGTGGCCGTTCCATTGTTTACCGTTCGAGGAGCCTCCACGCCGCCTTCCGCGGCGGCTGCAGCAGTTCCCGCCCCCACCCACCGGGCACGAGGGGCCCGTCCCCCACACTCTCGCGGGCACGTCTGTCTCCGGTCTCTGTGCCCACGGCCGCTCTGGCGGGTGTGCGGGGTGTGTCACTGCGGTCGTGATTCGCGTTTCTGACAGTCCTCGGGCCGAGTGTACTGTTGCACACCTGGCTGGTGCGTCCTCTTTGGAGAAAAAGGTCTCTCAGGTCCTCTGACTCTTCTTAAAGTTGGACTTTATTTTTTGCCATTGAGTTCTATGAGTTCTTTATGTATTCTGGATATTGAGCCCTTATCAGACACTCGATTGCAAATATTCTCTCCCATCGGTTGGGTCTCCTTTCTCACCTGCTGACCCTGTTGTTCTGGGGAAGCTTTTGGTGTGACGTGGGCCCACGTGGTCAGCTTTGCTTTCTTGGCCTCTGCTTTTGGCGTCAAAGCCACTCACTCACCGCCAAGGTCAATGTCTAGGAGCTCACTGGTGCCCTGCCTCCTTCTAGAAGTTTTGCGGTTTCAGCTCTGACCCATCCGGAGTCAGTTTTGTGCTGGCGGAGACGGGGGTCCTGTCGAGTTACCTCCCGCAGGGCCGCCCAGCCCCCCCACACCGCGCACTGAACAGCGTGCCCCCCCCCCGCCCCCCGTGGTTCGTCCTCCGCCCCTTGGACACAGATCGGTCGCCGCGGGGACGTGCGTTACTCCTGGGCTGCCCGTTCTGCGCCGCGTCTGTCTGCGGCCGGCGCCACGCGCTCGGAGCACCGCGGCTTCGCGGCGTGGCCTGGAATCAGCGCGTGGTGTGTGCCGCGCTGTTCTTTCTGGAGGCGGCCGTGGCTGAGTTGTGCTGTGTCTGTGCAAAACTGCCACTGTGTTCTCTATTTCTGTGGAAAAATGTCATTGGGATTGTTTCTTAACCCTGAACCCAGGACATGTTTATTGAATTTAGAGAGAGACGAAAGGGGACAGGGAAAGAGAGAGAGACAGAGACAGAGAAACATGCACCCGTTGCCTGCCTTACACTTCCTGACCGGGAATCGAACCCGTGGCCTTTTGGTGAATGGGAGGATGCTCCAACCAACCGAGCCACCCGGCCGGGGCGTCACTGGAATTTGGACAGGATGGCCTTGGATCTGCGGATTGCTTTATTGCTTTGGGTGGTGTGGGCATTTGAAGAGTATCAATCCTTCCGGTCCGCGAGCACAGAACATCTGTTTGTGCCTTCAACTTCTTCCCCGTAGTGTCTTACGGTCTTCGGTGTGTGGGTCTCCTGCCTCCTCGGTTAAATTTATTCCTGGGCGTTTTATCTCCTTCCACGCGACTGTGCACGGGAGTGCCTGCTCAGCTCCTGCTTCTGGAGGGTGGCCCTGGGTGCAGAGACCCAGCAGGGCTCTGCACGGGGCCGCGTCTGTCTGCCGGTCCTCGCCAGCGTCGGCGGAGTCCCCCAGTTCTTTCGTAGGTGACACCGTAGGTGTCACCGGTAAACAGCGTGTTTCAGCGTTCCTTTCCAACGCGGTGCCCGTGGGGGAGGCTGAGCGCCTAGGTCTCGAGAGCGGCTCGCCCCACGGAGAAGAACTCCTCCCACTTCCTGCGTGAGGAAGCAAGGCTGGCCTGGGGGGGGGGACCCAGCACCCTGCTCGTCTCGCAACCCCCCCACCCCCACTGTGGCTCCACAGCGGGCCTCTGAGCCGGGGACCCAGGAAGTGAGCAGAAGAGGAGGTGGGGCCCCCGCCCTCTAGGACTCTTACTATGGTGGGGGTACCCGCCCGGTCCAAGTCTCTGGATCCTGGAGGACAGGCGGCCACCCTGGAGTGGGGGGGTGTCCTTGTGAGTGAATGGGGCAGACCTCAGGCTGGTTCGCGCCGGGACCCCCACCCCCTCCTCCTCCCCTCTCCTTCTCCTCCTCCTCCTCTTCGTCATCGCCGAGCTCGTGACTACTGTTCTTAGACGGCGGCCAGTGACGAGGGCGCCGCCTGGGGCAGCTCTGGACACACAAGATGAGGCCTTAGTTTCCAGAACCGGGCGTGGGGTCCGAGCCCCGGGGCCGGCCGGGGCCGCCCAGGGTGTGTGGCCGCCTTCCGGGAGGCCCTGAGCCCGGCTGCGGCTGCGGCTGCGGCTGCGCAGGGCCAACCGCCCCCCCCTCTGCCACCCCAGCTCGGTTTCAGGTGCTGCCCCTGCAGTTCTCCCAGGGCCTGGACGCCTACAACCCCAACACCCCCGAGTGGAGGGAGGAGGTCGGCCAGCTGGTCACCCAGCTCCTCGCCAAGGTACCCCCACCCCACCAGTGCCACAGCCTCCCCAGCACCTGTGGGTGCCTAAGCAAAGCTGGGGGACCCCAGGGCCCCAGGGCAGGGCAGGGTGGGTGCGGCCACCGCTCGGTCCCACGAATCCAGCCCTCAGTCCAGCTGGCGGGTGCTGAGGAGCCAGCCAGGGTGGCTGCCTGCCATGGCTCGGGGGCACAGGAGGCTGGACGTCACCTGCAGGGCGGGCACGGGCCTGCACCTGCCAAGCTCACCTAGTGAGCGCCAGCTGTGTGCACGAGACATACGGAGCTGTAATGTTCTCCAGCGGCCCAGAACCTCTTCAAATCAATTTTGTCTCCTGAGCCCGGCCCTGGGCACAGGGCGGAGACCCCGGGGGCCGGCTGCCCTCGGGACGCCCACGGAGAGCTGACAGAAGGCGGGCATCCGGCTGGGGGTGGGACGCCCCCGCCCTTGGGCCGTGGGAAAGACTGCCCCCTAGGGTCACCCACGGCCGTCACAGGCTGAGGCCCACTCTGGCCGCGCCTCCTCTCGGCCTGCTAACAAAACCGGGCGTATCGCCCTGGGCACTGAAGGGTGCGTAGGAGTTTGCCAGATGGAAGTGCTTAGCCTGGGACTTCCGGGAGGCAGCAGGGCTGCGTGAGCTGAGCGTGGTGGGTTTGGGAGGGCCTGAGCCCGGGAGGGGCTGCTCCCCGTGGCCACGGTGTGAGGAGCAGCCAGGAGGGGCCCGGCCTGGCTGAGTGGAGGCCGGTGTGGGAGGCCCAGGCCTGAGGGACCAGAGGGGGCTGTAGGAGGCGGTGCAGGTCGGGAACAGAGAGCAGGACAGACGGCCAGGCCTCGGGCAGGCCACGGGGCAGGGGTACCCCTGGGGCTCTGCAGCGTGGGCCCAGTGCCTGGTCCTCGTCCCACAGGAGACGGGCGTGGCCGAGGAGCTGCTGTTGACCGTGGTGAGGCCGGGGCTGCCCACCGTGGCCGACCTGTACGTGCTGCCGCCCCCGCCGAAGCAGAGCCTCACCTGGGACCAGGTAGCTGCCGCAGCCCCCCTGCCAGTTCGGTGGCAGCTGGTGGCTCGTGGTCCCCAAGAGGCACAGCCAACTTGGGCGCAGGCCCTCCCCACCTGTTTCTGCCCCTCTGGGACCCATGTGGGCCCCCAGGCGGGGTGGGGGTGCCAGGCAGGACCCCCTCCCCAGGCAGAGGGGGCGCCTCAGGGACAGCCTCGCCACACCTCTGCCCCGCCAGCGGAGCAGCAACACCTGAGCATCTGCCCAGCCCCCCGCCCGGGCCCAAGGCCCCTGACGCCCGCCCCCCCGCAGATGCTCGCCCCTGTCCGGCAGGCGCTGGGCGCACAGAAGGTCAGCTTCCTCCTGCGGGCCGGGGTCCCGGTCCTGGTGGCTGTGAGGGAGGCGGACACGGGTGAGTCCCAGAGCCACCGCGGCCCGGCTCCGGCTGGGCTCCCCCGCGGGTCCTGGGGGGAGAGTGTCCAGGCCCCTCCAATGAGGACACCGTTCCTGGGGACCTGGGGACGGGAGCCGCCGCTGCCCACGGGCCACCCCTGCCTGCCTGCCTGGCGCTCACCTCCAGTGAAAACGGGCCCAGGCTCCCCTCCGCCGCGGCCACAGGAGCTCCCCACTCCGCTGTGCGACCGTCCCCGCCGGTCCTGCGTGTCCGGCCCCCTTGGGGCCAGGATCTCTCAGAACTGGGAGAGCTTCCCTGCGCCCCAGAAAGACGGGCTGGCAGGCGGTTCCCGCGCGGCGCGGGCCGAGGGGGCTCTGTCCGCATCCACAGCTAACAGCCGGGGCACCCTCATCCGGGAGGGGCCCGGGGTGGGGCTCCCCCTCCGCCTCTCGGGACACCCTGCCCGTCTATGTGAACGCCGGCCCGGCCTGGACTCCCTGGACGGGCTGGGCGCCCCACCGCGCTGGCTGCTCACGGCAGCTCCGTCGCAGGTTCCCTGCAGCTGGCGGAGAGCGGCACCTACTGGGTGGCGGCCGTCCTCCTGGTCACCGGCGCGTCTGCGGTGGGAGCCTTCCTCCTCTACAAGTGCAGAAGGCAAGGCCACCCCTCTGGTGCCCCGCCCCTCACAGCCCAGGGGCCCCCACTCCTACTCCTCTGCGGGGCCCCCCACCCCCCGAGAGGAGCCCAGGCTCGGAGCAGCCACGGCTGCCGCCCCTGAGTCAGTGGGCAGCGGGGTGACAAGCGAGGGAAACACCCTCGCCCTGTCCTCAGCCCGGTCACCAGGGACGCCGACAGGCAGCGAGCACCCTGTGTGCTGCCTGAGCTCACAGGACGGAGGGCTTCCTGGAGGAGGGGGCTTGCGGCAGGGATGGGGCAGGAGATAAGACCCGGGAGCACGTCTGCCCCCCACACAGGGGCGGTCTGGGCCCCGCGGGGTGCGTCGGGGGGCCGGTGGCCCGGGGGAGCCCTGAGCCCCGCTCTGCCCCCAGGAAGCGCCCCGGCAGGACCGTGTACGCCCAGATGCACAGCGACAAGGAGCAGGAGATGACCAGCCCCATGAACCACAGCCAGGGCGTCCCGGGCGCCGTCCAGGGCGCGGGGTTCGCGGACGACGACCTCGACTCGCAGACTCTAGGTAACGCCTGCCCTGCGGACGCCCCGCCCACCTCCCACGGCCCCTCCGCCAGCAGTGCGGCGTGGCCCCTCCCTCTGACGAGGTGGTGAGGCCCGTGGCGCCGGCACACCACGCCCGGCAGCCCCTGAACGTCCAGACGGCGGGAGAGGATGGGAGGCTGGTTTCCAGGAGGAGGCGGGGCCCCTCCCCAGTCATCCCCTCAGCGCCCCCAGCCCGCCTGCTCCCCACAGGGCTGACCCCCCGGCACCACGCCCGGGGACGCTGCCACCTGTGCACTGCCGTTCCCAGTCCCAGACTCGGCTTTGCTCGGGGACCCCCCCCACCCCCCACCCCCACCAGGTGCAGCAGGGAGAGCCTGAGACTCTGGGCACTCGGTGGGCGCGGTCGCTGTGCAGCCCCCGGAGCAGGGCGTCTTCTGAGCGGAGGGGCCACCTGGTGGCTCCTCGCCCCTCACTCCGGTGCCCCGCCCCCCATCCTGGGTCCCAGACGAGCTCTTCTCGGAGTGAGGGTCCGCAGCCCCTGGTACACAGCGATGACCACAGTGCCCGGAGCCCCCCTCTCTGGGGCCCTGGCTGGCTTAGCGCTTCCCGGGCTTGCCCGAGGGCTGGCACCCAGCACATGTCACCGGACAGATGACCGAAGCCGAGGGCCAGGGCGGTCCCCCACTCTCCCTGAGTCACCGAGCCGATCAGAGGTGGAGCCAGAGTCATACCCGGCCCAGCGGCTCCAAGGCCAATGGCCTGCCCCCCACGCCCAGGCCCCCCAGGTGGCCGCCCTGCGCCCAGAGAGGCCCCTCGGCCAGGTCTCCACCCCGCCCCCTGGGGCAGGGGGGCCACGCGCCCTCCCACGCAGCCTGGGCCCCCCCACAGGCAGGTGGCCTTGCAGCCGAGTGACAGGTGGCTGCAGAGGCTCTGGGTGACCCCGGGCATTTTCCTTTGCCGTCCCCACGTCAACGCCGAGGCCGTGGAGGGTGACCCTGACAAAGGCTCCCCCAGCAGTGAGGCGCAGGCCCCCTCCCGCCGCCTGGCGGTGCCACCGGGCCAGGGGGCAGGGGCAGGTCACCAGGAGCCACTCTGGGTCCCACCGGCTCGGGCCCCGCAGCTGCCCCCTGCTCTCGGAAGGCAGCCCCCAGGGCCGCCCCTGCGTCTCTGATGTCACCGTGCCCACCCCCCCCCCCGCCACCTCCCAGCCATGCCACACCGGCCCACAGAGCCCACCGCCTGGAGGGGGCGCAGCCCCTCCTGCACCCCCCTGCTGCCGATGCCTGGTGCCTGGCCAGCCCCGCCGCAGGTCGGTGGGTGCGGCAGCAGGGGCTGGCCGTGGCCTCGCCCCTGGAGACCCGAGGGGCTCGCTGCTTGTGACGGCACCCACTCAGGCACTCCCTAGGACACGCGGGGACCCCACCGCATCCAGGTGCCACCCGCACAGCCGAAGGGACCGCCAGGGCCCACCACACTCTGTCCCCGTGGCGTCAGCCGAGGCCGGCCCTGTGTCCCGCACGGCCCCACCACCCGCCCCTCCTGCCCGCTCCAGCCCAGGGGCCCCTGCTCACGGGCAGGCGTCTCTGTCTCCTAGGGAGCCACTCCGGCGTGGTCCTCAGCGTGGACTCCCGGGAAATGCACAGCTACCTGGTGAGCTGATGCCCGTGCGGGCCGCGCCCACGCAGTCTCCTCTCCGTGGCTCCGCCCCGTGGGGGCGCAGCGCCACAGACGCGCCGGTGCCGGGGCCGGCACCCCCTCAGAGACCCGCGGAGAAGCCACCTCCTCCAGCTGTCCCCGCACGAGGCGACAGACGCCCCTGCCTCTGCTCAGCTCATGGGACGCTCGGGGGGCCTGCCGATGGCCCCCCTCCCTGGACGCCGGGCCCACGGCACCGCCCGCCGCCCCCACCCGACGCTGGGCACATCTCTGCCCCTGCACCTCAGACGCTGCCCGGCGCTCCGCACCCTGTGGCCCCAGCCCAGGCCTGGCTTCTGGTGGCCAGGGCGGTTGCCCTGGGGACAGGGAGCTGCGCCTGCCTGGCCGCCCGCCCTCCCAGAACCACGGACCCGCCCCGCCCCGCCCCTGCCCGCGGGCACCGACACCGAGCCCTCCCCGCCCACCCCAGGAAGGCGGCTCCTGCCTGCACGCCGGCCGGCCCTCCAGAATGCCCCGAGCTGTGACCCAGCCCCCCCCACCCCCCCACCCCCTCACCCCCCCGCTGCCCCTCCTCTGTTGGAGCTGCAGGTAATACACACACACCTCTGCAGGCTGTTGCAGGTTCGCTCTGCTTTCTGTCGTTGTGGCCAGCTGGCAGCCACCGGGGGGCTGTCAGAGCCCCCTTCTGGGAACCCCAGCACCCTCGCCACAGGGCAGGGCCAGGGCCCGCACCTCCGCAGCCAGTCAGCAGGGGCGCCGTGGCGGGAGTGCCCGCAGAGACCCCAGGTCTACACAGTCTCCTACAGCCTCAGGGACCCGCGTGGGAGCCCAGGAACCAGGCAGGGTGGGGAGGGGGAGCAAGCGTGCCCCCCGTGTGAAGCGGAGGAACCGAGGCCCCGAGAGGGCGTGACCGCCCCGGGTCACAGCACGGACAGGAGCAGAGGGGCCCCGGGCCATGGCGGAGCCCACGCACACGCGTGCCCAGAATCAGGGACGCCGCCTCGGGCTGCGCGTGTGAGCGTGTGGGCGAATCTCGCCTTCTGCCCTGAGGCCAGAGGTCCGTCTCCCCCCACGCCCCTCCCAGCCCCACGCCCCCCACCCCCACCAGGCAGGGCGCGCTCAGGCGGCCTGGCCCGGGCCAGTCCAGAATGGAGCCTGCGGGATGTTAGCCTGTGTCCCCTGGGGCCACAGGAGGCCTGGGGGCGCAGCCACACCCCCAGAATAGCCCCCTGATGGAGTGGGCTGTCCCGCCAGTCCAGCGCCACGTCCCAAGTGGGGACTCTGGGGCCACGGGGAGGGTGGGCCCACCAGCCGGTGCTCCCAGGTGCCTTCTCCAAGTGCCCGCCCCCCTCGGACCCAGGCGGGGCCCAGCGAGGCGATGGGGGAAGGGGCTGCTGGGCTCTCTGGGCCTGTGCCGCAAACCCCCTTCCTGCCCGGCCCACGGGTGGTCTCCAAAGACACCTCAGGGAGCCCCGGGTCCCACCGGCCACCCCACCTGGCTGTCCCGTGAGTGTCAGATGGTGTCCAGGCCCAAGGTCAAGGTCAGCATGGAGTCCCCTGGACACAGGGCCCTTCCCCCAGCGCACCGGTGCCTGGGGGGCGCGACTACTCGGGCCTCAGATCCCTCCGCTCACTCTCCCTGCGGTCCGGGCGGGGCGCCCCCTGGTCGTGTTCCTTGAACTCCGTGTCACCACCTCCATTCCGAGTGTGGTGGGTGTGCGGGCCCAGGAACCGGGAAGGAGGAGGCACCTGGCCACCTCCCGCGCCCCCACCCCACGCCCACACAGACGGGCGCACACTCGGGGTTCTTCGTGGCCGGGGCTCACGCAGGCTCCGGGCCACGCCGTCCTCGGTTCACGCGCACAACAGAGACGCGATGGGGTCTTTTTAATTTTTCCTTTTACAGAGTCAATAAATCACGTGTGATGCTTTTAACAAAGATTGTGGTCGGCGTTTGCCTCATTACGACTCTGTAACTCAGCGGGACCCCAGAGATGCGCCCTGACCTTAACCCTCCTGGTCACTGCGTCAGGACAGGCGGCCAGCGGGGCGGGAATGGCCCGGTCAGCTGTTGGGGCGCTCCCCATGCGTCCCGGCTCCCTGCCCTGCAGGGCGGCAGGGCCCCCCGCCCCGCACCCCATCCCGCCAGCAGGGGGCGCAGCCCTGCAGTCGGCCCCCAGAATCCAGAAGTGGGGCGCTCCATGCGCCACAGTGTCAGCAGCACCTTGACCAGGTCCTGTGACCGTGAGGGACGGAGATAAAACCAAGAGCATGTCCCAGTCACCTCCCAACATGGAGGGACCCTCCTCCCCCAAAACATTCAGTGGCGATCATGGCCTCAGTGTTGCCGAGGCCCTTCTCCCGGACAAGGGCCATTGGCCACGCCCCTCCCAACAGCACCCAGCTCGGCTTCCGTGAACCCTCTGCACGGCCCACCCCGAACCAGGCCCTCTCAGCACCCCAGAGCTGCCCCCCGCCCCCATCAGCCCTGACCCAGCTGTCCAGCCCCAGACGTGACCCCGGGCCCAGGATGCGGCCCAGGCTGGCAGCACCCTCCGTCCCTGGGGAGAGTGACCGGTCTCTGCACGTGGACAGTCGCTGGCCTGCTCAGTGACCAGCCTGCAGAAAAACCCCACCACACTCGGTTCCCATGAAAGGGGAAACGCCCCCCCGCCCCCCGCCTGCGTGCTGGAGGTCGGCAGCTGCACCCCAGATTTCACTGGGTGTCAAAACGTGCCCTGAGCCTCAGGCTGCTGGAGCGATGGCCCAGCACTGCGGTCCCCCACGGGCCTGGGTGGCCAGGGCGCGGCACGGCGGCTCCCAGTCTCCCCTGGCCTCGGCCCGCCACCCCTCTGCCGCTGGGCTCGGCAGGTCCCCGTGGGCAGCGAGCTCAGCCTTGACAGCTCCTGGGACTCAGGGGCGCCAGCTGGGCGTCCCTGCCAGGTGTGTGATGGGTTGTCCATCACCGACAGGGCCGTCCCCACCAGGTGTACGATGGGTTGTCAATCACCGACAGGGCGGGCCTGGCAGACCGCACCTGGCAGGGATTCCGGGCCTCGGGGTCGCACGGGCAGGCGGGATCGTGGGCGGAGCCGGCACCTGGCCTGGTTCGGGCCCAGTTCAGGACTGCGGGAGGGGCCCTCACACCGCGAGCCGGCGGAGGAGGGGCCGAGCCGCCTGCACAGCGGCAATGGGGACGGGAGGCCATCGTGAGGGCACAGCTGCCCGTCGGTGTGGCCCTCGGCCACCAGTGCGGGCACTCGTCACACGCGCCCACGCACCATGCGGGCACCAGCCGCACACGATGGGGGCCCTGTTCCCCCTCCCAGCGGAGGGCAGCGAGGCGCACAAGAGTCGGCAGGGGTGGGGGCGGTGTCTCTGCGGGGTGGGCGGGGCGGCGAGGGCGGGCGTGAGAGCACGGACGCCCTCCGCGAATGGGTAGAGCTCGTCACGGAAAGGGAGGAACTAGTGTGCGTAATGACGCTTTCTAGAATGTTCCCGCGACTCGGAGGATCTGGGCAGTGGCCGGGTGCAGGTGAGGCTGGGGGCGGGGGGGGTATGCAGAGGGTGTTGTGCGCGTGGGGTGGGACTGCGCAGAGAGAGGGTGCGGAGGGAGGCGGCGGGGCAGAGTCCCGGGGTGAGCAGGGACCGGACACGGGGGTGGGGTGGGGGGGGGCGCAGGCGGCCACAGACGCAGCTGGGCTGGGGGCTGGGAGTGAGGAGGGGGCCGGGGCTGCAGGGGACAGGAGCAGGCCTGGCTCGGTGGTCTCGGTCTCGTCGGGAGCGAGAGGTGGCGGGTTGGCCGAGGACGCTGGTAGAAGTGCCGGCAGCTGGAGGCCCCACTGGGGACCCGGGTTGCCGCCGCGGCTCAGGGAGGACTTAGGTGACGGCCTGCTCCGCTCAGCGGAGGTCCAGCGCTCAAGTGCGGGGACCCCGGGGGGCCGCAGGGCACAGAGTGGCTGCAGCGGCTCCAGACTGGGCGTCTTTTCACGGAGTCCGGGGCCTCCGGTCGGGTTGCGTGGCCGTCCCGGAGGTGGGCGCTCACTGCGTTAGTCGTGAGTCACGTGCTCCTCCCCTCCCCCAACCAGGGGGGGCCGCGCGTGTCTCTGCGCTGGGGACAGAGGACAGCCACAGAACGCTGCACAGGCGGCAGAGGTCGAGGCCGGGCCTGCAGCCCCCACTGCAGACCGTGGGCTCAGTTCTGGAGGTGCGCACGCCCACGGCCCGCTAGGTCCGGGGACTCGTCTGGGGGCTGCGTGCGGGACAGGGCTCCATCAGCCACAAACGCGGGGAGCGGGGCGCACAGCACCGGCGCCCGCCGGGGAGCACTGCGCCTGCAGGGGGCGCGCCTCACCCGAGGGCGAGTAACGGGGGAAAGATGGCGGCCGGCCTCGGGCTGGGAAGGCGATCCTCCCGGTTTGCAACAGCCCGGGGCTGCGGCTGGGGAGGAGACCCGTCTTGTGGACGGGAGCTTGCTGAAGGAAGCCTGAGAAAGTTCTGGAAAATGTGTCGTTTTGATGTGAAGTGCAGGCAAACATGGTGCCTTCGAAACAGGACCGTGAGGTCCACGGCGGAGCGGGGCGCAGGCGCCACCCACGGGTGTCGGGTGAGGGGAGAGTGGAAACGCAGGAGCTGCGTTCACGTTCGCCCCCCCAGGGCAGGTGAACTCGCTCAGACGGCAGCAGGGGGGCGGGGCGGAGCCGCCGGCCTCGGAGGGCCACGCCCAGGGCCCGAGACCAGGCCCGCAAGCGACGGGCGGAGGTCGACCCGACCCAAGGGGACGTCTGAGTGCGGACGGGAAGAGCAGAAAGCCCCACGAGCTCCCGGACAGAGCGCGGCGGGGGGAAGCGTGGCAGGGCCGAGGCCGGCTGTGGCTGTGGCCAGAGCCCAAAGCAGGGAGACCACCATGGAGACAGGCCGGGACGTCGGAGCGCCTCACGGGCACAGGACGCAGCAGAACACTGAGACGCACGCCCCGTCCGGGAGTGGGGAACTCAGGTCTCCTCCTCTCAGCCAAGGGCTGGTGGACGCTGGCGGGCAGCCGCGGTGTCGGGGTGCGTGCAAGGACAGGGAGCCGCCGTACGGCTGCTGCTGCTGCGGCTGCAGCTGCTGCTGCGGCTGCTGGTAACCACCGCCTCTGGGGGTCCAGTGAGCTGGCCTCCCTCGCCCCCCTGCCCCCGGCAGGGCCCCGGAGACCTGCACACACAGCCCCTCCCGAGCGGCCCCGGCGGCCTGGGCCCCCCAACCCCGGCAGCTGCCCTGCTGGCTGCCCTGGGAGGACCCCACTGGTGGCGGTGGGCAGCACCCCTGCTCCCCGGGCGGGCAGCACCAGCAAGGACGGACGCCAGGGAGGCTGCGGGGAAGTCTGCACAGCCCCGGGAGGACTCGCGGGAGGGCCCGGTGCCGCTGTGCGTGGGCGGTGGCTGCAGCCCAACGGAGGCGTCTGAGGGGGGTGGAGAGGGCTGGCAGGAAGGACGGGCCCTGACAGCCTCGTTGCTGCGGGCCGCTGGTCAGCTGGTCGGGTGGACCCTGGGCTGGGTGGGGCCGAGGGGGGGCAGGCTGCACGCAGGTGAGACCTGAATGGGGTCTTCTGCCACCTTGCCAACCCACTTCCCGTCAGCCTCCAAAGCCCCGTGTGCCCCGCCCTCCCCCTCTGTGCCTCAGGGCCTGGCAGAGGCGTCACTGTCCGAGGGCAGGGGACTTCGTGACCCCGAGTATGTCCCGTTTATTCCTGCTTTTGTCATTGCCGCCCCAGGGGCCCTCCAGGAGTCTGCGGCCTTCTCCCTCCTGGTGGAATCCTGCTCAAACACCCACCTGGCTCAGGCACGGCCCCTGCCCTGCCCCGCCCCCCACAGCCCCAGAGGCAGCAGCTCCTTCCTCGAGACCCCGGGAGCCCCAGACCCTGGGAGCCCCCAACCAGCCGCACCGGGGCTGCCTGCCTGCCCACGGGCATGAGCTGCCTGGGACCGGTCACACTGGGTTGGTCCCACATCCAGCGCTGGGCGCCAGGCAGGTGCACAGACGTGTCTTGAATCGAATATTCGACTCTGTGGATTAAAAGCCACTTAACCCCCTCCCCCCAAACCCCCCCAACCACGGGTCTTTCCCGAAAGCCCTTCTGCTAATAGACACAAAGCACCCCCGACCCCTCCCTCCCCCCACCTCTTCCCGCGCCCCCCCAGCCCAGGGCCCTCTGCGGTCAGTTCCAGAGACACCCGGTCATGTCTGTCCCACCTGCCATCACGCCAATTGGGTCAGGACACGGAGGCCAGGTCGGAGGGCAGAGCTTTATTGAGAACACGCACTCAAGTCACGCCGCAGGCCGGCGCCCGTCAGGCCGTGCTGTGTGGAGCGGCCGCAAAGTCCACAGGGAAGACGCGGGGGCGAGGCCGCCGAGGGCGGGTGGAGACCGGGTGCCCCCCTCCCCAGGGCACCCTCCTTCCCGTACAGCCTTTCCCTCGATGGGTTAAACATGCCGAGAAGCAGGGGGAATGTATTTACAGTCACTTAAAGTGGGCACGACCAACATACGTGATTAAACAAGACCTTTCCTGATTCCTGCCTGCTTCTTTCAAAGAGGAGTTTAAATACGACTTTAGTTTTTAAAAAATACAGTAAGGAAATAATTACATTCTTGTATGAAAACATTTCACAGTGGACAGCCGTGGTCGGGCCGTGAGGAAGACCTGTGATTTAAAAGTCGGTGGCGAAATTTAAACAGCCCTTCTCAGTAGAAAACGAAGTACAAAGAACATCTTATTAAAAACCCCTTTGGTCCCTAAGAACTGTGACCAGGTGTCCCCACGGCGACAGGCAGGGCCCGGATGGTGCGTGTGCCCCGCAGGGGTGAGGCCCCGGGCCCGGGGGCCTGGCGTGTCTGCGGCCAGCGCCCCACTGTCCTGCCCGGGCCTGCGTCCCAGGCAGCGGTGGCTCCGCCCTCCCTGTGACGCAGTGTCCTGTGTGCACGACACGGAGACTTCCGTCCACTTGCGGTCTGTCTCACGCTGTCCCCACCTCCGTCAGGGGCAGTGACAAGACAGCAGTAACAGCAGGAACAAAATAACAACAATCACCTTCTTTAAAGCTACGCCCTGATTTGAAATGACCTTTCCCCTCACACGTCATTGCAGAAAAACAGAGGAAGGCAAAGGTCGCAGGTTCACACCCCGAGGAGCACCCTGGCGGAGACCGCAGGTCACCAAGCTCGGGAAAGGGTGCTCTCGGGACCCACAGGCTGGACGCGGGGGGGCCTGTCACAGGCCTTGAATCAACAGAAAACCACGGCTGCTGGGCTGGGTCCCCAACAGCACGCTGGCGGCGAACAGTCTTCTGGGAAGACAGGACTTGAGCACAGTGAGGGAGTCCTGCCCCGGGCGGTCCCCTCGGAACCCGCAGCTCCTCCCCGGCGGCCCCAGGGCCTCGGACACGTTCTGAAGCAGACTTCGCGAAGGGCGGCCGGCCCCTAACCTATGACAGTGGCCTTGGGGTTCTTGGAAATGGCCAGTAACCACCCAGGGGCGGTGAGGGGAGCTCGGCGTTGGGGGCGGGCTGGCTCCAGTCACGGGGAGAGCTGGGGGGGCGGCGGGGCGGGCCTCCCCCCGCCACGCGGCAGCCCTGCGGCGGAGCCGGGGACGCCCACCCCCGCTCTGGGCCTTGGCGGCGACACGGGAAGCCCTTCCCCAGCCTCTGTGCAAAGCTGGTGAGCGAGTTAAAAACATTATAAAAATATAAAAGTGGGCGGGATTTTGAAGGTTGATGGCACTTTGCCAAAATAAAGCCGGAAGCTGGAGCCTGAGGCCGACAGTGCGGACTCAGGTGCCTGCGGGAGGGGGGCCAGGAGAGGCCGCCCCTGCCGCCCCCCACGTTTCTCTCCCTTTTGGGCAGGGGCCCCCTGGATCGCGACCGCCTGTCGGCGGGTCTGCCTGCTCCCAGGGCAGCGGGGCTTCGGCGCCCGCCCGCCGGCTGCCCGGGGATGGAGGGAGGCAGACCGAGACCACCGTCAGAACGCCGACACGGTGCCCAGTGCGTGTCTAGTATGTACAGACATAAATTAAAAACTATACTCATAGAACATATACAAATAAATAACTTACTTTGGAGCAAAGACTTGAGGCTAACTTCCGATCAAACCTGGAGCGCGGGGGGAGCCGCTGGCCGCGGGGACGCCGGCGGCCGCGCAGCGCCCCCTTCCGACGGCTCCCAGACCTGCAAGGCTCCAGCCCGCCCTAGAGGTGCGGGGCGCGGGGTGTCGGAGGGAATTTAGAACCGGGCTTTACGCACACCACACGCGTCCGCCAAGCCGGAGCGTCGGGGGCCCCGGACCCTGGGCACGGCCCACGGACGCAGCCTTAACCGGAGAAGCCGTGTCTGCCCGACGGCAGCAAAGATGAACGGAGACGGGCCTTCCGTCCCGGAGGAGCGGCCGGACCGCGGACGGCCCTGCGCCCCACCCCAGTGTCCTCTGCGGACGCCCCGGGAGGCCCCCCACTGCGTGCTGGTGGGATGTCCCTCGGACTGCTGCCCTGTGGGAAGGGGTCAGAGGGCAGTGCCAGGTGGCAGGCGGCTCTGCAGTGGCGTCAGGCCCCAGGTGCAGGCCCCTTGCGCAGCGTGGGGAATGTCCCCGACACCAGCTTCCTGCTGAGCCTGTCACCTCTGGTCAGCCCAGGACACGGGACAGCGGTCCGGTCCCAGGGGCCCCGCACGTGCGTGCAGAAGGTCTCGGGGACGAGTAGGGGACCCTGCTGTGCTGCTGTCAGTCCCCACCCGGGATGGGAGCCTCCTTCCAGGGGCCGGCCACGGCCGTGTCGCCCACCCCTCGCCGCGGCCCCCCGTCTGGGAGAGGGCTTCTGGGGACGGACCCTTCATGACGGAGCCCCGCGAGGGTCCCTGCAGGGGAGTCTGGCTCCGAGGCCACGGTGCAGTGGCCACTCTCCCTGTCCCTCCTGTGCCCCAGCCCCTGGGCACCCCCAGGAACAGCGCACGGGAGGCAGATGAGACAGGTGGTGGAGAGGCCCACCAGGCCCAGTCCACGGACGCGCTCACGGCTTCAGTGTGCACATGGAGGCGGGGGAGGGGCTGGCTGGGCGCTCGGGGAGGGCCCCCCCCCCCCGCACTTTGCAATGTCCCAGTTCCGTAACTGCGACTCCCAGGACCTGCCTCCTTTTCACAGGATGGACCCGCCAGCAATGGGCCTGGGGAGGCCCTCAACAGGCCGGCTAACCGTGCACCCCGCTGGGCCCCCAGCTCCCCGGGTGCAGCAGCGGGGGCAGGAGAGGGGAGGCCTTGCCGGGGCAGAGGGGGGTGGGGAGGGTGCGGGGCGGAGCTGTGCAGCAGCAGCGGGGGCAGGCGGGGGCTCTACCAACCCAGAGCGTGGGGCGCAGCGCTCACGGGAAATGCTCAAACCTTCCCAAAGGACGGATGGCACTTCCTCCCGGCCACGAAGCGTCCGTCCAGAAGAGACGGAAAGGTGGAAACACCTCACGGCGCAGCGTCTTGGGCCTTCTCCTCCAGGGACGAGGGACCGGGCGAGGGGCGCAGAGACAGGTGGCCACACGCTCCCCCGAGGCCGCCAGCTGTGCAGCCCGAGGCAGACGGCCACCTCGCTGCAGGGGCCACACGGCCCTCGGTCCCCGCCCCTCCCCCGCTCGGCCAGCGCCCCTCCGGCCTGCGGCTGGTGGACAGGCCCCGCCTGGTGGACGGGCCCCGCCCGTCGCCGGAGGGTGGTCTCGGGTACCTCTCCTCCCTCCCGTCTGCAACAAATCAAGTGGGAACCAGGGGCTGCGGGAAAACTCCTTTAAGGGCACCGTCGTACAGTAGAAAAATACTCGTGAGGGTCCGGGCGTCCGCGGCGGCGTCTCGCGGGCTCCCTCTACGTCCCGTTCTTCAGCTCCCACTCCTGGCGAGGGAAGCGAGAGAGAGCGCGCACCGGTCACACGCGAGGTGCCGGGACGCGGGGCCCGTGGCCTCAGGTGGGCGCGTGGCTGCGGTCCTCAAAACACCGCAGAGAGTTGCCGCTCAACCCAGGAATGGCCCGGTCACGGGCAGGGGCCGCCCCACAGTCCCAGGCGGGTGCACCCGCAGCGCAGCGGCACCAATGGAGCTCGTGTGCACGAGAGAGGGCCGCCTGCCAAGCACAGCTGTCTCCTGGGCAACTCTCGGTCACAGCCGACGAGGGCTGTGTGTGCCGGTCACCGTACACAGTTTTAGATTTGCCTGCGACCTTGGACCCGACACCACAAGCCGTCAGTGCTGACCCCTCAGAAGGGGACCCTGTGCGGGGTGGGGGTGGGGACCCGGGGCTGACAGGGCTGCGGGTGGGGGGACTGGGGAGGGCGGTGTGTCTGCGCAGGGTCCTCGGTCACCCGGTCACCCGTGGGCGGAGCCCAGAGCCCCGCCCCTCTGACGGAGACCCAGAGGCCTTGGGGAGGGGTGGGGGGGCCTGCAGCTGTGCCCGAGAGCGGCGGCTCCCGAGGGCCCGCCTGCAGCCAGACCCTGGAGGCCGGTCGCAGGTGGCGTCTGAGGGGAGGCTGTGGGACTGCACAGGAGGCCAAACGCAGCTGCCCGTCTCTCCCACGCGGTCCTGAGGCCAGGAAGTCTGCACCCTTAGCGTGCGTGGAGGGAACTGACCTTGGCCTTCCGAAGCACGTGGCCACGGCAGGGGGCACTGCCAGCCGGCTGGCTCTGCTTCAGGACGGCCGCGCTGTTCACGGGCACCGGGCCCTCGGCGTCGCTGGTCTCGCAGCTGGACAGGGGTGAGCTCTCCAGCGGCCGGTGCCTGCTCCCGGGGGACTGTCAGCAGAGAGGGGACACCCGTGTGAGGGGCCCAGGCCGCCCTGCTTCCCCGCGGGGTGGGTTTCCCCTGAGAAGAGCGGGGTTGGAAATCGGCAAGCACAGGGACAGCCAGGAGGAGGACAGCGGGGACGTGTGTGGCCCGTGCCCAAGCCTAAGAGCTCCTGCTAGATGTCCGTTCCACAGATGGACAGACCGAGGTTGCGAGGGCGCTCCCGCCTGCCGGGCACACTGGGAAGCAGGGGAGGAGGGCCCCTGGCTGCCGCATCCGCCCTCCAGCCCGACCAGTGGCCCCTCAAGGGCCCTCTCCTCGGCGCTGGTCCTCAGGAGCTCTGGCTGCCGCAGCCGCCTCACCACCCCGGCAGCAGCCACGATGGTGGTGCCGTGAGCTCTCAGAGCTGCACACGTGGGTGGGCCCCCGGCGCGAACCCGGCACAGGGTCACACCGAGGGTTTTGGACTTTGCACAGTTTACACGTGGCCAGAGGGAGGTGCTTCCCAAAGACTGAGAGTGGGACCGGGGGGAGTCTGGGTGCCGGGACGGTCACCTCGGACCTTCCGGGGAGATGGCACGCTGCCCTCGGGAGAAGCACGCGCAGCTGGCGGTGCCGACCTCAACCCAGTGCCGGGGCAGGCGGCCCTGCGACCACGGTGGAGGGTGTGCCCTGCGACTCCGGGCCGGGCTGGCGGGCGCGTCGCTTCAGGAGAACGGTGTTCCGGGTACCGGGGAGACAGGTCGCTGAGACCCCCCCACCGCAGGGAATACGGACCCTGGGGCCAGGCAGCCTGTGTGGTTGGTTCCGGTTAACCAGACCGGTGTGCGGGGTGGGGGGCGGTAAAGGAGGGGTAAAGGCTGGTCCGGCACGCGCCCCTCCCCCGGGACGTGTCCGTCTAACAAGCTGCTACTCCAGGGACGCGGCCTCGGTGGGGATGAGGTCGAGTGCTGCCACGCTGTGCGGCGATGGCCAGGGAGCGGCCCTCGCGAGCGAGGAAGCAGCGAGCACGTGACTGAGAGCGCGGGGCCTCCACGAGGACCACGGGCTCGGCTGTCCGGGTGAAAGAAAGGAGGGCCGCAACGGGGCCAGAGAGAGCCCACGGGGCCGGGGGGGGGCGGGGGGGCGGGGAGCGTGTGGTCGCTGCAGGGGCGGGCGGGAGCTGGCCCCACGGAAGACTCCGGATCGGAGCAGGAGGGAGGGTGCAGCGAGTGCAGGTCCGGGCGGGGCTGACCGCGGCAGCGGGGGAGGGGCGGGTGGGCCAACTGGGCACTGGAGCAGGGGCGGCTGCTTCCCGGAGTCTGGGCCAGAAGGGTCAGTGGGGCCTGGGCCGAGACTGGGGGAGGAGGTGGGGCCACGGCCGCATCGTCTGTTAACACGCGGGCAAACCAGCACGCCTTCAGACGCCTCGGAGGACGCGAGAGGAGGGTGGGAGGTACAGGGGAGAAGGTCGGACGGGGCCTGAGAGGCCAGGGGAGGGTGGGGTCTGGGGCCCGGCACCCCCAAGGGCGGGGGTCAAAGGGCCGCACACTCTCCTGCCTCCAGCCCACCCTGGACGAGGGTCTGGAGGGGCTCAGGGGTCAGGACGCACTGAAGAGCCACCCGCGCCTCACCGGCCGTGCTCACCGCCACCTCCAGCCGGAGCTGGCCTCCCTGCGCCCCGGCCCGGTCCCGTCGGCCCTGGGAAGCCTGCATCACCCCAGGCCCGGGGTGAGTGCTAACTCCCCCGGCACTTGCGCAGGGCTCTCCACGGCACTCCCCACGCCTGGCCTAGCTCCTTCCCGGGCTGTCTCCCTCCCCAGGGTATAGGCTCCACAGAAACAGCAACTCTCCCTTGCTCGCTGCTGGGCCCCTGAGGGGCTCAGCACGTAACCCTGTCTTATTGAGGAAGGGAGGGAGGGAAGGAGAGGGAGACACACTCTCTTTGGCCAGGCCCTGAGCGGAGAGCTCTTCTGAGCACGGTCCTGGTGGTAGGCGGTACTGTTGTCCCATTTCACAGAAGAAAACCCATGGCTTTGAGAAGGTGAGTGACCTCAGAGGCCTCCCCGGGGACCCCAGCGCTGCTCCCCCAACACTGTGGCTTTGGGAGGCCTGCCGTGCAGCCAGAATTCACGTTGCCAAGTTCGGGGGGCACCTCTGGAAGTGGGGGGTGGTCACTGGGCAGGACAGGAGCTTGGGGGAGGCGGGTGGCAGGCTTCGGTGCCGCCCCCCGTGTCCGTGAATCCACACGTCTTCCCGGAGGCCCCTCACACTGCTGTGGGGAGGGGCCGTGGGGCACGCAGTTTGGAGCAAGGGGATCAGCAGGCCCTTGGCGCTGGCGAGGGAGGGGCGGGGGCCGAGTGTGGGTCTGACCCCCGTCTGCCACCTGCTCTTGGCAGGGTCCCTGTGCTCCGTGGGCCAGCAAGGAGTGGACGGAAGGATCCCGTAGGAAGGACTGATGCGGTGCAGAACACCGTGGTCGTTAAGGTGGAGGAGGTTCAGCCCTGATCTCCGCGTGTCCTGTTCGATCGCAGAGGACCCAGACCGTGCGGGTCCGTTCCCCGCACCGGGCACGTCCGCAGCTCGGCCAGACGTCCGCACAGACCTGCGGTGCTGAGCCCGAGTCTCTGTCCTGACAGCCGGCCCCGAACGTGGGCGCAGCTCCTCGGAGACGGGGGCTGCTGTACCCGCTGCACTCGGGTCTCGGGCCTCACGCAGGAGAGGGTCTCACGCAGGAGAGGACACGGCTGGGGCCCCCCGCACCCTGGGAGCAGCTCCGAGGAAGCGGCGGGGCCCTCAGCGTGGGGGAGCGGGCCTCCCTGGGGGCGTGTCCCCGAGGGCGCATCCCCAGCGGGCGCGTGCTGCGCCTCTGGGCTGCGGACTGCCGGGCAAGGCGGGGGACGAGCAGCAGCCACGCACGGGGGAGAGGAACACGGGCGCACGCTCCCTGCACGCGGTGACCGCGCCGCTGCGGAGGGGCATTACCTGCGGACTCGAGGTCCCCGACCGGGGCTCGATGGCCAGCCCCAGCGTGATCCCGCCGGCCAGGGCCTTCCGGAGGCTCTCCTTGACCTCGGTCAGCTCCAGCTCCAGGCTGACGCGCTCCGCCTCCCTCCGCCGGCACTCTTCCTCCAGCGCCTTCAGCTTCTCCTCCAGGACCGGCTGCGTCTTCCTGCCTGGGGGCAGAGACACACCGGGCTGCTCGCCCACTGGCAGACCCCCGTTCTCCCAGGAAACGCCCGCTCAGCCGCCCCTTCGAGGAGCAGCGTCCTCCCCTCACACTTCCTCTGCTGCGGCAGGGAGGACCGAGTCCCACAGACGGGCCTCGGGGCACTCGGGAAACGTGGGACTCAGGCGGCGTGGCTTCCCAAGGGGCCGCCGACCCGAGGACTCTGAACGAGTTTATGGTCCAACCCTCCGGCCACTTTCTGGCGTCGCCTCGTCCGCCTGCGCTCAGGCACAGCCCACTCCCGATGGAGCAACGAGCCGGCGCCTTTGCTTGGAGCGCTCGCTTCCCGCTGTTTGGGAGGTGCGGCAGCGAGGGACCCAGGAGGGCAGGCGCTGCGCCCCCTCCCGCCCCCCACACACACAGGTCAGGACACCGGTTCCTGGGGCGGCCGGGCCTGTGCAGGCCCCTGTCCAGCGCGCCCAGCTCGGGAGGCGCCTTTCTGGGGCCAAACCCCGGTCCAACCCTCTGCGTCTCCACCTTCCGCTCCCACCCCACCCTCCGACGTGGCACCTGACTCCCCAGGCAGCCGTGTGCTCGGCGCCGCACCCCGCCTCCTGCCCCCATCTCCCCGCCGTGAGCCATCCCTGACCGGCTCTGCGGCACCTGCCCCCCATCGCAACGGCACAGTGCGTCCCTGCGCACAAACCACGGCAGCACCGAGTCCCGGAAGGCTCGGGCCCCACGGGCGCCGGCCCCTCCCTGCACACAGAGCCACTCGGAGGCAGCGCTTCCCCTTCGGGCCTTCCTGGCGCCCCGCGCCCTCCTGGCCCTGGGCTGGCGGCACGGAGACCTGGATGGAGCCCGTGCTGGCCCAGGGCAGGCCAGGCTGGGCCCGAGGCGAGCACTTCAGCAGTTCCCTCCGCAGAGCCGGGACCCCCACCCCGGCCCGCACAGCAGGGACAGGCCTGCCCCGTCCAGACAGGGCTCTGGCCCTCTCTGCGGGTTGCGGCCACCAACCCCCGGCCTCCCCCAGCCCCTCCGAGAACCAGACGCCGCCCTGCTCTCAGCTGCGCCTTCTCAGGAGCGAGGGCCCCTGTGGCCGCACGGTGGCCCCCGACTGGGCTGCGAGTGCGGCCTGTCCCGGGCACCGCCCTCCCGCTGAGGGACCCAAGTGCCTCGTCCGCTCGGCGCCCAATGGCCACAGCCTCTAGGCCAGCGGTCCCCAGCTTTTTGGCACCAGGGACTGGTTTCGTGGAAGTTTTTCCACCGTCCAGGGTCGGGGTGGGAGCCAGAAAGTGGAGCTCAGGCCATAATGCCGGCGGTGTCCACAGACCGGGAGGAGGGCGGGCGGGCGGGCAGGGGCAGCCCCTGGTCTCCCCGCAGCGCCTGCCGTCAGCACCGGAGGCCGGGACAGCTCCTGGGCTCCTGAGGCATCCGGCCGAGGACTCTGGCCCCCGGACCCCTGCCCTGGGCGAGGCCTCCAGCGTCAAAGCGGCGAGCTCGGGATGCACACGGGGTCTTTCTAAGACGAGAGCCCGGCCAGTGAGGCCCCGGGGGCAGGCAGAGGGACCCAGGCTCGCTCGGACGGGGCGCCTCTCCTACCGGCGTTCACGTCAATGGCGGCCCGCAGGTCCTTCCTCTCCTTCCGGAGCTGGGCCAGCCTGGTCCTCAGGGCTTCCTTCCGCCTCAGCAGCTCCTCCTCCTTGGTCTGCAGCCGCCGGGCGTCCGCTTCGACCCGGTTCTTGCCATATTTGTACTGGTCAGCATCTTGGAGACACGAGCGGCGAGGGGAAGTCAGGGTTAGCCAAGCAGACGACGCGGTGGCCCCCAGAGCCGCCTCTACCAGCCCGCGCCGTGGCGGACTCAGCGCTGGCTGGCCCGTCCGCTCGACAGACAAGGTGAGGGGCGGGACCGGCGTGAACCAGCTCAGGTCATTCGGTGCTCTCCGACACGACATGTAAAATAGGAAACAGGATATTAAGAAATCCCTGAACACTCTCCCTCCCCAGCATGCTCTGCGGTGGACAGCAGGTGTGCCACACCCAGAGCAGGGGGGGAGGGGGGCCACCCGCAGCCTCGGAGTTTAAAGGCAGGGCTCCCGAGGGGGACGGTGGCTGCAGCCCCCGGGCCTCAGCTGCACCCTCTGCGAAGCAGACGTGCCGAGGCCCCCCACCTTGCGGGTTATCTAAGACTTTGACATTCGTTCCAAAAACTGGTGTCACAGAAGCATGTGGTGCCTGGGTCGTGGTGGACGCCCCAGAGCCTCTGGCCGCTGTCAGTGCTGACGGCAGCCCGAGCCCTGCCCGCTCAGAGGCACAGGCGAGCCGCTTCTCGCGCCGTGCCTGACGCCGAATTCACCGGCTCTGTGCTGCAAGCCCCAGGGGCTGCCTGAAGGCCGGCACGACGTCAGCTCGGCCCCCCGCGGCCCCCTCGACCACCTGCACTGGGGGTGCCGCTGGCCGGGGCCTGCTCTGCAGACAGAGCGACATCTGAACTGGGGCCGTGGATCCCAGGCTGAGAGGTCTCCCCAGCGAAGCTGCGCATCGCCCCATCTCTCGGTCCCCAGGCAGTACGCCCTGTCCGACCCAGAAGGAAGTTGGCCAGACGCAGCACAAACACGGAGCGCAACTGTCCTTCCCGGCTGTCAGCGGTAGCTGTCAGCACAGTTAACGACGACTCCTCCAGGAGGCCTCATAAAGGAAGGGTAAGTCACCTGGGAAAGGAGATCAGCCCGGCGGCCGAGAGAGACGCTCCCGTGGCTCGGGTCGGGCTCAGCAAAGCCGGCCGCCGCCCCTGCCCGCCCTCCCCACCCTCCCCGCAGAGCGGCACCGGCACCGCACGTGACTCGGAACCCCGACTGCATGGGGGGTGTCAGAGCACAGCCCGGCGAAGAACACGCCAGGGCCCTGGGGGCAGGAGCGGCCCCCACTGCAGAGCGGCTCCAGGCCGGTCCGAGCACACGCCCCGCCCCCACCCCCCCCCCCGGCAATGCCCTGAAGCTCCCTCACAGCGCCCACGGGGGCAGCTCCTGGGCCCCAGGGAGCCCCCGGGCCGCTCACGGACCGTCCACACGTGCAGGCCGCGGGCGACGGCGGCAGCTACCCCAAGGGCAGCCCTGAGAGCTGGAGGGAGGGACGGACTCGGGCCTGCAGTGGACGGTGAGGACCCACCGTCCACCTGTGCCCCTCGGGGCTGGGAGGCCCGCAGCTGCTGGACTGTTTCGTCACGGAGACCGGGGGGCCGACCATCTCCCTCCCGCCCATGGGAGCCGAGTTTGGGGTGCCAGCGACGTGACTCAAGTCACCAAGTCACCAACAGATCAGAGACACAGACCAAGTGCCCCCAACCAAAGCCAGGGGGGGCCCTTCGGCTGCCGCTGCCCCTGCCCCTCTGGGGACCACGACCAAAGTCGGGGTGACCAGTGCTGGAGTCAGGCCACCAGCCGGCCTTCCCCGTGCACGTGAGCAGCCATCACAGAAACCGGCTCCGGGCCCACGCTGCCCTCCCCGTCCCGCAGGTGAGACAGGGCAGCCCGGCTCCAGGTCCTGCCCCCCACGGGCCCCACGCCCGGCACTTCCTCCCCAGGGGGAGGGAATGGGCGCCCGGCCGGACCGCACGCAGCAGCTGGGCACTTACTTGAGGGCGTGCGCGTCACGCCGGCGGCCGAGGCAGCCCGCTTTTGTGGGCCGCCCACAGCCTTGCCTCTCCCCGCGACCCCGCTGGACGCCACCGGGGGCTTCTTCCCCTTCAGCTGTGGGAGAGACAGAGGAGAAAGTCAGAAACGGGACACCTGGGCTTCCCGTTTGCAGAACGCCGTCCCTGCCCCCGACCCCGCCCCTGCCCCTTGGTCGTAGCCAGCAGAGGTGGGAACGCGAGGTGGAAGGGGCCGCTGCGGCCCCCTGACGCCGGACTGTGGGGTCTGGCGTGGGCTCAGAGGCGTCCTCAGCTGGGAGCAAGGCCAGCTGCACTGTCCCCGGGGGCCCTGAGTGCTGACGGGACGGTGGTGCAGGCGGGGGAGCACCCAGTGTCACAGGTGCGGGGCTGGAGGTGCGCGTTTCCGAAGGTGAATGGCTTCCTTTCAGCGAGACGCTCTCTGGGGGCGGGGCTGGCTGTGTGGCAAGTTTCTGCCCCCAGGGCTTTGGGGCCGACTGGCTGACGTCCTAGCAGGACCAGCAACTGCGTCTGATTCACTGATGGGGTCTCGGGAAGGTGGCAAGAGATGCATGCCATAGAATTAGTTCGGATAAGTTTTTACCAACCGCGGGTCTAAACAATCCCAGAGCTCCCCTGCTCCTGGCACGGCTGCAGGCTGGCAGGTGCTGCGTTTTGCTCAAGTGACGGACAGCCCCGAGCTCCGCCCCTACACTCACCTCCTGCTGCGGGGCCGGGTTTGGGAGGTGAGCGGAGGAGCTTATGTTCCGGCTCCATCGCTTAGCGAGTCATGGACACCCTCTGAGCCTCCGCCTAGTGACCTACCAGACTCCTGACGTCAGCACGCAAAGAAGCCAGGGGCCGGGGCTCCTGCGTCTGCCCCCCGCCCTGACTCACTGAATGGACTCTGAGCAACCGGTTCTGATGAGAGCCACCGGGTGGGAAGAGCCCCTGTGCGTCTGAAACGCCGGAGTCTCCCCTGGCGTGCATCATTTTCTAGAGATTACCCACAAATAGGGGGAAAAGAGAACACATAATCCAAAATGTGCCCCTCTGCTTTATAGAGCGTTCTTACCTAAGGTGCAAAGCTCTTTGTGCGAAGTATAAAAAATTCTTAGGTTGGCCCTGGCCGGTGTGGCTCAGGGGACTGAGTACTGGTCTGAGAACCAAAGGGTCACCGGTTCAATTCCCAGTCAGAGCACATGCCTGGGTTGTGGGCCAGGTCCCCAGTAGGGGGTGCTAGAGAGGCAACCACATATTGATGTTTCTCTTTTTCCCCCTCTCTTCCTCTCTAAAATAAAACCTTTAAAAAAGTAAAAAACTCTTAGGTTGAAAATGCTTGAAAACAGAATTAGTACTTGTACCGAGCCACCACCGTTCGCTACAAACAGGAGGTGAGAGAACCACAGTTCGCCAGCAAGTAGTCAGTGAACGGGTAACGACCCGAACCCTTGTCACCTGCGGGGTGTGGGGAGCACACTGTTGTACTCGCCGTGGGAGAACGCCCTGGTGCTCTGAAGAACCCTAGGTAACGTGTGAAGGTCAGAATGCAGCTACTCCGTCGAGGGGGCCGCCCTTCCCCCCTGGCGTTTGAAGGGAAACATATTTACAGGACGCGCAGCTCAGGGACGCTCTGCCAAGTCTTCCGGCCCCTGTCCTTTGTAACTTGCTGCCTTCAGTTGACTGAATTCACCAAATGCACGGGGAGGGGGTTTCCCAGGACAGAGGGGGGCCGGACGGACGCGAGTGGAGGAACACAGTGCCCACTCGAGGAGGCGGGTGGGGACACCGAGTCAGCTCCGGCAGCCACACGGCGTCCGCCTTGGCAAATCCCACTGTTCTTCCCCCTGGGGTGAGCCTCACTCACTGGGCGCTGGGGGCGCTGCTGCAACCCCCGCGGGAGGGCCGCGAGGCAGAGGGGCGCTAGGACGCGAGAGCACGCGATGCTGTACCTGGCAGCCGAGCCCGAGAGACGCCCGCCCCACAGGAGAGGTGTTAGTGACAGAGTGAGCGGAAGGCGGCCCGCAGGGCGCGGGGCGCGCGCAGTGGTTACGGGGCAGGGGGCCGGCAGGCGGCCTGGAAGAAGCCTTTCTGTCCGTGGGCGGGTAGCGCGCAAAGATTTTCGGAGACGGCAAGTTATCGTACAGGCCCGCGTTATCGTACAGCACCTCTTCGCCCCGGCCTGCGCTGCCGGGGGCGGCGGCGGGATCCCACTGCAACACACACAGCCTGCAGGTTAGTGCCGCCGGACGCCTCGGTCCCGCACGCCCGCTGTCCCCGCGCTGACCCACACCGCTGTGGGGGCGCTGACCCAGGAGGGCTCCTCTCCTTCCGGGGGCTCACGGAAGGTTTCTCTTCCCCTTCCACCCTCCCCGGAGTCACTGGCTTACCAGGTTTTTGTTCTTTTGTGGGTTTTTTTTTTCCGCTTTAAAAAACAGAACTGATCTGACATTTCTTTCTTTAAAGAAACAGATTTCAGGAGTCCACCTAGCCAGAAAGCAGAGCTGCGTGCTGCCAGGGATGGAATGCTGGACAGGGATACGAGGACACAGGGACAGGGGGACACAGGGACAGGGGACACAGGGACACGGGGACACAGGGACAACCGGGAACACAGGGGCAACCGGGGACACAGGGACAGGGGGACACAGGAACAGGGGACACAGGGACACGGGACACGGGGACACAGGGACAACCGGGGACACAGGGACAGGGGACACGGGGACACAGGGACAACCGGGGACACGGACAACCGGGGACACAGGGCCGGGGGCAGGCCCTGCCGGGCAACCATGTGGAGACCCCAGTGAGGCGCTGCGTTTTACTCTGCGGTGACCACCATCTCCCAGACGCCGTTTTGAGCGCCTTACAAACAGGGACGCCTCTAGGCCTCGCGGGGGGCAAACGGAGGTCATGGGCTGGGAGAGGCAGAGCCCCTAAGGCACAGGGCGCTAGCTCTGCGCCCGGCCACCCCACCCGCACCCCAGGGCCAACCGTTTCAGGGGCTCCGTGTCAGACCCCCAAGCCTGCACGCCTCGGTGAGGGGGCTCCAGGAGGGCGGCAGCCAGCCCCGGGCCCCACGTGTGGCCGTGGCTGATTAGAGAGCAGCAACCCAAGCCAGTCTGTGGGGAGACCAGAAACCGCCGTCCTCACAGAAAACAGGGCGTTTCCAAGGCTAAGGGCCACAGGGGCACTCTTTCAGCGGAAACCCGCTCGTGGAAGCCGGAAACGCCGCCGGGCCGCCGAGCGCACACGGAACCCAGAGCCGAGGTCGGCCCGGCCTGCTGCTGACCCTCAAAGGTCTCTGGGGACGGGTCTGCGTTCAGGAGCCCCGAGAAGTGTCAGTCCCTGCACTGTGCTCCCCGGCCCTATTTTTACCCCCTCGCAGACTCCTTCCTGCCAGACGGTAATTACAGCCTTCCCCTAAAAATAGAACGGTCTGGTGCGACTTCGTGGGTCGCTGTGGCGCGTCTGTTCCGGGGGCGTGGGCCCGGCCACAGCGCAGACTGGCGGGCAGACGGAGCAGGCACGTCAGCTCGGGGGTGCGCACTCCCCAGCACCCCCCGGGCGTGCACCGGCCCGGGGTTATTCAAGCGGGCTAGACCGGACTACCCCCCTCCTAAAACACCAAGGGACGGGGTCGCACAGCAGGCGGGGAAACTGCACAGAGTTTCCAGAGCGAAGGGGCGTGGGCGCCAGCGCGCAGGTCGGAGAGGGCTCCGGGGCTCGCGCCGGGCCCCGGGGGCAGCACCGCCCGGCTCAGTCACTGCAACGAAACTCGGCCAAAAAGGGAGGTTTCGAGCCAAAAGTACGAACTTTACAAAACAGAAAAGCAGCCCTAACCCCCAAAAGTGATGGCCTGCAACAGAGCCCGGCACGCAGAGAAACCGTGCCAAGAAAGGCCGGGGACCCTGACCCGTGTGGCTCAGAGAGCTGGGCGTCGCCGGTTCGGTTCCCCGTCAGGGCACCTGCCTGGGCTGTGGGCCAGGTCCCCAGGTGGGAGCGTGCGAGAGGCAACTGACTGATGTTTCTCTCTCACGTCGATGTTTCTCTTCCCTCTCCTTCTCCCTCCCTCTTCCTCTCCCTAAAAGTAAATTAAAAAAAGGCCTGTGCTTCCGGGGTGTTAGAAACCAGAAGAGCCACGAAGGTGGCGCACAGGAGGCCACGCCCTAGAAGCAGGCACGGCCTGCAGACACTCCCTCCCGGGGACGCCCCCTGAGCGCAGAGGCCCGTTTCCAGGGCAGACGGGGCCGTGATGGGCCAAGAGCAAGCTTGTCCTGGACACAGCCTGACCCCAAGGGACAGTCCCTGTGGGACAGTCAGGACAATGGGGATGGGGCCTGGGTGTGGGGGGCGCTGAGGAAACCCCGCGGAAAGGACCGTGATGGGGCCTTTGGTGGGGAGATTCGGGGTCAGTTCGGGTGCCACCTTCCAAGAACTCAGAGCTCAGAGAGGCAAACCCTCCGTCCACCCTCTGGAAGAGGTTGGCCACTGGGAGGACACAGGCCGAAGGTCGCTCTGTCGAGAGAAGCTGGCAGCTGCAGAGCCCGTGGGGGCCCGGAGAGCCGGACTCGCCCTGACAGGTCCCAGTTACTAGGACGGCCTCAGGGACCCGCGGAGAACCTGCTCCTGCGGGGCTGCTGCAGGCTTTCTCCCTGTGGGAGGGCACAGGCCTCTGCATGGGGGTACAGGGGCAGGCCCCAGGAGCCCCTCAACCCTGCAGACACCTGGTACAGATGGAGGTGGCAATGGGGGGACAAGGAGGAGGCGTAAGGAAAGAACAGGTAAGCAAAACATTTGTAAGGAAAAACTCTAACATACCTTCCGAGGCTGAAAAGTCACAACCTACCTGCCCTACGCCTACTTTCGAGACCCGCGCTAACACAGTTGCTGATTAAAACCCCCCGGTCCTTGGAGACAAACGGGGTGGTTGGGGAGCCTCCCCCACGAGCCTGACCCTCTGGGCCCCAGCGGTGACAGCCCAGGATATGGCCCGGGGCCCGGCCTGAGGAGATGCAGGCGGACGGTGGTGGTGGTGGTTAGATGGGTGACGCAGGGACGCGAGGACAAACGCTGACTGGTGAGCACTGCTGATCACTGTGTGAGCACGGGGAACCCCCGAGGCCACACAGACCCTGAAGGCCAGTGTTACACAAAACGGCGCACTAGCGCCCCCAGTGTTCAAACACCAGCATGTGCACAGACCTGGCCCGTTCTCCAAGTCCACCTGAAGGGAGGAGGGCGTGAGCCTGGGAGCTGGTCAGCACTCCGAGGAGTCTCCTTCCTCCTTCCCTCCTTCCTTCCCTCCTTCCTTCCTTCCTTCCTTCCTTCCTTCCTTCCTTCCTTCCTTCCTTCCTTTCCTCCCTCCCTCCCTCCCTCCCTCCATCCCTCCCTCCCTTCCTCCCTCCCTCCCTCCCTAACATTTGCTTTCTGATGCTGATGGCTCAGCGTTTTCACCCCACAGGAGAACACGGAGTCACTGATAACTCGCACTGCACCATCACACTCGGACGGATCCGAGCTCCGAGCTCCAAAGTGGCCCCGTGTGCCAGTACTGGAGGGGGTGCCAGGGGGTCTAGTTACCGACACCGACACCGGACACTGAATGAGACACAGTCTACTGGTGTCAAATGGCCCGTGTGTCCACGTGCAGATGAAGACGGACGCTTGTGGGAAACGAGGACGGGGAGACAGGGCGGAGCCTCCTCACACCTGGATGGAGACCAGGGTCGCCAGGCCTGCGGGGTTGTCAGGCGCAGGCTGCGCCCAGGCGCGCACACTCACCGAGCCGTTGACGCAGGGGACGTCGTCGTAGTGCAGCGCCGTGCCGCTGGGGTGGGCGTAGCCGTTGGCGGTGCCCCCGAGGTACGGGTTGGTGGAGATGACGCGCCGGTTCATGAAGCTGAAAGACAGGTAGACCCCGCCGTCCATCACCGCGTCTGGCCTGAGCTCTGGCAGGGCACGAGGGCCAAGCCAGAGAAGACACCCAGCACCCAGAGGCGCTGCAGCCACCGGGCCACACTCCTCACTGATGGAACAGGACAGCGCCACCGGGCGGGGGTGACAAAGCCTGGCCACGGTGCCTGCTGGACACATGACACAAGGCCTGGGCCCCCGTGTCTGCGACCGGCGGTCTGCGCTGGGGCCCTCCTGCCCAGGGCCCTCCTGCCCAGGGCCAGCCTTTGCAAATGGCGTCTCGTCAGGACCCAGCCGCGGCCCTTTGTGCAGGCGCTGCCCGCAGCTGCTTTCCAGCGGCGCCCGGGCCGCCTGCAGGGCCCTGTCCCCAGGCCAGAGAGCAGGCGGCCCGCCAACTGGGGCGCTTCCTGTCCGGCCTCCCCCGGGGAGGGCCGCGGCGCCCTCGGCTCTTCAGAGTGTTCGCTCAGCGGCCTTGCTCGGCTCAGCTCGGCGTCCCCCCTCGGGGCAGCTCAGCCCCCCTCCACCCCCCGCAACTGGGCCCCCGGGAGCCCTGCGGGGCCCCGCCTCCGCCTGCTCAGGGAACAGGCTGCCGCGGCGGCCCTGGGGCTCTGGGCGCTGCTCCGGGTGTCGGGACCATGCCAGCCAGGCTCCCCGACGGCCGTCTCTCAGCAGAGGTCCCCCGCCTCAGGGCCTTGCCCCTCCGCCGGGCACCCCTCTCCCAGAGCCCCCCCTTCACCGAGAGCATGCCCTCCACTGCTGCAGCACGTCCACTGGGCTCCCTCTCCTCCTGCCACTGGCCACCACCGGACACGCCCTTCTGTGTGTGTTCACGGTCTGCGTGTCCCCCCAGAAGACCAGCTCAGGGTCACGTCCGTTTGTCCCGCATCTCGGCGTCGGGGTCGGTGGACCATGCAGGGGCTCTGCAGGTCAGCCCCGGGCGAGTGCATGACACGCGAGGGGTGTGCCCGAGGAGTCACACTTGTGGGCAGAACGTCTGATGCCCGGGGGAGAAAGGACCTCGGCAGCACCTCCTCCGACTGCGGTGTGGGATTTTAAAGAAGGAGTCTGTTTTCAAACTGTATTTCCTCGTAGGAGCTTACATCTCCATGGCGTGTGGATGCACAGAAAGGGGAGCAAGTGGAAGAATGGAGGCCGTGCCGGGGCGGTGAGAACGGCCTCTCTGATGTCTGGTCCAGAAGCCGTGAGAGCCAGGGCTGAGGGGTCAGCCGGGGCTCCCAGAGCGCAGCTGCTGCCCTCTGCTGGCGGCAGGCGGCCGTGCAGGCCTCGCTGGGCCCTGAACACCGGGCTCTCCAATTTGTGAAATAACTCCTGCTTTCCCCGATGGAAACTGTCTATGACTACCCTCCAGTTAGAATACGCAGAAGTGTACGTGGGAGAAGAAAAACACAAGAGAAAAATCTGAACATCTGGGAGTCTGGCGACGCCTGGGGAGTTCCAGTCTGTTCGTGAACGTAGATTTAAGGATCTCTGGTTTCCTGCCTTCTCCGAGGGCACCGGGGTCAGACACTGTGTGCGGCTCTGCCAGCAACAGGGTGAATGCCAGCCCCGCCACTGACCCGCCCCGCCCGGACCACCCACCGCACAGGGCTGCCGCCACCACCCATCCTCGGTCCCTCTCAGCAGGGCCCATCCCGTGCGAGCCTGCGTCTCCGGGTCTTGGCGCTGTGCTGAGCCTCACGTCGGGCACCGACACACCCAGGAGTGAGGGCCGCATGGGGGCGGGATAGGAGCTCCCGGGCCCGGAAGAGGCCCCGGCAGGGCGCTTCTGACCCAGAAACACCAGAGGGAGACTTCACAGACCCAGAGGGGACCTTCCACCTGCCCACACCGACCTCCGTCCCCCTTAAACTCCCCAGCCTCTGGCACCCCCCCCCCCTTTCTACTTCCTGCCCCCATGGCCCTTCCTGCCCCCAGGGCCCGGCCTGCCCGCCCAGTTGCCCCGGGAGAGGACCCCCACTGTAGAACTCGCCCTCCGGGGCCCGCCCTGTCTCACGGAGCGTGGCGTCCCCTGGCTCGCCCAGCGTTTGAGAAAGCGCACTTCCCACGGCTCCCAGGGACTCTGGGGAGGCGGCGACTCCAGACAACAGCTCCCTAGCAAGGTATCTCTCCTCCCCTCATCCTGCTCACCCTCATTCTCATCCTCATCCTCCCGGCTCCCTCACGAGTCCCCCGCTGAGCAGGGCTCGGAGAGAGTTTCAGGAGAAACATCCAGAACACTCCCCTTGTTTCATGTAATCTATAGATCTCATTTCAGAACGGGCCTCAGGAAAATGTTTCAACAGTTTAGCAATATTAAGGTCCCTAAATAGACTGCTATTTTCCTAGGGGAGGTTAAATGATTACTTTTTCTCTTACTGCTTCTTTCCAAAACACACCAGTGCCCTCCCCCTCAGAGAGCCGATGCGCAGACACTTCCCTGATAATCGTGAAAAAATTCATTTACTGGCTGACAGTTTGCATAAAAGAAAAAGTTGATTTCATCCGAGACAGTTACCCCACTGGAAAGCTATCACGTTTTATACTTGGAACAACGTCTCCGTGTTAAATCTCCCCTCCCGAGTCTAGCACGAGGGTTTAGCTGGACCCCAGGGCGTGACAGTGAGGTTTACTGCTGGCATCTGCAGAGACGCGAACGGGGCAGGAAGGGCTCCTGCGCGCAGACCTTCCGCAGCCGTCTCTCACCGCTGCAGCCCACACGCCTTCCCCAGACACGGGGCCCCCCTCACTTAGAGAGCCGGCCCAGGTGTGCCCTGGGGGAGGCGCTGTTTTGGGGGGCCGCTCTGAGACGCGGGTCTCAGGGCCCTGACTGCAGCCGCAGTGGCCTGTGGACTTGGGAGCGCCGTTTGGAAACCCCACCACTCCCCAGTGACCATGGCCAACAACCATCAGGTCTCTTCCTGTGCATCGCCCTGGACGGCAGACTCGGCCAACCCGACCTACGACCTACGGGCATCTTAAAGGCTCCTTGAAGGAGCCTCACTGAGTAAGCACCTGGGAGAGGCTCTGTCACCCGCCCGCCCTCTGCTGGCGAGACAGGGCGTTGCCCCGGAAAGACGATGCACACCCCCAGGACGGTCCGTCTGTGCCCGGGCCACAGCCCACGGGGTCACGGCCAGATGCATCCGTTTGCCTCTCGCCTGTGGCCGCCGAGGCAGAGCGAGTGGCTACGACAGGGGATGCTCAGCCCACGAGGCCAGAAACAGGGTCTGTCTTGCCTGTAACAGAAAAAGGCTGCCGCCCCGTTCCAGCAGAAAACAGAGGGCTGACACGACAGCTGTCCCCCGACGTCACTAATGGGTCACTAACACAAAAGGCAGAGTCCCTCAGCTGGTCCCCTCTACCCCCCCGCCAAGGCCGCATGCTCACAGACAGAGCGAGCAGGCGGGCACACGGCCCGGCACACACCCGGCGCCCACCCGGCGCCCACTGGCACCCCGTCCCGCAGCGGCGGGTCTTACCAGAAGGTCTGCTTGGCCGTCTGGATGACGTTCGCGGACGTCTCCACGTCTATGTAGTCGTAGTGCAGAGCTGCGGGGTCTGCCGAGGAGCCCGTCTCCGCCAGCAGGACCCCGATCCACCGGCCCATGTCTTCAGAGGAAGACGCCTGTTGGGGAAGGGGGGGTGCCTTTTATCTACTCCATTCGTGGTCGAGAGTCCCAGCACGGTCACCGTGTGCCACCACGGGCCCACGGCCCCGGAAGCTGGTGCGGAGTGAAGCAGGAAGGAAGGAGCGGCCGGCGCTGCGCCCCCACCGAGCTTGCGGCAGGGGACACCGCGAGCGAGCGGACCCGAGGGTGCAGGACAGGGATATGACATGATCTCAGTCGGTCTCAGAGCTTCCGCAGCAAGCCGGCCCACCCGGACCCCTCCCTGGGCGTCCGCCCACCTCGTCCCGGCACCAGCGTGTGCCGTCCGGGCCGCCCTGCCCTGGCCTCACGCCACTCTCGGACCCCCAGCCAACGCTCTGCTCGAGCCCGGCATGGGTCTCCGCCGAGAGCACAGTTCCCGTGCACCAGCTCAGCTTTCTTCCACAGCCGCCCGCCCTGCGGGGCTCGGCCCCTGGCGAGGCTTGCCCGGCACGCTGGCCCCAGCCCCACACACCTTTCACAGACAGGCGGGGAAGCCGACAGGGAAGACAGGTTTGGCTGCGATCGAAGCCTGCCACAGGCCCGGAACAGGGGCCCAGATCTCGCGCCCCCAGACCTGCCCACCCCACCTCCAGCCCATGCAGAGTCGGAGCACAGGCCGGCCCTCCCAGCCCGTCGGCCCGGGCCCTGTGCGGGCGAGAACCGCGCTGCCATCTTCTCTGCTCCCACCGAGAAAGCAGTTTCTGTGAAAACCACGTCTGAAGCAAGCCCTCTCTCCTGCCGAAACCTTCGGGGGTGCCCATCTGGGTGCCCGTCACCTTGGTCCCAGGCCAGGCTACCTCCGCCACTGGCCAGCATCACCATGGCTACTTAATGTCCAGTTCTCGCCCGATGAACTAGAGCACACCGCCACCCCCCCGCCCGGACAGGCCCCCCGCCCACGGACAGCACAGCACCCCTGGGCTGCGGGCGCTGGGGCAGTCCCGCCGCCGGCCCAGGCAGTGCATGTGCGTCCTTGCACGTCTGCCATGATCGTGCCAAGCAGAAAAAAGACAGAGGGGGAAGGTCTGGACGAACACGGGCAGGGAATAATACAAGCAATGGAAACGAAAGGTAGGTTGCTGAGAAACTCACTCTCCCTGCCTTTTTCCACCCCCCTCAGAAGAGGACACGTGCTGGAAGGCAGCCAGGGCTCCCGAGGGCCGAGGCCTGCTGGTTCCCCCGGCCACAGCGCGCTGGCCACCACCGTTGGGGGCACCTGCCCTGCTGGCGCAGAGCTGTGGCCACAGAAGCCTGCGTGGAGGACACACTGAGGTTTCTAGGTGGACCGCCATCAGCTGGGGAGGACAGGGCCACTGGGAGCCCAAAAGCAAGCTCCTCTCTGGCCGCCTTCAGCGAGCACCCCAGGACACGGGACCGCACTGGGTCTCCACGCGCACACGGGCAGAGGGAGCGGCAGGAGGAGGGGCCGCCGCAGAGGGGTCTGCTCTGCATTCCACCCAGCACTGCCGGCGCTCCAGTGCCCTCAGGGGGGACAGACCACAGTGGGGAGGGGAAGCAGAGCCGAAGGCAGCTCGGGGAGGGAGGAAACGGCAGGGATCAAAGGCAGCATGGTCGGTGAGGCCGGGGGCTGTGGCGGAGGGAGCACGCCTACCTCTAGCACGGCCACCTCCTGCCCGTTGCGAAGCAGCCGGAAGGTCAGGGGGTGCCTGGAGTCCAAGCCCGGGATCACCTCGCAGCCGCGCAGAGGGATGGAGGCGATGTGGCTCTTCAGGTCGGTCCGGTCCTTGTGCAGCACCAGCTTGTTGTCCTTGACCCGGCACCAGCGCTCCCGCCAGCGGTTGTTGGAGAGCACGCTCAGGTGGCCTGCAGGGACACGGAGGACAGGGCGCTGCGGCGGGACGGCCTCAGGCCCACACTCGGTCCCGCAGAAGGCGCCGGTACGGGCCCATGCACGAGACAGCCGCCACCACCACAGGGCGGGTGTCACACAAGCCCTGGGCTTCTCCGAGGCGGCCGGGCTCTGGAAGAAGCTGGGACAGGACATGGTGCACGGTGCATGCTGAGAGCCAGACCCCAGACGGCGAGCGCTTCAGTGGGGAGCGGAGTGTGCCTGAAGAACAGGCAAGGCCACTAAGCCGCCGGGGTCAGGAAATGAGGGCATGACGGCCGTCCTCAAAGAGCCGAAGGGACCCAGAGACAGGGGTTTAGATGCGCTCTGAGTGGCCGCATGTGACACAGCCACAGCACGAGAGGAGGGCAGACCGGGCTTCCCACGAGAACAAACCGTCTGGGAATGAAAGTTTTCCAGGAGTCAGGAGGCTGTGGGGGCGGCAAGTTCCCCAGCACTGGGAGAATCCCAGCAAATGATGCAACGGCCTGGGCATGAGGTCCCTGCCCGGAGGGAGACCAGGCCGCCCCAGCGACCTCAGGGTGCACGGCCGCTGAGGGTTGGAGGGCTCTGTCGGCCCGCTGCAGCCGGCATGGATGCCACCCTCTGAGCGCCCGGGTACGTCTGCACTCAGGTCTCTGACCCCCCACGGAACCTCAGCAAGTTACAGGCGTGGAGATGCTCACGCCAACGGACGTCTCCACAAGCAGCAAAGCCGCCAGCAGAGCTGCCCCTAGCTCACAGAGACTCCTCAAATACGGAAAACCGACCACGTCCCCGTCGAAAACACAGAACGCGCTTTTCTGGAAATAACATGCGTGGAACACAGAGGCCACAGGGTGGCCGCGACTGCTCACCACTCCGTAACGCTGGTAAAGCACCTGCCCCCTCCCCTCAGACGCAGGAAGTGGCTAAACAGCGCACGGACCGCAGCCCCAAAGGGAGACTCGAAGGAAGGGCCCCCGAGTCACCCCGCTCCTCTCGCTACTCGCACACACTCCCAGGGCGCACAGCAGGACAGGTAAGTGCGTCCCAAGCCTGAGTTTTAGCGAAACGCCCTCCCAAAAGGGTTTTGGGAGACGGTTTTGGGTTCTTTTGTGTTCTAAGCCCTGCACACGTTACTGGCAAAGGACAAACGCTATGGAGGAGAAACACAACGAAAGCAAACCCCACACAAGCAGGCCTGTCACGGCCCAGCTTGGCACTGTGGCTGCCGCCCAGGAACACCCGCTCGGGGAACTCCCCAGGGGGGTGCTCCGCACGCCCGGACTCCCCCCGGCTGCCTCAGCCCTGCCGGCGCGCCCCCGGCCACAGGGCGCATGCCCGGTTTCCCGGACTCGGACTTGCGTGGGGTGGGGGCGTGCTCTGCAGAACCACGGAGAACGGCGAGGGGCGAGCCCATGGGCCTCCCAGCACCACCCTCACTGGGACAATTTGGGGATTTCGGTCAAACGTTGTGAGATTTTCCCTCCAAATCCTAAAGAACTCGGTTCTCCTGCAAAACCGCAGCAAGCGCAGGAGGCGCCGCTAGAACTGCAAGACTGACGTCACCGGACGGAGGCTGACGGTCAGACTCCACACAGGAGGAGGGGACGCACGCCGGCGGTCCGGACACGGGGGTCCAGGCTGCCGTCTCTGAGCCGCCTTCCCGGCGACGGTTTCTCACAAAGGACTCTGACTGCCTCCACTGGCCCGCACACAGCAGGCGAAAAAACAAAAGCTAAAATTGCCGTCACTCTTTGGGGGAGAATTCCATCTTTCTATTTTTAGTCCCTAACAGCTGCCGGCTCCCCAGGGCCAGCACACGAGGGGACAGCCCCCACTGTGCCGCTCCAGGGGACAGCAGCCAGGAGGGCGTGGCCCTGGGTCCCCACTCCAGGCCTCCCCTCCGCCCCACGCTCACACCCTGTCCCTTCGGGTCCGATTCCAGCAAGGCAGCTACAGTCCACAAGGAAAACTACCCAGCCTTAACTTGTTAAAAAGGGCGAATATCTGTCATTCAGCTTCTGAAGTTTTCTCCCTTGAAAGAGTTGCCTGGTTGCTACGAAACGTGCACAGTGCCCCGGGTGGCCGTGATGTCCTTCCGTGTCCCCTCGCGCTGCGGATCAGAGTCAGTCCCCGCGTGTGCGCACCTGCCGTCACCTGCCCCGGGCCTGCCTTTGTCACTCGGCCGGGGCCGCCTGGGTCACTCCCACACACCGCGTGCTCACACGGCCCGGACCAGCAGCACCGCCACTCAGAAAACACGTGACGGACAATAAGCTGACGCAGGAGATGGTCAGCCAGTGAGACTGGGCTTGAAACTTGAGTTGGGAGGCGGAGCACGACAAGAAAGCTTGGGTTCACTCTGTCAGCCAAGGGGCAGCGCCGACCCCGACTCCGTAGGTGCCTGGCCAGACGTCTTGCCCCCCCCCCGCCCCCCCGGGCAGGCTGGCAGCCCGAGCGTGCATTCCGACCTCTGCACTCCCCCTTCAAACACTTGGAGGGGCCCCGGGACCTTCTGGGGCAGAGAGAGGCTTTGTTTTTCATCTTGAAAGAACCTCAGAGATCACCTCAAATCCCTGCTAAGCTTTTTCTTTTTATTAATAAGTGGTAAAAATGTAAAACATTTCCCCCAGTTCAAAGGGTCACAGGCCTGATTCAAAAGAGCCCGCAGCCGGGGCCCCAAGTGTGTGCCCCCGGGGCAGCTCCGGGGCGGGACGGTGGCGCGCCCCGAGCGCGCATGGGGCCGGCCCCTTCTTACCGCAGGTGGGCACGTCCTCCTCGGCAGACGAGGTCTGCTCGTCGGTGGACGGCTTCTTCTTCCCCAGGCTGATGATCTTGGTGATCTTCTTCCCGGTGACTTTAGAGACGGTCCCCTTGCCCTCTGATTTGGAACTCTTTTTCCTCTTAACTGTCAAGAATAACGACAACAGAAGAAATGTTTAGTTCTGGAGCTTAAATTGGGCAAACATTCAAACAAAGCACCAGTCGTAGCCTCTCTCTCTCGCCAGCCTTTACTTGAGGAGCTCCTGCTCTATGCCAGTTCGGGGACGTGGTTAGTGGCAGCTTCATCCCCAGAGGTCCCTCTGTAGGTGACGGACACGCCAGCTGCTCAGCACCCACACTGACAGTCCACGTGGACCCCTGAGCGCACTGCAACCTGGTGCCGGCAGAGGCGTCGCGCTGAGCCAGGGACGTGGACCGAAAGGCTGCGTCCACTCACGGGACGTTTTGCGAAGGACAGAAAATGGGTCCGCAGCTGCCAGGGGTGCGGAGAGGCAGGGGGAGGGACACCGGAGCGCAGGGCACACTTGAGGTCAAAGAAACGCTCTAGGTCTCCACTGTGGACGGTCACGCACCAGTGCAGGCCGAGACTCAAAGCACTGGGTGCCAGAGAAGGGGAACGTCGCCATGCGCAACGCCCGCCTCCGCAAAGCCGGCCTGGGAGATGGTCTCAGTGCGTGTGTGCCCACGTCCAGGGCAGCACCACCACAACAGCCCAGGGGTGGGGACCGCCCCTGCGTCCATCCGCTGGTGACGACAGAGCGTGGTCCCCCACACGACCACCACTACGTGGCCCCTACTTGGAGGAGGGAGATTGACCCTTGTGCAGCCCAGGGAGGACACGAGGGAGCAAGGTGGGCCGGTCGCCCGGGGCAGACACGGTGGTTCCAGCAATGGGAGGGCCCGGTGGGGCATCAGAGCCCCAGACGCCCAGAGCGGGTGGGGTCCTGGGGCTGGGGCAGGGCGGGGGCGAGGGGGCGCTTCAGGGGGACAGAGTGTCAGTGTGGGGAGGTGGTGGGGACGGCTGCATGGCACTGGGAACGTGCTGGACGCCCCCGGACACTCAGCGATGGCTGAGCTGGTGCATTTACGTTGTGTCTGTCACTGCGGTTCAATTTTTCTAAATGAACGTAAAGTACATCTCAGAAAATCTCCTTAAAAAATGACCAGAAATCTGAGAGTGTGGCCTCCTCGTTATAGAGATGGGGAGCCTGGGGCGCACCGAGGTGGGAAAGCATGACCGAGCTGGAGCTGAGGCAGGTCCCCCCGTGAGAGTCAGCTGTCCCAGCGTCGCGCCAGAGGGCGCCTCCGCCACCCCACCCCGCCCCCGCGCTAACCCTGGTGAGGTCGTGCCTGCTGTGAGTCACGGTGCAAACGCACGCGGGGCGCCCATCGGGACACAGGAAAAACCGGGGCCACAGCCCGCTGGCACAGCCAACCAGGATGGCGGCCTCCGCACGACCACGTCTCCCAGGAAAGCCCTGGCCAGCGGGGTCACGCGGCCGGCCACAGGGCACCGGTGTCCGGCTTTCTGTCCGCAATCCACGCCTTTCGGCACGAGCAGAGCTCACCTGGTTCCTTCCCGTCACACACGGCGACTCCGTTTTCGGTGACGCCCTCCCCGTCCGAGCTCGGTCTCTCCGAGGACAGCTTCTGTGACGAGAGAAAGGACGTGGTCATTCTTACGACGGTCACGCTGGCCCAGGGACGTGCTGGGTCAGGGGCCACTCACATCCATCCCAGAGCTGACAGTGAGGGCCAAATTCACGACAGCGCGGGCCAGCGGGGGCTGGCTGGCCAAAGCTGGAAAAGCCCCAGATGGACACAGGCCAACCCAGGGCGGCCACACCGACACAGGCCCTGCCGCCGGGACGCGGTGTTCGGTTCGCTCTCCCCGTGAATGCTCGCGGAAGCAGACCAGGAATGTCAGGAACACGCCCGCACCAAACCGCGCCCCGCTGCGCTTCTGGACGCGAACGCCGCATCGTCCGCTTACTTCCCTCCCTCGAACAACTGGCGAGTGTCGGGCGTCTGCTCGTGACGACCGTGCTCAGCAGGCACACAGAGTTGAGCGACTGTCACACCTGTCAAGGTCACTGGCGGCCACGCAGCCCCGACACCTGGCCGCGGTGTCTGAACGAGAGACTCCGTGGGAGGCGGGGTGGGGGGGGGTGGACGGTGATGGACGCAGACTGGACCTGGGGCGGTGACCACACAGCACAGTGTGCGGTCGGGCGTTACCAAACTGCACACCTGGGACCTGTACAATTTATTAGCAGATGCCACCCAACAAGTTCAACAGAGTGTTTTCTTTTAAAAAGGGACGTCTTTGAGAGCTGGAGTGCTTTCATTCTGGGCAGAGGACCGGCGGAGTCACCGCGGGGGGCACAGGCCCCAAACATCACCGCCTTCCTCCCCCCGCCGGCCGAGACCCTCTGCATTATCCCCAGTGCCACAGAGACATGCTGGCCGGGGTGCAGGGCGGCACGCAGGCCCCGCTCGGCAACAGCTCCAGGCCACGCTGGCCGAGGACGGCAGACAGGTGTCGGAAACCCGTGGCTGTGCTGGGAACAGCGCGGTGGAAGAGTGGGTGGCATTCTGTGGGAACCTGGCATGCGCCAAGTCCCAGTGACAGAGTGTCTGTCATGCTGGCACCGCCCCGCTCTCGGCCGGGACGTGCTCCTGGGAACCAGGTCAGCCTTAGAAACCAAGATAAGCGAGGGACCGCGCCAGGCCCCGTGTGAGTGGGCGAGAGAGAAACTCCGATGCGCTGCTGATGGGAAGCGACATCGGACCAGCCTTTTCGGAAAGCAGTTTGCTTAGCAGCATGCATCAAAATCCTAAAAAACAATTCTATCCTTTGGCCTGGTAATCCAGCTTCTAGGAGTCTATGCTCAGGTGACAGAGAAGCAGCAAAGACTGACAAAAAGGTGCCAGGCTATTTCAAACAGCCAGAAAAGAGCCCTGGCCGAGTGGAGCATCATCCCAAGACACCAAGGTTGCAGGTTCAATCCCCGGTCAGGGCACGTACAAGGATCAGCCACTTCTTCATGCAATGAATGCATAAAGAAGTAGAACGACAAATCAATGTCTCTTTCTCTCCAAAACCAATTAAAAACAATAAAATAAGTGGCCAAAAATAAAATAAGAAGGACTAACTTTGGGAGTGGGGGGTAATAGAACAGAGTCATGAATTTCATATTATTCAGCTGCTGAAAGTGCAGAAACAGTAGGTGCTTGTTACCAGTTTCAAAAGCCTGGCAGACTGGCAGCAGTGGGAGGGCAGGCGGGAAAGTGGCCGCACGCCACCGTCGCGCACCGGGGCACCCGAAGTGGGAGAGGAGCACGAGAACAGGAGAAGCTGGGGAAAAGCACGCGGTGTCGAGGGAGCTGCGGCCCCTGTGTGGTGGGCACACTCAGAGGGGACCTCGCCCCCCCATGGTTGGGGTCTCTCTGAACTTCTCCCGCCCTCTGCAGCGAGCAGGTGTGGCTGCAGTGATCACACCCACAGGGAGAGCAACAGGCCTGCCGAATCGGGGTGAGGGCTGTGAGGTCAACTCATGTGGCACCTCGGAGGGTGTTCTGGACGAGACCTGCACGTCAGCTGGGGACTCTGAGCAAAGCAGGCTGCGCTCCCCAGCGTGGTGGGCCTCGCCCAAGCAGCCGAAGGCCGGCCCGGAGCAGAAAGGCCTGCGCCCGAGCCCCGGAGAATTCTCCTGCAGACGGCCTCCAGACGTCAGCCGCTGGCCGGCACCGCGGGTTTTGGACTTGCCGCCCTCCATAATCCCGTGAGCCGATGCCCCAATATAAATCTTGTGTAAAAATCCCCCGTGTGAATCATATACAAATGTATGTACACACACACACACACACGCACACACACACGCACACCCCCCACCACCGGGTGGTTCTGTCTCTCTGGGGAATCCGCACTCAAACAGGGGCGGACAGGAAGCATCTGGCCCCTGGCAAGAGCTCCGCAGGCGGGACCCAGGAAGCCCCCGGGACTCAGCTCCCTACAGACCACCGCGGGGAGGGGCCGCGGGTCTCCGTGGTGTGCGACCTGCACAGGCACAGAAAATCGGGGAGAGCTGGGCGTGCGAACTGCCAGGGACAGGTTCGTGGCCCCGCCCCTACTGCGGGGCCCTCGCTGGGCCGTCCCGCAGGACAGCGGGTCAGGGCAGGCAGGGCCAGGGCGCACCTCCTGCTCTCTCTGGGGGGGGCGCACCTCTGCCGCGGCTGCTGTGTGCCTGAAGGGCCCGTGCCCTTCAGGGTTCCGCTCAGCCACGAGCAGCGGGGTGGCCTTGAATGAGGCCCTCGACACCTTCCATCCATCCCTTCGTCTCGGGCTGGGACGGACACGGCCGACCACGCCGTCTCTAACACAACACGGCCACCTCAGGCGCCGCGCACCGAGCGGCCCGTGCGGCGCACAGGGAGCAGTCCTGCTCCTTCTCCTCCTTCCACGGGGAGGGCTGGGAGCCTCGGAGAACACCCTGAAGGTGTTCGGGGGGCCCCAGGGAGAACGCGCCCCTTACCTTCTCCAGTTCCACCTTGTGCACGGGCGAGCTCGAGGGCGGGGGGCATTCGGAGTCCACGGGCCCGCTGCAGCTGCTGTAGACTTCTTTGACCACCTGCAACAAGCGTGACATTTCTGAGTGTGTCCGAAGGCAGAGACACCTGTGTGAGGGGCCCAAGCGCGAGATGAACGGGGCACACGGGGCGGCAGGAAGCCTGTGGATGCCGACACTCCCTATGGCTGCAGGCACCCACGCCCCAGGCGTCTCCCGCTGCTGGCGCTGCCTCGGGCTCTGCGAGCTGCGGGGAACCGTGTGCGCGAGCTCAGATCCCGCCCGCCCGGGGCCGTCCAGGAGGACGGGGGATCAGGTGAACAGTGTGTGTGTGTGTGTGTGTGTGTGTGAGCGTCGCCCACAGCACAGCCGGCGTGAGGCCCCGGTGAGGGCCCAGCAGGCGCGGCTGCTCTAGAGAAGGCGCTCAGGAGAGGCCACGCGGGGCTGGCCGGTCCCAGCTGACCGGCCGGGACCCGGCCCTGAAGAACCGGTGGGGAGGGTTCAGGGCCCGGGAACGGCAGGTGCAAAGGCCCGTGGCAGGTGTGCGGTGTGCAGGGACAGCCCCCAGAGCCGTGGGGTGGGAGGTGGGGCGGGAGAGGCCGCTAGGAGCCTGGTCACATGGTGCCCCCAGGCCCGGCGGGGTAGCAGGGTTGTCCGAGTGCAGAGGGAGTCCGGGAGCCCAGCGGTCCGGGCGGCAGCACAGCACACAGGCCGAGGACGGGCTGCGGAGCCTGGCTGCCCGGTCTGCCTGGGCCTCCCCTGGCACAGACTAAGGAACTGCTCCGAGCTTCAGCTTCCCTGTCCCAAAAGTGCAGACGCAATAGTCCTCCTTCTAAGATGAAACACCTGAGACAGCGCCTAGACCCTAACAGACTTGCACGTGTCACCAGGTGGTAGAGAGCTCTTATCGTTGCAGGAAGAGAGAGTGGCAAGGTGCCAGAGAAACATGTACAGGAAAACGAGAGCGAGGCCGGAGCTGGAGGTCGCCGACACAAGAAGGTGGCGGGTGGACTGGAGGGATCCTCGGGGCGCTGGAGAGGAGGGGAGGGACTCAGGACGAGCTCTGGAGGAAGACTCGGCAGGCCCCGTGGGGGTGTTGGACTCGGGGCTCGAGGGAAGGGGCCCCGTCCGGGCCAGCGCCCCGACTCCGTTCACTCAGCAGGAGTGGACGGAGAGAGACAGGCTGGCGGAAGGGGGGCCGGGCGGCACGTTTGCAGGCGGGGAAACTTCCCGTCGGGGCTGGAGACAGACTGGGGAGTTGGGGACAGAAGGCCTGGATGGCAGGTGAGACCCAGCAGACCGAGGGTCCTGGAGAAGACCCAGAGCCGGCCAGCTGGCGGGGCGGAGCCAGAGCAGGAGGCTGGTGGGAGTCCCTGAGGCCGTGGACAGCTGGCGGGGACGAGGCGGCCGGGGCACACTGAGAGGGCACACGCAGCGGAGCAGGGAGGAGGAGGAGGGGGAGAGCGGGGAGGCAGCCCAGCGGAGGGACGCCCCGGAAGTGTGTGTGGAAGGGAGGAGTGAGGCCAGCGGAGCTGGGAGGGGGGAGTGGCACTGGGGGGGGGGGAGCGCACGAGGCTAGTGTGTTCGGTGCCAGGAGTCAGGAGGCTCCTGTCGGACCGGTGCTGATTTCTCGGCGACTTGCCAGGCGAGAGCGTCAGTTACCGGCTGCAAGTCACACCCCCCTGCACCCTGGTCTGCTCCCTAGCGAAGGAAGGAGGGCCAACACAACCCATCTTGCTATTTATCCCCAGTTTCATTAAGAGACAAGGGGACCCTAGTGCGAACAACCTAAGCCAGCATCTGGCGTGTGCACGCTGAAAATGCGGCGGCTGCTGCCATGCTGCCTGCAGAGCAGGTGAGCGTCCCACGGTCTGGGTGGGGGAGAAGGGCAACCCTGACCAAGACCTACAGGTAGGGGTCGGCAGCAGGTGCCCTGGTGCTCACAGCCACCCCCGCCTCCACCCATTGTCCCTCCACCGTGCCTGAGTGCCCGCAGTAAGCGGTGTGTGGCTGATGGCCGGGGACGTGCCGTCAGACAGACAGACAGACAAGGGCCAGCGGCACACTCTTCTGACAGGAACACGAGCAGACAAATCTTTCCGAATGTCTTCTGTGCACTTTGGAGCTAAGCTGCAATTTGAGTTCAACCCAAGTGCTTCTGGGCAGGAAAAAAACACACACAAAAAAACGCCCCGGCCCAGATATCTGTGCAGTAGTCTGCAGTGTGACCTCCGGGACCTCTCCAAGTCAGTCCACTGGGACGGGGGCCAGGGACTCACCGGCCGGGACAGTGTCTCCAGCCATCTCGCTGCTTGGCTGTCCTACGAAAAACGGGGGTAATGTCCACATGGGAGGCCAGAACAGGGAAGGAGAGGAAGATACAGCCCAGGTGGCTTGCTGCGGTGCTGCCCTTGCGGGCACGGAGGGGCGGCGTCGGCCCAGGGGCGTCTCCCTCGTCTCTCTGTCTCGTGCTGCCCTCCCCACTGTCTGCCCAGGTTCTCACACCCTCACCCGCCTCCCCGTGTGCCCATCAGGTCTTTAGGGCAGAACACCAATGGTCGTTCGTTCTGGAGATTCTAGCACAAGAGTCTGCGATGCAAATGGGAACTCCTGGGGGTTCGAGTCCGACACATCCAGGGCTGGAGCCCCCATGCTCCCCTTCTCCCGCACGTGACACCGAGCAACTCCGACTCTGAGCCAAGCCTCGTTCTCCCAGAAGATGCACAGGCACGCCTGGGGGTCGCTGTGCCCGCAGTGACGGAGCAGCTGCAGCGTCCAGCCCAGTCCTTCTCCCAGCACTTGAGCTCCCGTCCCATGATTAAAGCCTTAAGTGAAAACGTTGCATTGTGCAGCCAGCCAGCCCTGCAGCGCATGAGCTCTTCATTCTGCACAGAGAGGCCGAGCCCACACACCCAGCCTGCAGGGACCTATCTACCGCCCGGCTGCCTCCGCCAGTTTCAGGGGCGGGGCACGGACACGGCCCTTTGGCCGCACTGCTCCAGCCGCTCCCACCGGACGCCGGCTGCGGTCCCGTCAGACGCTGGCTGTGTATGTACGGATCTGCCCCTCCCATGAAGCTGTGCTCATTCTTACACAAGGGCCACACTTTCTTATGTGGGTGTATTCTCAATGCCGAGCACGTAAGAACAACTGAAAAAGCAGTCTGATTAAAGAAAAGGGAATGAAAAAATAAATCAGACTTGAAATTTTCTATGGGAAAAAAAGAACGAATGAAAAAAAAAACAGAGAAAGAAAGTTGGCTGTCACATAAAACACATAAATGCTCATGACAAACCTTCCCCAGCCTTCTGCACAGGTTTCTGAAATCCTCAAGGAAAACACACTTCTAAAAGGGGGGAGGGCCTGCAGCACCAACACAGCCCACCCCGGCTGTCACTGCGCAGGCACCGCACTCGATCCGGCCACTGGACTGTCCCTGTGGCTCTCGCCTGTTTCCCATCAAGTCCCACTGGCCAGCAAAGGTGCGGGGACCTGAGCCGCCACTGAAGTCACCGGCTGACCTTCCTGAGCCATCGAAGCTTGCTGGCGGACTCGCCTTCCCTGGGAAGCCCCCCCTTACGGCCTCTCCTCCCACAGTGCCCGGCGCTCGGGGGGCTGCGCAGACCCGGGCACGCCGGCCAGGCCAGGGGTGCGCGCGCATCCTGGCATCGCGAGAGGGCTTAACCTCTCCCCGGACTGGACGGCTGGCACGCCCCAGGACAGGGGGCGGCCTGAAACAGTCTCTCCTCTCTGGCCTCTCTCTGCAGCCCCTCGGCCCCCGCAGAGTTACTGGGAAGTGAGAAAGGGCTCGTCACGCACACGCGTGGGCACCCACGGAGGAGGTTGCTGCCCTTCTGATTTCGTTTCAAAGGGCCGTGTCCTGTGGGGAGTTCAGTGTGTATTTAAGAGAGTTGAATCCAATTCAGAATCACAAATCCTTCAAAAAACGAATTGTTGCATGTTCTGTGGTGCTTTTGTTTGCTTTTAATTTGGGCCCTCCTCTGCAGAAACACAATCTCTGCACATTTTTTAAGGAAACTTGACCGCCCCGTTTCCGGGAATGCTGGCTCTTGCCTCCTGCCTGACCCCGACCGAGCGGCTCATGTCTCTGGCGTCTGCACACACCACAGTCCACTAAGTCTGGCGAGAGCCGCCGGTGCTGGGAGCTGCAGGCCAAAGGGGAGGGACAGACCTGGCCCGGCGCTGGCAGGAGAGCGTGCCGCGCCGCCGCGCACCGTGCGCGCCCTGGCGAAGGGCCTGGCACCTTAACTCGACAGGGACTGGTGGTCACGCTGAAGCTGTACCCCGAACAGTAACAGCCTGGACAGCACACTTACGGCAATCTGGGATGACAGCGGTTTGTGTTAGTAAAACAAGGACCACAGGCTGACTGTAAGAGCCACCACTGTGTAAAGGTCCTGGAAGAAAACCCAGGTACGAATCTCCAGACCCTTGGACTGCACAGCAGCTGCTCAGCTCTGACAGGAGGAGCCGCGCACAGGAGTGCGGCACCGACACAGGCTACCCTACACTGTGGGGGCCCCAAGAGCACGGTGGCCAGTGACAGAGGCCAGTCACCCGGCAGGCCGTGCCACCCGGGGGCACTTACACAAACGTGGAGAGCAGGCAAACCCCGGGGGACAGAGGGCAGACGAGTGGCTGCCTGGAGTTGGGGCAGGGCCGGGGCAGCAGCTGTCAGCACACCCAGCGCAGATTCCCCCCAAGGTGCCGGCCGCCCTGAGCTTAGATTAACGGGGACGGCCACACCTCTCCTCGAATAAACTAGAGCCAGTCCTACGGTCACGGGGTGAACTGCGCGGTGCGCGAGGTAGACCTCACTGAAGCGGTTATACAGTAACACTGGAATCGTCTCTCCCACACAGGACGGCCGGCGTGACCGTCGGGAAACCTGGCGCAGGGAGACCGCCGAGAGCAGACCCGGCGGGCAGAGGAGGGGCCGGCGGACGCCCCCAGAACCGCGGCCCAGACGGCCAGGCCTGCCACGCGCCTGCGACGGACGCCGAAAGGCGAGCAAGCACTCCCAGAGGAAACCTCCAGAAGCCCCAGCACTAAAAACTGCGGCACCAAACCTAAGAACACACCGCACGGGAACAAAGTTAACAGCAGGCTAGACGCAGCTAAAGAGAGGGATGGGGAGCTGGGACGTAACAGGAAAAAATTACCCGGACTGCAGTTTTTTTAAAAAGGGAGACAGTAGGTACAAAGCGAAGATGAGAAGTTTAATGTATGGAAACAGTCTAACACATATTTAACTGTAGCTGGGGGAGGGGAGGAAAGAGGGCCAAGTTATATTTTCAGAGAAATAAATGGCTGAACATGTTTCTGAAGCCTAGAAAGACGACACGCCATGGGTTTCAGAAGCCGGAGGAATGCCAAGCAGAACGAATAAAAAAGAGCTCATATCCAGGCACAAAAAAGCGAAACTAGAAAATCCAAGTCAGAGAGAAAGTTCCAGACGCAGCCTGCAAGTGGGGACCAGGCTGCCTTCGGAGGCCGAGTTAAAGCGATCGACTCGAATGTAATCGGAGGAGACCAGACCGCCCGGGTCAGCCTGCACTGGCGTGTGCTCGAAAAGACAGGGATTGAGGCGGAAAGGGATCGCAGAGACAACCCCGACGACTTACCCGCAGCCACTGCTCGGCCTGCTCCTTGCTCTGCACCGCCAGGACCAGGGGGTCCGTGCCCTGCTGCGTGATCTTCAGCTCGTGCTTCTTCTTCTTGCCGTCTTTCGGGATGTACGTGATGCTGCAGCCCGGGAGAGGCAGCTCCATCTGCGGCTGCTGGTCCTTGGAGCTCTTGTAGCACTGCACGCGACAGGGGGGGCCCCCCCGTGAGGCCGCGCGGGGGGTGGGCGGCGGCACCGAGAAAACTCGGGCCCCCACTGGAAGCGGGAACGTGGGCGTGGCGTCTGGGGGTCAGACCGAGCGGTGGGGACGCTTGGCGACTGGGAAGCGGACCTGTGGGCTCCCCGCCCCACACCCACACCCACAGTGCGCACAAGTGCAGGTGCGTCTACTCGTTTCATTCAGCCACGCCCACCCGCCGGCCATCAGGGACAGGCCCTGCGGGAGGCGGAAAGGCCCTGCTGGCCCGGCTGGGCTTACATCCTCACACAGCTTCCCCAGTGAGCAGCGTGGGGGCGGTTTCTCAGACCTGCTGGGACAACACAGCCCCGGACACTCCATCCCCCACCCTGTCGCTGGCGCCCACCCCTCTCATCTCTGTCCTCTTTTTTAAAGGACGAGTTCAGTAAGAGTGTAAACAGCAACACCCCACAGACAGAAATGTCTGCTAAGGGTTGCTTTCTGGTTGAGCGGAGGACCCCAAGCTCCCGCTGCACCATTCGCCCACCTGCACTCACGCCACAGATTTCACTGCGGGGGAGACCGACACCTGGTTCCTATCACCCCGGTTTGCCACATCTGGGGCCACACCGCCGTCCAGAGGCGCCGGCCCCCATGGCTCCACTGTGTTCCTGACACCTGCAAGCGTGCCTTGTCGTGGACACGCACGTGCCCACAAAGGAGGCCGGATACCTGGGCCCTCCTTCCCCTACTAATTGAATCTGCCTCCAGGAAGCTCCTTAAGCTCTCCGAACCCGTTTCCTCACTTGTGGAATGAGCTATGGTTATTTTCCTGAACTGCACTATCAGTAACAGTGACACCTGTTACCGAGTCTGGAGTGTCATGGTTACACGACGCCTGTCTGGGTGACACACCCGCATCCTGCAGCCGCTGTGACAGGCCGTTGGTGAGTGCCGTGCTCATCCTGCTCCCCCCATCTTTAGTTTAAAGCTCCCGTGCCATCATCTTTGGCGTCCTCTGAATTGGGGGGATTCCAGGCCACACACGTGGAATAAACATGTACTCTCGCTGATTTTTTAAAAAAACTGAACAAACCCATTAATTAAGCAATACACAATGCCCTAAGAGTCCAGTAAAATGGGACTCCCAGAACTCTCTGGTGAGTCTGTAAAGGGCTATCTGCCCACTCACCAGCGACACACAGAAACACGACTTCACATGAGCTCCGTCTTCATGACAGAGCTCTGAGCCACTTTTTCCCTCGAGGTTAATTTGAAGAAAAAACAAAAAGTAAAAGCACGCTCTAAACTTCATCATTGTAACAATCAGCCGAGGTTTCTAAAGCTGGGAAGGCAGGTGGGAAGGAGGGAGGGAGAGACCTGCTAGAGCAAGACCCATGGGAAGGGAAGGGAAGGGAAGGGAAGGGAAGAAGGAAGGAAGGAGAAAGACAGAGAAAGAGAGAAAGGAGTGAGGAGAGGGGAGAGAGAGGAAGGAAGGAAAGAAGGGAGGGAGGGAGAAGGAGAAAAGAAAAGGAGAGAACAGCCCTGCAGCTTTCCAAAAGAATGTCCTGCCCTGGCCATGCCCCCTCCCAGCGGCCAGTGGGCCACCCTCCCGCGTCTCTGACCGGGCTTTGAGGAATCCACTGACTCACTACGGATGGGAAAATCATCCTGCCACTTCTGGCGGGTTAAGCGCTGTGCCCTTCCATGGACACAAACCGCAGACACCGCCGGGAGGGAGGGTTTGCCCGCTGCTGGCTCTAGGGTGCTGGCGAACGCCCTGCCCTAGAGACCTGGCCGTGCCCGCCAGCGCCAGCTGACAGCCTGCCGGGGCCGGGGCCAGCAGGGGCCGGCGCCAGACGCTGCAAGCGCTCTGCGGGTACCGAGGCCCGTGCTTCCCTCTCCCCCTGGCGGCGGTGGTGGTGCTGTTGGGCATCGACCCCAGCAAGCGAGGCTGCCGAGGAGGTGGCACCGGCTTCGCACGGGAGCGGCCAGCTCAACAGGCTGACTCACCAGCAGTTTGGTGTCCTTGATGACGCAGAGCAGCTTGGTCCACTGCCCGAAGCGCTTCTTGCGCAGCAGGAAGGCACAGATCTTGGCGTCCTTCACCAGGTCCATGGAGGCCTCCTCCGAGGGCCACTGGTGTCTCATCTTCTTCCCCTTCCCATCCTCCTCCTCTTCATCGTACGACTCGTAAGAGCTGCTCATTGCGTCCGAGTCATAATCTGTCCGAAGGAAAGAGAGAAAGGTAAAGAAAGTCCTCGCTACGAAAACCTCATCTGGGCCAGGGTGCGCTCTTCTGCCCGCACGCTGGAGGCGCCCGCACCCGGCGGCGTGCTAGAGCGACGCCCACTCGTGCAGACAAGGGAAAACGGTGCCTGGACGTGGGCAGGGGAAACGCAACGGAGGGCTTTCAACTACAGTGACTGAAAGTTCCGTAAGGAGAAAGACCATTTCCAGACCGTTCGGCACGGCTGGGCACTCGGCAGACACTGCCTTGTGGCATCCTCACCATGGCCTCGCCAGGCGGGCCCTGACCCCCTTCTGTGGTGCGTCCTACCCACCGAGACCCCGGGCCACAGAGGAGCCCGTGTCCCCGCGCCCACACCTTCACGTCAAAGTTCTTTCGAGGCTGTGGTGCCCCACTCCCATGGGCACCGCCACACGCACAAGCCCTTCCTACTGCTCGGGTCCAGCCCAAGCACCCCGCCTTCAGGTCGCCCTCGGGCTTGCAGAGACACGCGCACCCCCTGTGACTCTGCGCTGCGGGAACGAAGCCACCTGCTGAGGCTCTAGCCCCACACGGCTGACCGCCCTGGAGAAAGAGCTTTTCCAGGCAACGGAGGTCGAATGAGGTTACGGGGTAGGGTCCCACGCTGGACGGCGCTCTCTGCCGCATGAGGACCCAGGGAGAAGGCGGCCGCCCGTGGGCCAGGAAGGAAGCGTGCTCTCACGGGGCCAGACCGAGCTGCGCCCTGGTCTCAGGTTCCCCGCCTCCGGGCCGTGAGAGCGCGAACACCTGGTGGGGAGTGCCCGGTCTGCGCCGTGCCGCTGTGCCCGCCCGAGCCAACACGGTGAAATGCCCTCCTGGGTGCTTCCACACCACCCAGCATGAAACTGGTCCACTACACTGTCATGGCCGTCTGTGCGTCAGTCTCCCGCAGCGGGCCGTGAGCCGCCCGAGGGAGGGGAGCCCTCCTTGTTGGAGAGGACTGTCCCAGCAGGTACAGAGCACCTGGCGCAGGGCAGGTGCACAAACGTTTGTGGAAGGAAGAACTGTGAGGTGACCCTCCCCGAGGGACGGCCAGCAGGGTCAGGGTTTAGCGAACCCCAGGGCCGGGCAGGACGGGCACCTGACACCAGCCCCACAGGAGGACACGCTCCTTGGGGCCAGGTCCGACCCCTCCGCACCCCCCCACCCCCGATGCATCGGGGAGGCATTTGCTCCTCTGGCCGGCCTGAGGAACGAACCTGAGCCATAACAATGACAGGTAAGGAGACACCTTGGCTGGAGCAAGGGGCTGCACGCAGGTGGCCGAAGAGGCGCCTCTGGGGACAGCACTGAGAAGGGGTCCCCCGCATGGCCCTCCGGTGGCAGGGAAGGGGAGAGCTTGACACAGACTCACGGTGACGGCCCGCCCCTCGGCCGAGCTGTCCCTGTCTGCCTCAGAGCCGACAGCGGGGCTGAGGACCCAGAGCTGCCCCAGCACCCGCTGGACTGGGCCGAGTCCTTGTCGGACTCCCCGGGAGCTGAGAACACAGGTCCGGGGGAGGGGCGCCAGGAAAGGGGTCGGCACCTGGGCGTCAGTACATCCCCCTCCGGCTCAGAAAATGGGCCCGGGGCGGGCAGGGGGCTGGACCAGCTGAGTGAGGCTCTGCTTGGCCGGCAGGACCGCCGGGTGTTGCTGCTGGGGCGGACGAGCAGGGCGCTGTAGGCCTGTCCACCGCCGAGACTCAGGGGACAGAGGTTGGGAAGAGGACAGCCCCGGCCCGGAGCAGAGGTCGCACAGGAAGGCAGGTGAGGCAGGTGGCACCCGTGGGCGCTCCGGGCTGCAGCCTCCCCTCTGTCACTGCCTCGGCCGGCTGGGCCCTCGGGGGACAGGCATTCAGCCCCTCCACTTACTGGCGGCACGGCCGCCCACGGCCCGCAGAGCGCTGAGACCCCAGTGAGGGCCAGGGCTGCAGGAGCGCACCCCGGGGCCCTCTGTGGAAGGGCCGCCGCACTGGCGTGCCGCCCTGGAGCCGGACCGGGACGCCGGGCTCTAACGGAGGGAGGGGCCTCTGACAGGCCCCGTGCAGGCAGTGAACGGGGTCACGCTGAGACCGCGCGCCCTGACCTGGGCAAGGACGCCCTGCCCACACCTGTCTGGACGAAAAGAAACGGCTGGTGAGGCGCCCGTTTGTCCCCAGTGACTCAGCCCTGGGGGGCCACTCCCTCCGGGGCACCGTGGACGCAGCCCGGGGGACAGGCCCACGAGCACATGCCACAGAAGGCACCCCCCGACGTGAGGGGGCACGTGCCACCAGAGGCCATGTTTCCACAGCCACGAGCCCTCGCTGGTGCTGGCTCCCAGCAACCTGAGTCCCCAGGGGGCGGGGGACACACTTTGCACCTCCCGAGCCCTCTCCGCACTTACCTCCGCGGGCTCAGAACTGACTCCACGCCACGCCGGCACATGGTTTGGGGTGCCCATCCCCGCGTGCCCAGAGAGCCGGGGCTCCCCCACAGCCCTCCACCCTGAGGCCAGCGGTGGCCGGCGGCCCCGACACTCACTTGAGGTGATGTACTCCGGAGCCTTCCCGGGACTCAGGGGCACAGCCTCCTCGTAGTAGCCCTCCGGGAGCGAGGACGTGGGCAGCGGGGGCGGCCCACTATCAGGCGGCTGAGGGACAGAAGGAAGAGACAGAGCATCACTGGAGGAAAACGCCGGTTCTCACCCAGCGGGTGCCGGCTGCCAACCCCCTCTCGTCTCCGGCAGAAAGAGCAGCCGCCCAGGGAGAGGTCCTGCAGGGCGCTCCTGAGTGGGTCTCTGTGACCTTCCTGCCCCGTCCACCCCGGCCCGGCCCGGCCACATCCCTGTCCCTTGTTACCCAGCACCGGCGGTGACCAGACGTGCAGCCTTTCCCCCGAGTGCGCTGCGCACCCAGGTCCGGGCACCGAATCCCCTGCCCAAGTAGGACGGGGTGACGCACACCCCCAGAGCCGACACAGGTGTCTCTCCTCCTTGTCCGCATGGCTGTCCCCACACTGCTCAGCCGCTGAGGTCTCTAGGGCCAGGGGCCTTCTCCAAAGCCCAAGGCACCAAGCTGGGAGCTCAGGGGCACTGCCCCCACGCCCCCGGCACTCCTCACTGCCACACTGGGCGGGGAAGAACTGAATGAATGAGGCAGGAGTGCCCACCCTCTCCCCGTGCCTCTAATGGTGCCACAGACACTGGTAAGAAGAAAAGGGATGTCACCTACGAACCATTCTCTAAGTGAAACTGGCACTTCTCTTTGGAGAAGGGACCGGCTCGTTGCCAACACCAGTCCTGGCAGTCCCCTGTCAGGCTGGGAGACCCGGGCCTCAGGCCAGGAGCCCGACACAGAGCGCAGGGCTGTCCGGGCCCCACGCGGCCTCAGGACCCTGTGGATCCCTCCCACTCCCCAGTCCCCAGCGCAATGACTCTGACGGGCGCCGACCTCTCTTCCTGCGAGGGCCTGCAGGTCCACTGCCTGCCTCTCACTGGTCCTGACGCCCAGGGCAAGGGTCGAAGGGAGGGGAAGCCAACAGTGGCCAACCCCGGGGCTCGCCTGGCGCGGCACTAAGTGCCACGCCCCGGTCATCAGCTGCATGAGCTGGTCTGTCCGGAACGCTCCCGGCCAGAGAGGACGGCCCCTTGGGTTTTGCAGATGCGGGAGGTGGGGCTCGGCGGCCCGGAGCCTGTGCAAGAGCTGGCTAGAGGGCGCTGGGCGCATCGCCCACAAAGAAAGGCGGACACGCACCGCGACGCCAACACACGGCTGTGTGTCTCTCTCTTTTACACATTTCTGTACAGCTTGGATTTTCTGCGTAATATTTATCGCTTCTAAAACCAGAAAGAAATTATACTAGTTTGCCTTGGAAGCAGTAAACCCTCCAAAACTAACGCCTGTAGAGGAGCAGCGGCACCCTGCTCCCACGCACCCCGTCCTCCTCGGGGTGGAATGGCAAAATCCCACTTCTGCCATTTCTACAAAGCCAGCCTGACCTACTTCACAGTCTCCGCGGGAGCTGGCTGCGTGGCCGCACGCAGCGGTGAATGACATTGCGATCTGTGGCTGCTGCGGCTACATCCGAAGTACCTTCCCAACGGTGACGGGCGCACGGGCGTGGCACTGCTCTTCCCGGTCTGTGCGACCCGCTCCCAGCGCCAGGGGAGACCCGTCTGCGCCCGGAGCTCTCCCCCGCCTGCACGCAGGGCCGGGCTGCCGGGCCGGCGCTCCCAGGGCTGCTGGGAGACAAGGGCGGGGGTCACCCACCGCGGCCGCTCCCCACACAGAAGGCCGGACCCCCGCCTGGCACGGGAGAGAGCGATGGCACAGCGCCAGGCACCAATAACGTTTAAACCCACCGACTGTTTCTCCTGCGAATGGCTACCTAAGCGCAAGTCGCCTTTCAGCCTGGGAGTCTCCTCTGCCCCGGGCACTGCGCGTGGCTGCGCTGGGGCCTCCAGGTCTCGTTAGCGAAGCCAGCAGTTACAGCTGCACGGGGACGCCATCCACGGGCTCTCCTGGCTCGGGGCGTGGCCATGACTCAACCCCACCTTCGTGGGGAAAGCCCACCGGCACTGGTCTTTGCTGCTTTCAGGAACAGCCTGGCAGAGGGCTCTTTCTCCGTGCGTGGTGAATGCTACGTCTACATAATCGTATGGTAAAGTACGGCTGCTCTCTCCACTGTTTCAACAGCGTAACCACCACCACCACCACCTACGGTTGGCCTGCGTGTGTCAGACGCTGTCCGGGGACACTTGGTACACACTTTCTCTTGTTCAGAGAAACGTCTCTTGACGTATGGGGCAGGGGGTCATACGTCAGGCAGAGCCAGCCGGACCGCGGAGCTGGCGGCCGCGCACTGGCAGGAGTGGCGTGCGTCCCTGGGTCATGACGAACGATCCCCCTCAGGGTCCGCTGTGGCGGGGAACGAGCCACCCCAGAGTCGGGGAGGAGCCCGGACCACCCACGCAGGGTGCGCCCAGCCCCGCTCACGCCTCCCCCCTCTCCTAACTGGCACCGTGCTTCCCCGTTCACTGCTCCCCACCACCTCCCCCTCCTTCCACCCCAAGTTATTATTGAGTCCTTTGCACTGAAACACCAACAGACGACGAGACCTGACTCCAGCAAAGGAAATACCAGCTTGGAGCCTGGGGCCTAGAGCCTGGGGCCTAGAGCCTGGGGCCTGGGGTCGTTTTCTGACTTGAACTCTCTGCATGCGGAAGTGCACCCAGCTCCTGTTACCTGGTTCCAGTGACGAACACCTGCTGGAGTGACAGCCAAGAGCGACTGAGTCCGACCCGAGGACACAAGGGCCCCGGTCCCAGCTCAGCTGCTCGCCAGCAAAGCTCTGCGGCGCCCCTGCCGCAATCTAAACTTCGGGGCCGCGGCTCATCCTTCGGGGAGGCAGCCGGGGAAACTGAGGACTGGGGCAAGGTAACTGTCAACTGACAACACAGTTTTAGAGTCCAAACTGCAGAAACGGTTTCAAGCTTAGCATCAAGAATGTGGAGCCCTGGCTGGCGTAGCTCAGTGGACTGAGCGCGGGCTGCGAACCAAAGGGTTGCCAGTTCCATTCCCAGTCAGGGCACACGCCTGGGTTGCAGGCCAGGTCCCCAGGTGGGAGCATGTTTCTCTCCCTCTGTTTCTTCTTCCCTTCCCACCTCTCTAAAGAATAAATAAATAGAATCTTTAAAAAAAACCCTAACATTAAAAAAAAAACACATGCCATGGGAGCTGTACAGCAGACTGAGCTCTGAGAGTCTCGAAAGACAAGGACGGGGGACGAGGCGGGCCCCTTTGCTCACGGGCAGCAGGCTCACATCTGACCTCACCGGGAGGCGGACAGCTCTGCCGCCTTAAATCTCGGGCTTCTCGCCAACTCTGCGGCACGTGACAGGCCCATTTGGTCACGTGATCTTAAAGGCCCTCGTGGCCCTGTCTGCGGAACACAGGCGCTGTGACCCAGCAGCTGTGACAGTGCTGATGCGCAGGGAGAATCCAAGGCACCCGACAGACCAGGCAGTGAGGGCCGGCATCAAAACGTCAGTGTTTCAAAAAAGTAAAAAATAAAAAATAAAAAGGGTGCGTGGTTCGTGAACACAGGAAGTGGGCTGGGGCAGGTGGGAGGGAGTTCGACGGGGACAGAGAGCCAGCGTGGGAGCTGGAGGAGTCCCGGAGGTGAAGGTGCCTGAGGCTGCTGAGCGGGACGCCGGACGCGCTTACCGCGGCCAAGTGTGCGTTCCACGCTCCACAATAAAAAACCTCACAGCTGTCTGCTGACATTCACATCGGCTCCGGCCCTAAAATGCCAGAGAATCACATTACTGGCCTCTTCCCCATCGAAACCCAATGTAACCCCTGCTGTTTAAACTGCTGAATGAAGCCGTTCTAGCGAACGCCTGGCCTGTGCGTCACACAATCCCCACGGCACCCAGGGGCGTCTACCCGCCCTTCCCTCCTGGCCGGGAGGGCCGGAGACACCCTGTCTCAGAGGCCAGAGGCGCAGTCCCTTCCCTGACCCTCCAGGACCGGCCGGTCAGGGCCAGGCTGGGGCGGGGCTGCCCCCCCTTGCCCCAAGCCGGGTGGGGGTCCCGGTGCAACGCCCACATGGACGGGCCCACTTCTCAGCGACCTGCTGCCGTCCCCAGTGCACTCGGCACGTGCGCCCCAGGCACGGCCCAAGTGACGGGCACAACCCTCAGCGTGGCACAGAGACAGACACCCGGCAGAAGGCGCGGCCCTCGCCAGCAGCGTTCTCACCCCACGGGGGCGCGCCTTGGCTTGGCCTGGCCTCCCCAGCAGAGCAGGGTGCGCCGCTGGACTGTGCAACAGGCGCTTCCCTCGGGGGGCTCCTGAACTCCCACCGGGAGAAACAAAGTGCAAGCAGTGCATCATGGGTACAGGTTGTGCAGTGCGAGCAGTGCATCATGGGTACAGACTGTGCGGAAGAGACCAGCAGGGCCCCCTGTGCAGCCCAGACTCAAGGGGTGCAGCCCTGTCCCCACACCGAAATCCTAGCGGTTTCCTAGCACGTAACAACATGGCTTGGAGGTCGCATGGCTCGGCCGCCACGCCTCCCAAGCAGTGCCGGCGCCAACAGGCTGGGTGCGAGGTCAGAAGAACAGGTTACGATTCTGGCCTTTCCTAGTCAGTGGAGGACCTTGGGCAAATCACGTACCCTCACTGGACCCCAATTTCCTTTTATGAACAGTGGGCGCACACACGATTCACATGTTTTCAGTTAATGCAGGGTTCTTGGAGGTCAAGCCGTCAGGATTAAATGAAATCCTAAGTGAAAAAACAACAAGCAGGACCCAGGATACGCAGCAGGGGCCCAGGGAGGGCTGACACCCTCTGTCCTCCTCCAAGACACCGTCCCCGAGCACCTCCTGGGCATCGGCGGCTGCCGGGCCGGGCAGGACCGAGACGCACAGCGGGAGGCCCTGCCTTCTGGGCGGCTCTTCTCCTGGTCGGGGGAACGGGGTGAGCCACAGGGAGCGTGCACACCGCCCGCCCGGCCGCACACTCTGCGCCCCGAGGGCACGCGCGTCTGCTCTCCCTGGTCGGGCGCACGGGACAGCAACCCGGGGCCGACAGCGGCCAAGGAGCGCGAACTCCTGACAGGTGGGGACGCCCCGCCGGCGACGGGGCAGAAAGACATCCAGCACAAACCCTGAGCGCACAAGGCCAAGTAAAACACACGCTCCTGGAGTGCGCACATACTTTTCCTCTGAAAAAAACGTGCGTGTTTTCAGTCCCAGAAGCAGCATAACAACAATATCAAAGTTCCAGACTTTGGTTCAGATTTAGTTACCCCAGAGAGAGGGTCGAGTCCAGGGCGTTCCTGCCCTGCTTCTGCCTGCTAAACCCTCCGGTTTCCTTTCAGTCTAGGAACAGATTTCCGCGGACCTGCAGCTGCAGGAATTCTGAAAGAAGCACCAGCCTCTGAGGACAGGCCACACCCACGGCCTCCCACGCAGCTGTCACCAGCAGCTCCTCCAACACCTCTGTTCCAGAAGCGGCCTTCGTCACCTGCCCCGGGACAGGAAGTCGGCCCGGGGTCCATCAGAGCCTGTGAGGCGAGGGCGGGACTGACTCACCAGCCACGGCTGCGGGATCTCCGGCAGGGGCATCTGGGGAGGGGCCGGCAGGCTGCTGGGAGTCTCCAGCTTCGGGGCGTGGTCTCGCACGTCCACACCTGCAGGGTCAACCAAAACCACAGGCCTGGGTGAGGAGGGAGGGACAGCACCGCCATCAGCTGTCACCTCCCCACCCTGTACTCTGACCCCTCAGCCAATACTCTTTGCTTCTAACCCTCCACAACAGTGTGAAAAGTAGGTGTCACACTTCCCCGTTTTGCAGGTGAGACTCTATGCCTGGAAAGAAAGGCTAAAGAACCTAAGTGAGCACGAACAGGCAGAAATGACCGAGCTGGTGGCCAAGCCGGCATCCTGGCACAGTGCCGCACGGCCTCTCCAGGGCACAGGAGTGGCGAGTGCTCAGCTGGCCACTCACCGGGTGCTGACAGGGCAGATGCCCCCCTGGGATCAGAGATTTGGAATACGTTCCTTCCTACACCCAGACACCGTCCCAGACGTACTTTTGGGGGACAGGACTGACTCAAGCCCAGACCCCCGGGCACTCACATTCGAGTTGGGAAGGCAGCAAGGAGGAAGAAACTAGTTTTAAATCAGGCACAGTACTATTTATATGCCAAGAGCTCACCTGGAAAGACCTAGGAAAGCAGTCACCTAAGGATGAGCACCTGTGATGGGTCAAACACGACCCGACAGGCGAGGGAAGAAACGCGGGGAGACGAGGCCCACGACCTGCAGGAGCTGCAGCCCGGTGGGGGGGGGCGGGGAGTGCAGGCAGAGAGCAGGAACAGCACGAAGGGAAAAGAAAGACGAGGACGAGTGCAAACACTGCCCGTTGGGTGAGGTCTAAGCAAGTGCAGGGCCGAGGAGAGGACCGGTGACTGGGAAAACGTCGGAGAGACATCGGAGTGGAGCGCAAAGAAATGAAGGGCTGGAGCCCACTGGGCAGAGGGAGGGAAAGAGAGCGGGGGCGGAGGGGGGGGGTGGGGGGGACTCCTGAAGCAGGGGCCCCCCCGGCAGTGCTGAGCAAAGGGCACACTCGGACGGCCATGTGTTAGGAACGGGAGGGACCGAGGATGGTTCTGAGGTGAACGAGCCGGGGGAGTGCCGGAGCGCACCTTTGGCCGCCTGGACCCGCAGCAGGATGTCGGCGATGACGGCCTTCTTCTCTCTGACGGTGGACGTCAGGTACTCATGGTCCAGGAGCTCCAGAAAGAGACGGAGTTCAACTATTAACTCTTCCATTGCTGAAAACAAAGAAGGGAGGGGCTGTTAGACCACTGGCTTGCAAATGTCAGCAGCATACAGGTGCCGAATTTCACTTGCAGCGTTTCATTTCCAGCTGAACGAGTGCACAGATATTCCAAGCACGAAAAACAAGTTCGCTGAAACCAGACCGACTGACGAGTCCACGCATCATCTCCGGGCAAACGGGCCCCTCCTTCACTTCCGCTCGGAGGCCCGGGCGCGCAGCTGGGAGAGGCGCCGAGGCCACGGTGCCGGCAGATGGCGTCACGCCCCCGAAAGCCTGACATCACCACGTGCTGTCGATTGCACCATATTAAATCTCAACGTCAAGAAGGAGACGGTGGTTTCGAATGCCAAGCAGTTCTCAAATAACCACCGGGACATGGTTTTAGAAACTCACACGCAGCCCTTTGCTTTGGGAGGGCTGGCTCCACCCCCAGAACGCTGCCCGCGTTTCCCCGGGGAGAGCGGGGCGCTGCAGGCCGAGGGGGGCCCGGGCTGCGCGTTCAGGCCCCGGCTCCCGGGGGCCTGTCTCCTCCTTCTAGGACCATGGCTGCCCTTCCCTCTGACACCGGACACCCACGAGACTGGACTACGGGGCCGCCGTCTGCTCCTCTTGGACCGTGCCGCTGCCCTCTGGCAGACTCCGGACGCCTCTCACCGGGTCTGCAGGGCCACGCCGGTTTCACAATGTGAAGACATGGCCCGCCTCCCTCTGCACAAACAGTGCCGGTGCCAGGGCGGCTCGCCCGCGGCCCTGGGCCACAGCGGGGACACCAGCCGCACCGCGGCCACTGTGCCCCCACCTCGCGCTCGCAGCACGGACACGAAGACGAGCGCTGCTCTCGCCCAGGACGGTCTCCGACGGCTCCGAGGGCGCAGCGAGGGTCCCAGCCCCCGAGCACAGGCCTGTCGGACACCCTGCGGGGCGGGGCGGGCAGTGCGTGCGAGCCGCCACTGCGGGCCAAGCCAGACCAGCTGTCTGGGCAGCTGGACGGCGTGGTTTGGCACAGCGCGGTGTGTCAGCGTTGGGAAGACGCGCCCAACTCGGTGAGCCACGACATCACGTGGTCGCACGCGGGTGCGAGCCAGCTAACCTGCCGTTTGGGCCGACGCACCCTGGTCCGACAGAGCGAGGTGCCCGGTCTGGCGCAGCCTCGGAGCCCTGCCCACGGCCAGCTGCCCGGAGACCGGCCCGCGTTGAGTCCCGGGGGCAGTGGCACGGAGCTCGAGTCACGGTCTCCTGAGAGGGCACCGAGCGCTGTCGCCTCCAACCCCGTGTCCGAGCGGGGCCAGCCCGTGTCACGTGCTTCCTCCCAAACAAGGGCTCCAGCGACCGGGGCCCAGAGGCAGGCGGGAGACCAGCTCGCCTCAACGAAGCTGGACCCGCGGGACCCGCCTGCAGATACGGCGAACGATGCACACACACGCGGCGTCCTGTTTGGTGAGTATGGTCACCTGTCACGAACGTGTGTCCTTTCTCCACTGAGTGAGTACGGTAGGTAGCTCCGGTTCCTAGTTCGGGGTGGTAAGTAGCTACAGACGCCCCACACAAACAAAGCTCCTTGGGGTCTTCGGGCCGCATTGTGAGACCCAAACGCCCTAAACTAGTGGGTCCGAGAACAGCTGGCTGGTGGGAGTCTTCCCAGACGTCCGTTCTGCAGTCTGCGATGCCCTCCCAAGGGGAGGGCCTGGCCGAGGCCTCCCTGTCTGACTGCCCCCGCCGCACAGCTCCGGCCAGCGCGGTGGCTCCAATCAGCGGGAGCGCAGCAGGCTTCACAGGCAGAGTCAGGACAGCTGGTAGCAACTGGGAACAATCCAATGAAGCAAAACCAAACACTGACCTGACACCATCTACCAGGAAAAACCCACCGTAGAGACACGTAACAACCAGAACATCAACGAGCGAAAGCGCCCGAGTCCTTGAGGAGACAGCAGGGGAGCCCGGGTGCGGGAGGAGGCTCTCTCAGTGAGACCTGGAGTCAGATGCAGGAGCAAAGACCGGCGGAGGCGACGAGATGCAAGGAAAGCACGGGCTCCCGGGGGGCGAGGCCCGGCCACGGACGGCAGGCCCTCCGTTCTGCGGGCTGCCCGTGACCTTGGGGGCAGCACTTCCGCTCGCTGCCTGCCCACCCCGCGCGCACTCTGCACGCTGTCTCCGCGGGCTGGGCCACTGGGGGCTGGTTTCCTAAAACCCCGCCTCGTGTCCCTCGCTGGGCACCACGGGGCCACACTGAGGCTCCAACTAAGACCCAGTCTGTGACACGTGGCTGGCCCCAGGGCCAGCCTGCTGTTCAGAAAACTGCCCTTGTCCCCTACCCTCTTCCTGCCAGCAGCCTCGTGTCAGCGCCGCTGCCAGCTCCGGCCCGTCGTCCCTTGTCCCCCGTCCCCTATCCCCCACCCTGTGCACCACACGGCAGCTCCCCGGAACAAGGTGGCTTCTGGCACCGGCCCCGGCACTCGCCGCTGCTCTCCGCGGGTGCGCCCTGACCCCACACAGGCCCGTCCGGGCCTCTCCTGACCACGCCCTGACCACGCCTTTACCAGCTGCCCCCGCATCCGCCCTTCCACCCTGAGCTCGGGGGCCGGCGCCACAGCCTGCTCCACGGGTGTCACACAGTGTGTCGTGGTGACGGGTGAATGTGTCCGTGTCCTTCGCCCGTCAGCAGGCGGCCTGAAGCCCTCTGTCCGTGCCACCTCTCTCTGGATGCAGCATGCCCAGCACCACACCGGACGGAGGCTGTGACACGGCAGACACTCAAGGTGTGTGTGCCGAACTCACTCGTTTGTTTGTGGACCTCCGTCGGAGACAGAACTCCTGAGACCGGTTTGGGGAGGAAGGCTGCAGAGGAAGACACCAGAGGCGGCCCCTCCGAGGGAATGAGGTTGCTGTGGTGTTCTTAGAACGGACACCTCGGCTCAGAGAAAAACGGGCTCTGGCGAGCTCCCTGTCCCCACTCACGCCTGCTCAGGGCCTCCCGCGCTAAGACTGCGGACCCCGGCGGGCAGGCTGAGAAGGGCGCCCAGTGAGGGACCCAGAACGTGGGCGGCACAGAAGCCAGTGGCTGCGCTGGGCCAGGCGCTAGCACACCTTCCCTTACAGGGTCACGGCCGGGACTCCTCCAGCAGCCCCTTCCAAAAACTCCCACGGGCCTCTGCACACAGCCTCCGCGGGCGGGCGGCCTGCAGGTCGGGCTGGGAAACCTCCGGCGGGCGGGAGGAAAGCTCCCTCAGCTGGACCACACCTAAAATTCCGACAGCCCCCAGGCGACCGTCCTCGACTGACCGGAGGACTCGGAGTGTGTGTCGCCACGTTGCTCCGGTCCCAGCGCCCTCGTCTGGGACACGGCGGTGTGACGGCAGCTGTGTGCCCGGCCAGGTGAGCCCGGACCTCAGAGGCTGGAGACGCACCGGCGCCGAGTTAATCTGAACGTGGACAGAGAAAGGAAGGTCTGTGCGCGTCTCCGTCCTGTGTCTGATCAGGGACAAGCAAGCCCGGTTTCGGGCGTGACCCTGGAAGCTGAATCTAACCCGTCCGTCCAAGGGAAGGGTCTGTGGGTGCCTGTCCGCTCTGAGACCCGAGAACCTGCCTCCCCGGGCTCGTCCGCGCCAGCAAGGAGTCCCCAGAGGAGCTGCTGTAACAGCCCACGGAGCACATTCTTTGGGGACGATGTCATGATTCCTCAGAGCTGGACGGACGTGCGGATGGGTGACTCAAGCCTGAGCAGAGAACACACCCTTCTGTGGTTCGGCGGAGAGCACAGGACGAGCCCCAGAGCCGCACGTGGGTCTGCTGACGGCACGTGTCCCTCGGGCACCGCGGGGGCCGGGGGCCCGAGCCTGAAGCCGACCCCCAGCCGGGCAGGGCAGGGCTCCTGCTGGAGAGCAGGCTGGCGCCGACGGAAGTTTTAGATGCGGCACCGCGGGCACAGCCTTCCCCTCCTGCTTCCATCCGGCCGGCGGAGCCCGGGAGTGAGCGCTCGGCCACCGGACGGGGCAAGACGTCGCGCTCGGGTCGAAGCTGAGCCCCCGACGCCCCGGGCTTCACTAGGGAGACCGGGACCCGTCCGGGCCCACGAACCCCTGTCCATGAAGGGCAGGGTCGCGGAGGCTTTCAGAAAAAGTGCCCTGGAGAACCTCCATTTCTAAAAGATGGTTCCAGCGACGGCATTAAGGGGGAGCTGGTGTGAGCAGGGGATTTCTGGAAGAAGCCCCTTCGCCCCGCCCAGGGTGCTGGGGCCAGGCGGGCTGGGAGGCAGGAGCAGCCCTGGTTTCAAGCCGCCGGTGAACGCTGAGACCTCAGCTCGCGGTCAGAGACCTGAGATTCTTCATGAACGTCGTCCTCTCCCTGCTGAGGAGGCTGGACCTGCGTCTCCGGGGGACGGCATGTGCACGACGGTCTCCGCCTGAACCCACCGACTGAGAACTGCGGCTCTGCCTGCGTGCATCTGACCGCCCTCCTCCCCCACGAGGCCCCTGAGGGGCACAGCCCCGCTGCTGGGCGCCCGAGCAGCTGGGTTCCCACCGTCTGTCTTTCCGAAGAGCCCGGGCCAGGCTCCACCTGCGCCAAGCCCTCCCCCCGCCCCGACAGGCCCCCCCAGGGACGGGGCTGAGAGGCGGCTGTCGGTCTGGCCCCGCTCCCGGCAGACGGAGCCCCCCGCCTCCCGCCCCCCCGTGTGTGTGGATGGGGAGGGCGGCGGGCACTGCGGTGGGGTGACAGATGTCAGTGTGCAAATGGAGGCCAACGAAAGACAGCTGCTGGCCTCACAGCAGCGTGCCCAGGGTGGGGGCCGCTGCGCCCCAGGGCGCCCGCAATTCCGGGTCTGACAAGGCGGGGCCGCCCTGTCTGGGTACGGGGAGCACAGGCTCTGGTGTGAAGAGACCGGGAAACTGCCCCGCCACCTTCCAGATGCGCCTGGAGCGCCCAGGGCTCCTGCCCCCCCTCTGCGCCCCGGGAAGGGGCGGAGCCTTGTGGCCAGGTTCTGTGTCACTTCCCTCT